TACGCATGAGCTGGCCAATGATAGTGCAATACGTCATTATGAATATTTATTTTCTCATGAATATTTAGTTTATTTCAATGGGTACTTCAAATACAGTAAACTCCGGCTAAACCGACATCGTACAACTCGTCAAATCGCTCAAGTCAGCCGTCTGACAAAAGTCCCGATTGTACGTAATGCCTTTCCATTAAATTTTTTATTTCTAAGTCGGCTTTTACAAGTTGCCATTTCGCTCAAGTCGTCGTGTTACTCTCGGTCCCCTTTCCGTAAAAAGCATTACAAAATCCTTTGTGTAAGTCGGCATTCAACAAATCACGCATTGGCATCGACTTCCTGTACTGCGGTTGGCAAAGTGTCGAGTGAAAAGTGGTTTCGCACGGCTCATGATCGCTGCATACATCGGTGTCGAAAAAGGGTGTCCTACTGCAGGGTTCTCCCCACGTACAAACGTGCGTATCGGCCCGATACGCTGGAATTGCGGCCCGATACGCCGACAAAAATGCCGATCACATTTTTCAGCCCCCGATACGCACAATATAATTATTATACAAGCCATTAAAATGCACAACATAATCGTTTCATACACCATTATTTCATCTTGACATGCAAAATCTTGACAAAAATCCCGCATTTCTGATGCATGCGTGATCAAAATGCACACTATGACGGGTCTTTCGCGTCAACCGCCAGCTATATATTAGCGCATACAGCACGGTACACTGGTTCCCTTCGCGTGCTAACAGTATCAATGCTATGATGAAGGACCGGAACCAGTGACTACTGCCTCGTGCGTGCATACATGATGATGATGTCGGCCGAAGTTGGATCGTAAAAACACCAAACAAACATCGATGGAGAAAGAGAATTTCTGCACATTAATTCACAGAACGTGATCTTTATTTTCTGTGTATGTATTTTCCATTAAAATGACGAGATTGCAAAGCTCGAACTTGTGGCGAAACATCGTAGCGTGCTTCTTAGAAGCAGTAGGGCCGTACACAGTGCAGTAATGCACACTGATACTGCGCGATGTACGGCCGGCCAGACTGAATGTTGGCAGTGCCAGGGGCCGTGATCGATGTACGTTAAGCATAGTGGAATCAACCTCCTCAAATATATTTTTAATTAGGTGAGGCAAGTTTTAATCACTTCTGATGGTCAGTCTTGATAATTTTCGTGGTGCAAAGGAAAATAATCCAGGCACAAAACTACATGATTCCTTGTTCAATATGCTCCATTCAATCATGTGTTTTTATTCCTCCATGATTCAATCAGCAGCCCAAAAAAATGGCGAAATAATTTTTCCGACCTACCGACGCTATTTTGAAAGCCATGTAGTCGGAAGCAAAAGTGATTTTTTTCTTCACCGTAATTTCTTAATTTGAAACTTGCTTGTAAATATAATCCATACTTTCTAGATCAAGAAGGTTTAACACAGGTTTTGAAATGTTGATTTTTTTTTTAAAGTTAAAAACGTTGATATTTTTTTTCTCTAATTACAAAAAAATATCACAAGATCTCCTCTAAATTTTAAGGAAAAATCTTCCTTAAAGACTCCCCAGATTTGCTCTAAAATGCACCAGAGAGCCTCTAAAGTTCAAAATTTTTCGGGTCCCTTAAGCGGGCCCCGAACCCCACGCCGTGGCTTCGCAGGTTGGTGAATCACAACAAAACTTCCCCCACAGGTTTGAAAAAATCCTCGGGAGAACCCTGTACTGCATACCACTACTCGGCACTATAGGATCTTTGCTGCATACATCGCATACATATGCATTGTGAGCATATCAATACCAGTACCCCCTCTAGCATGTCTAGGCTGTACGCACGCGCTCTTTCCATTTTGGGGGTCGTCTTATTGAATGACTAATGCTGTAGTCAATGCGTGCGTGGTATATACCGGACCGGTACGCACGCATTTAATTCGTTACTGTGCACGTACACATGTATCGTGGTCTCCACTATCAATACCCCAAACGTGATGATACAATTCGAGGATTAATTTGCTGGATTCAACTCAAGCATTAAGGAAATAATCCAGGGTAAATCGAAGCCAATTAGTGCAATGAATCATGTGTGCAAAAGTCCATTCATGTAAGTCGGCAAAATGACGACTTATAGCATATTATTGGCATTCGCGTAAGTCGTCACAAATTCTCGGGTCCCGAGAGTGCCGGTTTAGCCGGAGTTTACTGTACGTCCAAAGATTGATCATTGCAATCAGCGATCGTGCACGGCCTAGCGGTTAAAAGTCTTGTGTTTCAAGCAAGAGTCCGAGGTTCGAATCTCGAAGAAGTAAGTGACTGATTAATAAATAGGAATAAAGGAAAGGAGAGGGTGAGAGTAGAGGAGGGAAAGTGGAGGAAATAACCATAACGGATGCAACTTTTGGCACTTGAAAATTAATTGAAAAAAGTGGTGATCCAGTACGAAAATTTTTCCGTAACTGAATGCAAACCAAGCATGCATAAACCGACCCCTTAAAAAAATATGCTCCAAAACATTTACTTTTTTCTCACTTTAATAAAAGTCAAGAAAGTGCTGGATACATAACATGTATTTGAAATAAAGTGAACATTGGATACGTATGTATTTGAATTAATGTCAGCGAGACTATTTGTTCTTTCTTGGAGTGTAGAGTTAATACATTAGGCAAAAAAAAAAAGTTCTGCTTCTGATAATACCCTACCAACCCTATTTGGCCTATACCCTACCAACCCTATTTGGCCCTACTCTAATGTTTTTTTATGGGGGGGGGGGGGGGAAATAAGGGAAAAAAACCTTGAAAACCATCAATTACTACATGTACCTTTTTATATCTAAACGCAGACACCTCCATATGATCGTACACAAAAGTGTTGTTTATTACTAGACATGTACATTTTTGTACATACTACTCGAGAACTAGACTTGCCTATAAAATTCTTCGGGAAGAATTCCGTACATGGACATCACTAAGTTTTCCCTGAAGTGACCTGTCACTCATCAGAAAGTGAAAACATGTCCTAAAAAGTCAAATTTGCAGCAGGGAAAATATTGAGGTATGGGCCTACTGAGTAAACACTTGGATTGGTATTTTTCAGACCAGTCTCATAGGGTTTGTGCACGTGTATGCAACCCTTTCCAATTCTTCAATTGATTATGAATCAATTAACACGGTTTAACTTAAAAAAAAAAAAAAAGTGCGAGGTTCAAGTTTTTCTTTCTGAAAAGCATACAGTACATACCGGTACGCCTACATGCAGCACAAGTCAAGGATCTTGAGCATGATGTATGCACACGTTTGATTTTACGAAAACGTACGCATATTTCACTCCAATTAGACTTTAAGTTCCGATTTTACAGACTGGCATTTCTTCATTTAACACTACCTTTGTATGATATGTATCTGGTTTATATCCAGTAATTTTATTAAAACCTCTCCATAGTTCCCTGGAGTTAGTGACAGAGATATCATCCTCGTGTTTGTTGCGATATCTTAGCTCCGCATCTTTGATTGCCTTAAGAACATCATACTTGACCCTTTTGATGGCTGAAACAGTGCCGGACATAAATGCAACCTCCTTGGCACGAAGTTGGTTACGCACTGTCTGATTAAACCAGGGTTTGTCATTAGAGAATCTCTTCATCGCTATCTTTGGAATGCCCATCTCCTCGCAGAGTTTAATTTAATCCATAGTGACCTCAGTGCACTCATCAAGGTGCAAACAAACATGCCCCATTCAGTGCATGCAAAACTGCCCTGGAGTCACTGGATGGCGGCATCAGTCCACTGAGAGACAAAGCATTCTGTGGGCTTCTCGCGTTTCAGTTGCTGTCGATAGTAGGAATTAAATGCACCATATTTTGATCTGAGTTGCCGAGAGGAGCGCGTTTCAAAGACCGATAAGCGCCCTTCATCGTAGTTTAGCAGTGATCGATAATTTTGTCATTGCAAGTCATACAAATCACATGTGGATAAAACTTGAGCAAGCCCTTTCTCAAATTTGTGTGGTTGAAATCGCCAAGGACAATGCTAATCGATCCAGGGTTCTTGTTTTCATGTTGCGTAATAATAGCAGAAAGTTGATCAAGGCAGATTTAGCATTGGCATCTGGGGGGGGGGCACATAAGTGGCACAGAGTAGAATAGAACCAAATTCCTGAGGTAAAATAAAATGGTCTGCATTTGATTAATACAGGACTGCAACTTTGCCTCAGATCCGCTGATTTCCTTGTGTTTTATTTCTCGTGAATGCCATTACAAATTGAAAACACTGTACAAAGTCTTGCATGGTTTGGAGTTTACTCGCTTTTTTCTAAATTCCCAGTTGCATGCCTGTTAATAGCGTCTCCAGCTCAGGTGTACATGAGTGAGAGAGTATCTTAGCATCTGTACAGCATCTGTACAACAGTTTGCATAAATTAAATGTGATGAACTTCCTTGTCAAACTTTCAAACAGTGTTTAACCTGAATAAATTGGCTGTTAAAAGTCAACCAATCAGATGACAAGGATTTATTCAGGTGTTATATAAAATAAATAATGAATGTTTCACGTTCGTGCAATGGAAAGAATAATTTCATGAGGTGACAGATGAAATGTTCCATTCCACGAGGCAAAGCCGGGTGGAATGGAACATTTCATCTGTCACCTCATGAAATTATTCTTACCATTGCACTCACAAACATTCATTATTTGTATAATAGTGCACAGTAAGTATTGTGGTCACACAGAACAAATCTGTGATTGGAGTGTTATCCCCGCACAGCTATATTACCTCAAGGGTATTTCACTTGTGGATGCTAATCCTACGGGCAAAAGTTATTTTTTGCTAAACCAGAAGGGTGAAGTTTCCCATAAGAGATAATAGGTTTGAAATATTTATCCTGGTTTCCTGATTGTGCAAGTACATGTGTGGCCTTAATCCCTTCCATCATTGAACCCCATTCCCAATTAGAAATCTAGTTTGTTCATATAATAGCAATGTGACACATGAGCAATTTCTAATTGTTTCCCACTACAGTCTCATCGCAAGTTTTCGGCACCACGCCATGGCTCTCTGGGCTTCCTGCCTAGAAAGCGCTCTCGCCGTCACCGTGGTAAGGTCAAGGCTTTCCCTAAGGATGACCCATCTAAGCCTGTGCACATGACAGCATTCCTTGGCTACAAGGCTGGTATGACCCACATAGTACGTACAGTAGACCGACCTGGATCCAGTAAGTACCCTCTCTGTTAGCTTTTGCAAACATTTACATTTCCAGTGCAACATTGATTTTTAAAATAAGTGCCAGTTTGTTTTGGGTAGTTTTGTTTTTTAATTTGTTTCGCACTATCAATATACATGTATATCAGTATCCGATGCATTGTTTCGTGAAATGTTTTGGAAGGTGGGTTACTGGGAACAATAGCGAAGTGTTGCCTATTAATGGCAGTGCGGCATGGACATATCTCCGTAATACTCCATTTTTTTTTACAACAGCATTGGCATCTGGTATTCTGGTTTGAATGACACTCCATGATTAGTCCAACCACTCCCCCCCCCCCCATCTGTATAAATGTTTTAATTGGCAGATGTGTAAGTGACCAATCAGGGACTGGAATATGTGCCAATAACACCCTGTGTTCTCCAGGCCCGTACATCTAGTGCTACTAGTCACCAATGCCTTTTGGCATTGGTAGTCACAACCATTGACTTTCAGATGGTCCAAAATGCATTGGCAATGGTTACCAGCTAATTTTTATAATGTACTCATATGTTCATGATGTTGACGTGGTCACTTTGACATCGCTTGACGATTTCGATGCCCTTTTGGCACATTGTCAGTCAGTTGGTTTTTTTTCCCCATTATTTCTTTATTGTATTGAACATTTATTGCTACATATTAGACACTAATTATGCATCTCACTTTAGTATGTTATACATTACAACAGTTTTGACAGCAAAGCACTCTACCATTTCAAGAAAACACCTGCTTTGCACCTACATGTTGTAGGTGCATACGATCATGCGGAAAATGGCTTCTGCACGAGACAAGCTTCACGATAATACAAGGAAATCCTCTGGAGAACCTAATAGCGAGAGTTGACTGTACATCATTAAATAGGTGCTGTTGCGAGCATGCATTCTTCGAGGTCACCCATGAAGAGGCATGCAAAGGGGGGGGGGGGCAATGCGAGTGCCCATATTATTTCTTAAATGTATAGAGTGGAGGGGAGACTGTTGCTCCAATCCTTCATAATCCTTCAAAATCCACTGTAATACATTGAGGCAGTGCAGATGATATCCAGTATAATCTAGGCCTGCATGTATGCATGGCTAAGCATAAACAACACAAGATACAAATTAAGACCTTGACACAAAGCATCCTCCAAAATCAAGGGGCACTAAACAGGCATACATTGTACATCCTCAATCCTCCAAAATCCTCCAAAAGCATCTGGTTGATTTGAGGATTCAGGAGGGTGAATGTTCTGGTACTTTAATTGGAAATTCTGTTTAACAATTCACAATCCCCAGAAATGAACAAGAAGGAAGTAGTGGAGGGCGTGACCATTGTTGAGACACCTCCCGTGGTGGTGGTTGGTGTGGTGGGCTACATTGAGACTCCCCGTGGGATGCGTTCCCTCAAGGTAGTGTGGGCTGAGCATCTGAGTGATGAGTGTAAACGTCGCTTTTACAAGAACTGGTAAGTTCCTTTACTTCATTTCGGGTCCGTCGATATATCAGATATAACACGCATTACAAGTTCTTGCCAGGCATACATGTACTTGTACCACATCACCTGCACTATTGATGGATAAGAAGAGGTTGCTCCATTATGTTCTTGTAGGGGGTTTAAAAGATTAAAAACATAATTAGACATGTTAAAGAACAAAATATGATTTTGTTTTATGATGAATATTTTTTCCTATATGTAAATTTTATAAAATCAGAATTGACTTACCAAGAAACTAACCCATTTTTGTCGCCCAAAAGAATGTTTCGGAGACACTTACCGGTCCTAAATTCTGTATGACCATACAGAATGTGTTATAGTTGTATCTTAAAAGTGTTGTTTCCTTCAAAGTTATGCTGCAGTGGTGCATATTTTTTTTTAACTTTTTACAAATGGTATGAAATTCTAGGGAAAAAATAGGCATTGCTCTCCACTCTGCCATTGGCTGATGAGAGCAATCCAAATGTTCACGGTTCCTCTCGACATCAAGCCGATGAACCGTCCCCCTGACCTGTGCTCCATCTCCTTCCCAACGGCATCCCGTAAGGCTCCGCTCCTTATCCCACAGATACTGGATGAGCCTCATTAGGTCTTTCCACTCGCATGTGTCTGCCAGTCACATGTGATGAGAGCCTAGAATTCTCTGCCCCTATTTTTAGGTTTCCCCCGTTTTTTTCCCCCCGCTCCCATCTGTGCATAACCCAGGTACCGCTCCAAGAAAAAGGCATTTACCAAGACCTCTAAGAAGTGGGCAGATGAGGCTGGCAAGGCTGAGATCGAGAAGGACTTCAAGACTTTGAAGAAGTACTGCAAGGTTATCCGTGTCATTGTCCATACTCAGGTATATTACTCTACTTCACCCTCCAAATCACCTCGGAATTTGCACAAAGAAATGTCTTCTAATTTACTGTATGCGCATTTCTACAGGGTTGAGCAACCACAAACTCCAAGGAATGTAGTTTTCTAATAAAGTAGGCCCGGACGACTAGAAAATGTTTAGTCGCAACTAGTTGCGATACATAGTCGTGACTAGTTGACTAGTCATGACTAGTAAAACATTTATTTATCCAGTAATACCACACATGTGCAATAAGGATTTGGGTCAGGAAAAAACAACCATGACAACCGGCAGGCCAGGTTGCCTTGATCAGATGGTTCCTTTTTTTTTAATGGTATTTTGACAGAATTGATTATTATCATTGCATATTGTGTAAAGTAAAGTAAAGGGGGATTTTAATGACAAAAACAGTAGTTTGATCAATGAGTATATTATGGCGTTACTATTTATTTAGCAAGCGTCAGCTTTCAATTCACATACATGCATACTCAAACAGCCTTGTGTTTATGCCTTACAAACATATATGTCTAGTTTATTAGGTGTTTGGGCTTTAGCCCAAAACCTATTGGTTTTGTAAGAATTTACTGTTTTTGTTCTTCTCAGCATTTTCTCAGCAAATCCTTCTCCAGAACTGTTTGGAAAAATGGAAACATATATGAAGTTCATTTGTCAATACATGAATGCCCAATCCACCGCAGATGGTTTTTTTGCAATTACGTAATCATGACGCCATCATGGGTCACGTGACGTCACTCGAAAGTTTAATAAATTTTATCTTTGAAATTCCAAATAAAATCAACCGTGAGAGACCGGAACCTGAAATTTGCGGGAATCGACATGGTAATACATGATCTTCATTTTATGTTGGGCGCATAAAATCTTCCTTCCGGTCGAAACCGGAAGTGCCTAATAATTTGAAAGTGGAAAAAGATATGAACTTGCTTTTAACGATTTAAGTGTCTGCCTGGATTGACCTTTCAAAAAAAGTAATGGGTGACGCCATGAAGTGTTCGAGCGCCCTCTAGCGGCAGGTTAAAAAACGTCAAAAACGCATTTTCACTTGATGTCTGTGGCGAAGTTTGCGGTAATCACTTCAAAATTAATGTACATGATGACCATAATGCAAAATACACCTGTGCGCGATTACGTCATCAGACTGGAAGTTACAATAAAAAGACCTTTAAATCTTAAAAAATTGCTAGAAAATATACCGTGATAGATATAATCAAGATTTGGTTGTATACAGCACAGTAAATATAGCTCTGGAGGTTTCTGGTAATGTCGTCATAATGACGTCATCAAGTATTGTATTACAAGCAATCAAAGATTTCTAGATTTAATCTTTGAAAATCAATGTAAAATCAACCGCTACAGATTTGATTTTGTTCTTTATGGCAATCGATACAATATTGCAGGGTCTTCATTTTGGTATTAAGTGCAAAATCACGTGACCCTTCCTTCCGCTCGAAACCGGAAGTGCCTTATTATTTGAAATTGGCAGAAGATGCGAACTTGCTTTCAGCAATGTAAGTGTCTGCCTAGGCAGTACTGTACAAACATATTACAGGTGACGTCATCAAATGTTAGAGCGCCCTCTGGCGGCATGTTGAAAAGTCAAACATGGATTTAAACATGCATATTTTGAGTTGATGTGTGTGGCAAAGTTTGCGGTAATCCATGGCCCAACACCGTGTGGTTGTTCCTACAACCTCTAGTTTTTATTAGTTTTTGCTATCACACAAAACAACTTAAATTTTGGAAATGGGGGCCCTTACATAAAAATCGAAATAGCACTCTCAAGAGTCTTGTTTCCAATTGTAAAAGAACTATTGCCATACAATGGTGGGCGAGACATTGTATGGACACATCACTATTGGAGACAACTACCAGAGATGAAACTTTTCCGATTTTAATCGGAAAACCGACTTTTTGAATTTTCCAACGAAATTTCCGATTTTTTACAGTGTGTCCCACAAAATTTGATTTAGTAAGGATTTTTCTCACAAAATGTCATTTTATTTCAATCATAATTTCGAAGAAAAGTCGATGGAAATGGCACGTTAAAATCATCGCGAACGCAGTTTTAATCTCATTCACCAGTCGTTATTGGAGTATTTCAATGGTAGAAACACAGGGCATAACACTGATCAGAGCCTTCTCCGGCTGGACAAAAGGTTAAACATTGACAGGCGACATGGAAAAATCACTGTGTCGCACGTGCGTGCATGTACTGCACGCAATGAGTACCAGCGTACGTACCGCACCGTACCGTCTGCTAGCACATGGCCGGTCGGGAACGGCCCCGAACGGGTAGCCTTGTGAACGATCCAGTGGATAAAACCATTATGTTGTGCGATTTTCGGAGGTTTCAAATTTAGTTATACGAAATACAGTGCCTTAAAAATCGTGATGAATATCTCGAGGATAGCGAAGAGAGCATTAGCGAAACATTTCACTGGCATTTGTTAGAAGAGAAAGACGATAATACCTGATTTTTCCCCACGTATGAATGCAAGTGGAGTAGTGGAGTTGTGTGGTTGAATAATGTATGGACATGATTGAAGCACCGTGAACGGTGCCTTGTCTTTCGGACTTTTCCCTAGACTTTCTCAAGTAAGAAGTGAACTTCTTTATTGACGACTCCATTACTCTAACCGTAATTCGGGCATTTTATGCAATGAAAACACTGACCATTTTTTTTCATTGTAAAATTTTGTTTGAATCGAAAATAAAGCAGGAGTAGGTGTCCGGAAATTGGGCATGTAGTGTATTGTACATGCATGTACATGTGTGTAATGCAGCGCGGCCCAGATTTCGGACACGTATTTTTCTTCGGCATATTTTCTGATTTTTTTGCCATATGCCAGTTTCATCTCTGAACTACACATGACCCCACACTTCTACGGTGTATGGAGTATTAACTTTGAGATAAACGGAGTTTCGAGTTATCCAAATTTGACTTGATGAGAATTTCCTGTATTGCGATTACTCATGTTTATTTAAACTTCACTCAATCGCATTATTCAACATAGAACGTGGACATGACTGGTCTCATTTCAAGGCTTGATCATATTATTGACTTATCACTCATTTAGAACTCTTACTGGGGTAATCCAAAACAGCCAGTGAATTATCAAACCTTGTTCAAACATGAAATTGAATATTAACATGACTACACATGGACAAACAAAGCATAAATATATATTTTTGTTAAATGTAAAATGCCGGAAAGCCCTGTATTCTGTTCACTGAGCAGTTGTCGACCTCTAGTTTGTTTCCTGTTCTGTGTGGTTTCTTTGTCTTAAAAGTGGCCTTTTTGTAACAATGCTTTATTGCCTCGCTGACTTACAGCCTTTGGTAATAACCCTGTTCCAATCAATATTTCTGCTACATTTTTTTCTCTCCTTTGCCTTTCCCCTCAGATGAAGCTGATGACCCAGCGTCAGAAGAAGGCCCACATCATGGAGGTGCAGCTGAATGGTGGAAGCATTGCCGACAAAGTGGACTGGGCCAAGGACCACCTGGAGAAGCAAACCAAAATCACTGAGGTGTTTGCTCAGGATGAAATGATTGACGTTATTGGTGTCACAAAGGGCAAAGGATTTAAGGGTAACAACAAGCACATTTTGTCTCAATGTTCACACTATATGTTAACAGTTATTGAAAATTGGACACATTGTAGAAAGTCTTGTGAACAGTGGCGGTGATAAAGGAGGGGGCCATGGAGGACCTTTGCAGTTGTTTCCTTGCCTCCCCAGTTTTCCTTCCACACTTCATCTACAAAGATTCATAATAAGTTGTAGATAAGGCCACCAAAAAAAGTCTCCGGTTTCTGGTATGGAGCTTGCCCAAACAGTGGTGCGGCGACACGTTGTTTTTTTTTTTTTAACCTGATTTTTTTGCTTCAAATGTCGGCTGATGACTGCAAATGGTGCCTGACTAAACTTAGTGCAAATATATGGGAGTCCAGAGAGGCCACATAAAGCTTATTCTCGACCATAACCCAATCTAAAAACACGTAAAAATTGAGCAGCAGCAGGATTTCAGTCAAACCAGTGAGTTTGGCGGTTTTGAGACATCATCTTTCATTGAAAAAAAAAACTTTTTCATTTTGCCGACGCGCATGGCTACGGCGACGCGAGTGCATACCAGAAACCGGAGACTTTTTTTTTTTGGCCTAAAGAGTGAATCATCGGTTCTGTGGACACATTTTGGATCAATGAAAGCATATGTGTCGTCACATTGTAACTTCCGGTTTGGTCACGTCATTAATCTTTCTCCCCCTGAACTTGTTTTTCGCATGAAGCTGATTATATACGTTCATTATGATGTGAATTTAGCAACTTCGTCACACACATCAACTGGTTATTCATTTTAAGTATTTTTCAACCTGCCACTAGAGGGCGCTCTAACATTTTATGACGGCACTGGTATTTTCTTCGTTAAGTACAACCTCGCCAGAAACTATCATTGTTGAAAGCAAGTTCACATCTTTTTTCCACTTTCAAATTATAAGGCACTTCTGGTTTGGAGGGGAAGGAAGGGTCACATGATTTGGCACACCGGAGATAAAATGAAGACCCTGGATTTAAGATGTAAATCAATATTAAGTTTTTGCCCTTCACCGACGTACAAACGCTATATACTCGGTGTGTTACTTCCCGAGTTAAAAAAAAAACCAATGGGGTGGGACTTGAACCCAGGACCTCCTGATCATCGTTTGCATAACTTGAGGACCTTCAGTTTTAACTGCAAGAGTAGTTAAGAAAAATGGAACAGATCTTCCCCATCATTTTCTCTCCTTGTTTTTTCCAGGCGTGACCTCCCGTTGGGGTACTAAAAAGCTGCCACGTAAGACCCACAAGGGATTGCGCAAGGTGGCTTGCATTGGAGCCTGGCATCCAGCCCGCGTCGGCTACGGTGTGGCCCGTGCCGGCCAAAAGGGCTATCACCATCGTACCGAGGTCAACAAGAAGATCTACCGTGTCGGAGAAGGCTACCACATGAAAGACGGCAAGCTGACCAAGAACAACGCAGCCACTGATTCTGACATCACTGACAAGAGCATCAACCCAATGGTGAGTGTGTTCGATTGGAAATATGTCCTAACAGTACTTTTTCGTGAGCTTGCTCACGTTGCTGCTTTGTGTCCCATGCTTGTAGAACCAGAATGAATCTGCTGCTGAAAGCTTGGTAACAGGTTTGTTATGGCTGTATGTTGGACACCTCTTCACCAACGTACTTCTGTTAATGCTGTATACTCGGTGTTGTCAGAGATAATAGCAGAAAAAAGTATTTGTGGTTATTATGATGGGTTTGATTGAAGTGTGATGTATTTGTATCAATGTCCACTTTCTCTTGCCAGCTAAGATTTCATCCTGTCGACATTCAGGTTTCAAATTGATGTTATTACGCATACGTCATCTAGATTTTCTAGAGATGGGCCCCGATCATTATAGGGATCCTGGTTCATCAGACATGGGGAGTGGAACATGAAGATACCGCCCGACTGAATAAAATACACGATACTCAGTTAAATTATAAAAAATGTAAGAAACAAGCATACAGGGCGAGGGTAAGCTGTGGTTCATTAACCCTAACCACCCTGAATGAATCCTTTAAAATCCTCTTTGCCAAAGTGAAGGAATTTGGAGGATTGAGGTTACATGGCAAAAGTGCATTACTGATTTCGTAGGATGCACTTTGTCAAGGTCTTGGGCCGGACCTTGTGTAATTTTTGCTCAGCCATGCATAAATATAGGTCTGAAAATGTATGTTACTTTCTTTTATTTAGTTTTTACAGCACATTCAGTAGTTCCACTTAGAGCAGAACTGCTATCCTATAATCAAATTTGTCATCATTTCTCCCCTTACAGGGTGGTTTCCCACACTATGGTGAGGTCAAGAACGACTTCTTGATGCTGAAGGGCTGTATCATGGGACCCAAGAAGCGCGTCATAACGCTCCGAAAGGTGAGCCCTGCTTTGTATTTTTGCAGCAAGCCATTCAGTCCCAAGATGTAGATTACTGCTTTTCTGACAGCATCGTAGTTTGTCCAAAATCATGATAAATGCACATAAAGCCAAAGTGATGGCAATTATATGGTTATATGATGATAAGCCATGGATTGTGCCAGTTTGCCCTGGCACTCAGACCAATCCCTTGGTGAAGCTCCATGCTGCCTTCCTTCTGATACCATGCTGATCTACATCATGCTCATGTTAGAGATAAGTTGTAGTTTATATATCTCCAGTATTTGAAATGATTTGATAATGTTTCATTAGGTACCCTACTAAATGTCTCAAATCGTTTATCAAAATCGTATGCCCTCTGTTAAGCATGTTACACAACTAGGAGTAACCTTACATACATGTAGATGCCCACAAAAGATTTCAATGTAGCTGTGTTTTAGAAACAAAAGTTCAACTGAATTTTTGCTAGTCAAATCACAGGAGTTCAATAGATTATTTTTTTCAAGTATTGCTCCTTGTCAGACTAATTTTTAGTTCAAATGCTTAAAAGCCTTTCAAGTGATAGATTTTTCTCCTTACTGACACTTTTCATTTGTCTCTACTCTGTCCCAGTCCATGCTGGTGCACACCAAGCGTAAGGCCTTGGAGAAGATCACTCTTAAATTCATCGACACCACTTCCAAGTTTGGTCATGGCCGTTTCCAGACTCACGAGGAGAAGGCAACTTTCATGGTAATTAACCAAAGAATAGACTCGGGACTTTTTCAGCAGTACTACCCCACAAAACGATCAATCCAGTAATGAAACAATCATTCACTGAAACATCCTGTTTACAAAGTTGCAGTTATAACAAGGAATTTCTGTGAAGAGTCAACACTGGCATAGACTCTTCACAAAATTCCTTGTTATCACTGCAACTTTTTTTTTCTTGTGCCAGAAACTGTCCTCAAAATCTTCCTCTTTGAAGAAAATCCATACAGTATGGAAAGCCAACTACATGTAAACTGGCATTTTAAAACATTTTCCAAGGAATTTGGGGTGGCCTATCACTAAATATGGTCTTTCCAGCTTGTGTACTGAGATTCCAATGTTAATTCCCACCCGCTTTTTGTTCTTTTTAGGGCCCACTCAAGAAGGATCGTATCAAGGCTGAACAGGCTATGGCCTAGAGACGGCACCATGCTACACATGACAAGCAACACTGCCTGTACTCTCAGACCAACCATGGACCACAGCTTTACAAACTTGTTTTTTTTTTCAATGCGTTATAGTTTCAAAGCATGTCACACAGATGCCAATTAACAATTGTTGACTGGTGTGATGTGGGATAATGACGTTTTGAACACCCAAGGGGTGCAGCGTGCTATGCACCCGGAGGGTGTTCAAAACGTCATTTCCCACATCACACCAGTCAACAATTGTTTGTTATACCTACATGTTTTGGATTTTTTTGATTTTGATGTAAAAATCACGAAAACAAACAGCAGTAAGCACAACAATCATGACAATCTAACAGCAACTCACATGCATGTCGCGTGCTCGAAACAGCTGATAGTCTGCAAGTTCGCTGCGTTTTACGTGTGAAACGCATACGTACCGTAGGCACAAAGTCATAGCACACTCCCTGTGGGATATCACGTCACAGGGAGTGTGCTATGACTTTTTATAAACTAAACACGTGATCGTTCTAGGCCAATGAAAATACAGTATTCAAGACAGAGGTATAACAATTTCAAGTATTTGATAAACAGAAGTACCGGTATGCACATTGACTGTGCACATTGTAATATCAGTATGTGTTAAATGCACAATAAGCTGGTGATTGGGAGGCGATAACTGACAAATTTTTCTCAACAAAAGGAGTGTTGCGTAGTTGGAAGTCAAATAAATACAAAATGGCAAGCAAATTATTTGATTTCAGTTCATGTTGTTTGTGTCCACTCTATTCGTGTGTTTTTTTTCCTTCAAATATTTGAATATTATTTTCAAAAATAAAAATTATTTTTCAAATATTAGTTTGTTACAGAAATAAGTTTTTGGTCTTTGAAAGAATAAAATTCATCTTTGATCAGAAGTTGTAATTTTTCTAGCATTAAAAAGTGAATCACTTGTGAATGAGATTGAGACTTTAAACGCAAACCAATAGGTTCTGGCCGTATTGCAATAAGTCTTGCATGAAAGGTTTGCATGAAATCGATCAAAATGATCCCTGCCAGAGCTTAAAAATGCGACGCTGATGGCACATATGGAACACCATACTTATGGACAATTTTCGGCAACAGACACACCATCCGACCGACCGATCAACCATCAAGTGACATGTAGAAGCCCCTGCTTCCGATTAGATTTCACGAAAAGTACTTGTTCACAGAGGTTAATACATGTAGCAAGCATTAATAAGGTAAATGTTCCATTATTTCACTGAATGAATTTGAAGTTTGTCAACAAAGAAGTTCGGCAACACTGATGTGGAAAGTCCGGGTAAATGTCGAAGTGCACCACGTTAGGGAACACCACTTTAACATATTTAGAATTATTTACAACCTGATACTCATTTCTCGCAGAGCAGACTGGATCCCACTCGCTATCGGCATGGATAATGTACAGTCATGTGGTTGCTAAGGGCGATTCTAAAGGTTACGTAACACTTCATCTTGAATGTACACACACATGTTCACACAGGCGGGCGAAATCTTTGAAAATTAATTTCTCTCGTTTGGAAGACCGTATCTTCATGCAACTTTCAGGGTTTACTTCCCTCACAATGATCCAAGTATGGGCTAAAAATCGTTGTGATGTATTCATTACTTTTTCGTTGAAATTGGAAAAATAGGCCTGGCTACATGCACTTTTGAAAGTTGGTAGACTAGCGTTTGCAATATCTGTCAATCTTGTCAAGACTCACAAATACTAATAAGGTTCCTATTCATTATGGTATGCAGTATAAATTTGGAGAAAAACCTCCTTCGCGAGTTATTAATTGATAAATATCGCCCTTTTTGCCGGCTTCCATTGGTTGATGCCAAGACCCACGCCAAAACACGCCGAGTGACGCTAATGAATTTGCTAATCTACCATACTCGGTCAACCGTGGCGCTTTGCTGAACAATGCACGTCGTTGTGTAAACAGAAAATTCTTGTCAAAATTTTCCATGGAGATGGTTCTAGTTGGTATACTAGCGTTTGCAACAACAGATTCAGCCGAAATTCGGAATATTCTTCGATGATTTCAGTGTTGAACTACTCGTGAAATAACTTGGAGAGATTCCTAGAAATTGAGGTTAATACATGCATTTGGGGAAGTTTTCGAACGATTTCTTCCAGACTTGAAGGTCAGCTTTACCAGTAACCAGTATTGACGTTTCGGCATCGATGACCGAGATTTTGTCACTGACATGAAGTTTAGAATGTTGTCTTCCGTTATAATTTAACATTTCAATCATACTGAGCATATTTTCTGAGAAACACAACGTTCAAAAGGCCATGTTTTTTGGGGTGCATGGATTTCACTGCTCTATTATAGCGTCTAAGTACGTAATCGGATTAACTTTGCCTAACAACGCCAGAAGCTTTGCCCTAGCAACCACATGACTGATGTAGGGCAGGGAGGATCTGTTAATGTGCAAAAGTTTTCAGTTTTGCAGATGTCCAAAATAGAAACAAAATATTTGGGGTGCGGGTGTTGGCTTATCCACACATTGCGGAAGAACCAACACCCCCACCCCAAAAAATGGCATTTTTGTCCTGATCTTTTTATTTTGTTTTTTTTCCCCCAGGACGATTGATGTCACGACATTATCACAAGTCATATAACGTCATCTTAAAGGTGTATTTTACAATTGCCTATATCATGTATATCTCGAGAACTGCAAGACCGATCGGGTTGAAACTGTATGCACATAGTCAGGGACGTGTTATAGATGAAAATTGAGATGAAGTCATGATCTCAGCAGCATACTACTAGTTGACACTACTACTTGACGCTACTGGAGTCGCACTCGACTCGAGACGTTGTGAATGGTTTTCCAAGGCTTGAGATTAGTCTCGGCCATCATAGCCCGATCCTGGGCAGCACTGACAGCCTGATTGTGCGTTAAGGTCTTCTATGATCTATGATAGGTAGATACGACGCAGGCGAGCGCGATGGGTAGCGTCAAGATGCCTGGCAATGGGTTTCAACTGTCGCTGGCTACTCCGTCCCACATGCGAGTTGTCGTGCTTCGACCCATCCCAGCTGTCGTCACTGTTGATAGTCCGGTGGCTCAGAGCTAATTTGTGACACGCCGGATTAAAGCACAAAATATGGTACACTTACTGTATACAGGTCCCTAGAAGATATTCTAGAGGGGGGTGCCCGGTTTGCGCGGCCTAGGTCAAGGTCAGACCAAGGTCAAAGTTCAAAAGGTGTACATACAGCATTTAGTTGTATATTGCCACAAGTCTGAAATTTAAAGTTCTGAATAAAGGATGCAAGACAACTATAAGACCTACCATAGAACAGTCCTGTAGTTCTAAAAAGAACTTGTCTTTAGAACTTAAAGCAGGACTCTTATCAGAACAAAAACTACTTAGCGAAAGTTGATAATAAGCAGGACAAGTTCTTTTCAGAACTAAATATCTTTTAAGCAGTAGTTATTACCGCACAAGGACGGATCCGGGGGGGGGGCCAAAGGGGGCCATGTCCCCCCCCCCCCAAAAAAAAACGAAACCAATTTTTTTTTTTATGTGACATCGCAATAAAGGCAGGCAATGAGTACACCACCATCTTTTCCTCAAAAAAACATTGGTTAACGTGGTCAGAAATTGCCTCAGATCCCACCACAGAGCATCTAGAATCCAAAAAAATTTTGGGGCCCTTAAGCGGGTCCCGAACCCCACGCCGTAATTTTTTTGACCCACTTTTTTGGGGGACCAAAATTTTTGTTGGCCCCCCCCCAAAAAAAAATTGTGTTCTGGATGTGCCCTTGTTACCACATGGTGTTACCGTAAACCGAAACGATACCGATACTCCACCATGCGAAGCCTCAAATCTTATAATAAATATGTGCTTGGTCGGTATTAATCGCTACGTTTAAGACCGCTTGGAGTCTAGGTGCTGGTAATTGCCCGAGCCGAACAGAGTAATTAAAACCTCCACAGCACACATTTTATTTCCTTAATAAAACCTCTACAATGTGCGATTTTAATATCACCATCCCCCCACTCTAACAAAAAAAAAAAATTCTCCCCATCCCCGGAAATAGTGGTGACTGTAATGCACCCCACCCCTAGCTGGCCCCTTCCCCTATAATGACAATTACACGGAGTTTCATATAAAATACATGTACCTGATAATAATGTCCTCGACCCACATTGCTAAACGCAAATACAACCGATAAGACGAGACTGATGACGAGTCAAAATAGGATCGCGTACAGCAGAGGGTCTGAAGATACGCCAGGCGTATCTCCAGAAAAGAAAGTCCAACACAACATATTGACAAGAAAAAGGTCAGACAAGAAAGCTTACATTCGTTAAAAAGTGACACTGTAGTCTGCAGATCTTTAATTTATTTCTTTACAAGTATGTTTACATCTTAACATTTATTCATAAATACCTCAGACAGTTTAGCCATTCCTATTGGTCGGGAGCCCGTCACGTGGCCGGTATTAAACGGATGATAAAGACATGGCTAGCTGGTCTTAAACACTTTTCCAGTGTCACAATAAAATGTGGACTCCTAAAAATCCAGTGACTCTTATCGTTTCATTGGTTGAACGTTCACAATCCTCACGTAGGCATGCGCAACACTACCAGGGAGTTAGAATTTTATAGTTCTAAATTCAAAACGCAACGCGCCAGGTGCGTTCTGCGCGACATCGCGTAGAACATGATACGCGCGCGTCAATCTCCATTAAAGGGTTGTTTTCATCTTACTCGCCAGCTGAACACTCCATTATTTTGCAGGAGGGATGTTTCAAAAAGCATAAAGTGAATTTGTTGAACAAAATCGGGATGTTTTGAACGAATTATATGATTTTTTTTTAACGGAAAGGTATTTATGAATGGGAATAAATATGTACTCCGTCGGTATTTATCACTCTGTTTAATACCACTTAGAGTCTGGGTGCTGATAATTACCCTCGCCTCCGGCTCGGGTAATTATCAGCACCCAGACTCTAAGTGGTATTAAACAGAGTGATAAAAACCTCCGGAGCACACATTTATTCCCTTATTCATAAATACCTCAGACAGTTTAGCTATTCCTATTGGTCGAGAGCCTGTCACGTGGCCGGTCTTAAACGGATGATAAAGACATGGCTAGCTGGTCTTAAACACTTTTCTAGTGTCACAATAAAATGTGGACTCCTAAAAATCCAGTGCCTCTTACCGTTTCATTGGTTGAACGTTCACAATCCTCACGTAGGCATGCGCAACACTACAAGCGAGACAGAATTTTATAGTTCTAAATTCAAAACGCAACGCCCCAGGTACGGTGCGTTCTGCGTGACATCGCGCAGAACATGCTACGCGCGCGTCAATCTCCATAAAAGGGTTGTTTACATCTTACTCGCCAGCTGAACACTCCATTATTTTGCTAGAGGGATGTTTCAAAAACATGAAGTGAACTTGTTGAACAAAATCGGGATTTTTTGAACGAATTATTTGATTTTTTTTTTACAGATAAGGTATTTATGAATGGGAATAAATATGTGCTCGGTCGGTATTTATCACTCTGTTTAATACCGCTTAGAGTCTGGGTGCTGATAATTACCCTCGCCTCCGGCTCGGGTAATTATCAGCACCCAGACTCTAAGGGTATTAAACGAGTGATAAAAACTTCCGGAGCACACATTTATTCCCTTACTAATTCACTCGGCTACACCCCTAGCCTTCATCCAAATTATCAGATCTTGGTACTTGGTGGTTATCCTCTACAGAACTCCTTGAGGAAGTCTAACTATAAGAGGCTTGGAGAGTGGCATATTCAACTAAATCAAGGGTTTGAATTGATTGTGGTTTAGGCATTGATGACATCTTGGGGTAATCTGTTCCATTTTCTGACTGTCCTTGGTAAGAAGGATTGCATGTAGACATATTGGTTCTTGCGGTGATTTCATTAAATTGGCAGTTGTTCCCCCTCCTTTGTCTGTTACTTCGGTTGCAGTGCATCTGGTTGAATATTTACTGTGTTGTTGATGACCTTGCACAAAAATACTAGTTGGTTTAATTCCCTCCTCTCTTCAAGTGATTTCCAGCCCAAGGTAGCCAACATCTGAGTTACGCTACTTCTTCTTGAAAAATACTTGCAGACGAAACGTGCAGCTCGCCTCTGGACTCTTTCAAGTGAAGAGATGTTTTTGGTGGCATATGGGTTCCAAGCAGTACTCCCATATTCAAGGAGGGGCCTAACCAAGGTGAAATATAATTTCTCTTTGACGGACTTTGAGGCTGGGTAGAAGTTTCTCATGATGAAGTTGAGGACACGGGTGGCTTTATAGGCTGTATGTTCAGTCTGGCGGTTCCAACTCAAATTATTCTGGATGATGACACCGAGATAAGTGATCTTAGCTTTTACTTCAAGATTTACCCCTAACATGGTGTATGATGGTTTTACCGAGTCTCTTTTTCTGGAGATTCTCATGATATTGCATTTGCTTGGATTGAATTTCATACCCCAGGTATCTGCCCAGTCAGCCAAGGTATCAAGATCTTTCTGGAATGAATGCTCATCGGATGGAGAATGAATCTTGCGGTACATCAAACAGTCATCAGATCTCGAGGCATTCTTGCAATGCTGAAATCTTGCCAATAAGTCAAACCTCTATCAGGTTCCAAATTTGACCTAAGCAGAGTTTTGAGTTAAGCAGGGTTCTATATACTACTGAAGCCAATGGATTCTTTATTTGACTTAACAGTTGTTTTGAGTAGTCAGGGTTTGACTTACGGAGATTTCACTGTATAAACGATACAAAACATCAACTCCACCCATCTAGCAGGTGCCGCGCGAAGCGCGGCATCCCGCTAGTGGAGATCATCAATAGATAGAGATCAGTGGTTGAGCCGGCCAGGCACCCGACTACGACACAGCTGGGGTGACCGTGTTAGCCGATTTTCGGCTAATTTTGACAGATTTTTTTGTTAAAAAACGATCTTGACAGAAAATTTGACAGAATGGATTTTTTGGCAGTTTTCTGGCAGAATTCTTCAAAAATGGATACAGAAAAATGGATGACAGAAAAACATAGCAAATAGCAAAAATGTGACCTGCTCTACGAAAAGTCGCGCTGAGCATTATTGTGTAATGGCCCACTCAACATTGAGCGGGTGACAATTTCGTCGAAATGGGATTTTCATTATTTGATATGAATGCATGACATCTCTATATACCCACAGTTTCAGGTTTCATGCACAGAAATGTTGTTTTGATGAACAAAGTGGGAAAAACAACCATTTTGTGTGCATCGTTCTTTTGTTCTACAACAAAGTCAGCTATTTCAAAGCCTTTTTCCTCAGTTGTGTAATTTGAACTCCAAGGAAGTAATCAATATGCAAATACGTCATATCTCCAGAACGGGCCTGGGTACTATGAAGCTGAATTATATACCAATTGAAAGCTTACATCGTGGGCTTTTCCATCCATGTATATAACTCAATTTCACTTTTTTGCGACATAATACCCTTTTTTGTGGAGCTGGTCACAAATGGTACATTTGTTTAAAACAGCTTCAATCTTTTCAAACAAACCCTTGCATGGACAGGTTGGCTGGTGTAGGTGCTGAGGTTCACTGGGAACTGTAATTTGTCACGACGCAAAAAATTAACCGCGTTTTGCCTGAAATTTACTCAATTTTATAATATAATTTGAACCCAAATGAAGGCAATACTACAACATCTGCATGTGTAATTGTTTGTGTTTTTTGGTGTATTTCGAGTAATTCTAGGGATTTTGTCAGATTTTTGATGATTCTGACAGATTTTTGAATTGCATTTAGCAGAATTTGGCCATGACTTTACGGTCACCCTGACAGCGAAAATATCGTTTGAAACATTGCATGCATGCGCTATGCATTAATCGAAGGCCAGGGCGCACGCAACATTCCTGCTGAAAAATGGCACTCTTTTCCTCTCCAAACACCGATCTGTTAACGCAGGGTAGCCTCATTGTATTTATGGAGGTTTACCTGTATTTTCAGGGTTTATACTCTGTAATGGCTGTGACGATTTGTTTTTTTCTAATGGGTTTGGGTTACCGTAAGGCGCGATGTGGGTCAAGAGCATGCATCATTGTGCTTGGTGACATTGGAAGGAGTCCCCGTATGCAATACCACGCCCTTTCCTTGGCTGCAGTCAATTTTGATGTGGAGATGGTTGGTTATGGAGGTAAATTTAGCTCTTGAGCCAATCTGAGGAAAGAATGTTGCAACCTGATGCTGCTTTTTTTCTTTACATATCATCTCAATGAAGCCAGGTCAGTCATTGCAGAGACTAGCCCCATAAATGTGACCTACTAGGCCTACGTGAAATTTCCAGATTCCTTTGCACACGTTTGTGTATCAAAATTTCAACATGAAATTTCACAAAAATTAGACATCTGAAAAAGACAGCACTTTCTGATTAGCCTATAAAGAGGGTGAGTATGCTTCTAAAGCAAAAAAAACCTACAAACTAAGCCTAAACGTGAAAATCCAAATTTGGCAAAGTGCGACACGTTTGTTTACGGTGGTAGTCCAGTAAATTGGCCACATTTATGGGGCTATGCAGAGACTAGACCCGTGAACAAGGCTTGTAAACTACGCCACGCTGTTGTGTATTTCTGAACCTGGCGAAATTGTCCCTCTGACTCCCTCCATTACACACACTGGACGTTATTTTGCAAATGTAATAAGTACTCACATACATACATGTATGAAGCTGTCTTGAAATCTGTTTGTACACCAAAACTTGCATTTGACGAAATTTGAGGAAAATTCTGGCCCCGGTTTATGAAGTCCTGCTAGCTGCCATTTTCTCCCAAGTGACGCATGCGCATTGCGTTTTATTGTACCGTCCTTCGTATAATTCGACGGCTGTTTACTGTCGCAGCTAAAAGAGACATCGTTTTAGACAAGTTTCAAGTCCTTTCCTTTCTCACCGCACCGCACGCGGGCACACATGCGCCCACGTGCATGTGCGCACACGTACACGAGATGAGCCGAGCAGCCAATCGGGTGCGGGGTTGTTTTTTTCGGGGTTGCGACATGAAACAGCCGTCAATCTGTCCAAGCGACTCGTCCGGGGTCATTTGTCAGGGTCACTTGTCGGGTTAAAATGAAATTTCTACACGTTCGTATGGGTCTTTACTGATGGGCAAATTTCGTCGAAATTACACAGCCTAAACAATCGGACGGGCAAATTTTGATTTCTAGGTGAGTACTCAACACCCATACGGAATTATGTATGTCGGATCGATTTCGCTAGGTTTTAAAATACACAACAACGTGGCGTTGTATACAATGCCACGTTCACGGGTCTATGCAGAGACATGAATCTGGGACTGAGAAACATTTCCAATTTTGTTAGGAAATACTTTGAAATCTCTCTTCACTCTCCATAGACTTTGTCGCGTCAGATTGCAACATTCTTTTCCAATTGGGATATATAAAACAACTTGGAAGTTTTCGGGTGATTAAAGGTACAGTCCTTCATTTGTCCTACACAGTCCTTCAGGGTTGCGATCCTAAGTCCTAGAACTATGATGCTTCGCGGAGCATAGTTCTAGGTAGCTCTACTGAGTGGAGCGTTGAACTACGGTACCCTCCGTACAAACAGTTCAACGCTCCACTCAGTAGAGCTAAGTTCTAGGAGTAGGTTACGATGGGATTACCCTTGTCCGAGTAACTTGGACACAACTTATCGCCTTTTTAACATTCGGACATGGTCTGGCGATAGTAGGGTCCAAGCTAATCTGTATATGCCGAGCAACACAATTTTGTCCTTGACCCAAAAACCCAACATTGCCCAACAAAAACATCAGATTTCACTCTCAAAATGGCCTACAAATTACTTGATACGCCACCTGAGGTACAAGTAGACATCGATGATTAAGATGCATGGTTGTACTGAAGTTTACTTACAATCTGCATGAAAAGTGAAATTTCCCGTTCAATTCCGAGAGCTCCCCTCACGATCGTGACCACGTTTAATTTCCGACTCGTGTTAATGTTTGAACGACGCGATATTGTCTTGGATCCACATAAAGTGTTCGTAATAATGATCCTTCGGTATAGCGATTTTGAATCGCCGGTACCCTCTTTTGACCAATAGTGAAGTGGCATTTCCCGAGGCGTCGTCACGAAACTTTAGCAACGGGTGGTTTTCCCTTCTATTCCTTGGTGAAGTTATAGCCATCTATCGCTCTTCAACATTCAAACACGATGTAACTATTTTTTTTGTGTTAATCTGTTGACTTTGTTCAACAACAATGTTCAGTACATTTTGTACATTAAAACCGGGAGCCAAGGATGATGTTCGATATAGCCGAAGGTTCGATATAGCAGTGTTCCACTGTATGTAGCATAGACGTGTCCCGAAGAGTGATGTCATGATTAAGCCATCATGGGTCACATGATGTCACGTTAAATATTAGTAGATTTAATCTTTGAAAATCAATAGAAAATCAACCGTGAGAGACCTGATCTTGAATTTTTTGGGAATTGATAGAATTATCCAGGATCTTCATTTTATCTCATGTGTGCCAAATCACGTTACCCTTCCTTCTGGTCCAAACCAGAAGTGCCTTATAATTTGGAAGTGGAAGAAGATGTGAACTTGCTTTCAACGCTGTTAGTGTTTTGCTAATTTTCAGATTCGTTTGCACACGTTTGCATATCTAAACTCTAACACAAAATTACACGAAAAATAGAAGTCTGAAAAATGTGGGACTTCTTTTCTATTGCTATAACTTAAAAGAGGGTGAGTATGCTTCTAAAGTATAAATAAACTACAAAAATAATGACCACGCACTCGCACAACATGTACATGTACTTTGCAGCATATAATCAACCCTAGTCAGTCAGGTCGAAAATACCCCCTGTAACCCTACATGTATGTCCTAAAATCAACGTTTTCTTAAACCTAAGACTGTTTATATGCAGGTTCAAAGCCTCATGAGGATCTTCTGAGAAATGATAAAATCAAGCTGCGTCTGATGTCCGACCCACCAAATCTTCCTTCTAGTAAGTGGGTGCCTTAACATTCATGTAAAGTGTTAAAAATGTAGATATTAGGCCAAGTAAAACAAAATACCAGTTGATCCTCCCCGCTTGCTTCCTTTTTTGAGGCTGCATCAATTTTGTTTTTATTTTATAAATTTCAGACAGGCATAACATTTTTTAAAGATGTTTCAGAAGTTGCTTCTAATAGCTTGACTAATGTTTAATGAGCACATTAAGAAGGTTTTGTGGCCATCAACTAGTAAAATCAACAAGTAAAATAATAAAAAGGTGCTCATCCTCCTCTTTTTAAAAAACCCGGACGATCAACTGCTGTTATTTTTTACTTGGCCTTATTCAAGTTTATTTCACTTCAATTCCTACATAATACATGCACTACAAAATTTCTTTGTTCTAATACCGGTACATGTAATATTTTCCTATTTGTAATGCATTGATGGAATGATTTGGAATCACTTTTTAAGACATTGGTTAACCTCTGAAATTCTGGTATTGCCAAAATTAGTTGTTAGTATTTTTCAAAGGTCTTGGTCATAGAAAATTGGCTGATGTCTTTCATTTATGGGAAGCTGTTGTTACAGTTATTTTTTTGCCTTGTCTATTTCCAATAGTGAAAAATGCCATTGAATGTTGAACCATTTTGTTTGTGTACATTGTGTCAGTCGCTGATTTACACACTATGTAACATTTGTAAAATATGTCACAATGTTTATTGAAATAGTGGTGTATGTGGAGCTGCACCATCGCTTAGATTTTTGTGAAATCTCCTTGTAATGTCTTGACTTTGCATCTTTTCTTATTTTGACAGTAATCCCAAGACTCTTGAGATATGTGTTCAAGGTGATTTGGCAATCAATGCAGCTTGTTTGGGTCATGCTTGTTCAGCTGCAATGGCCCTCCCATGTGTTAGTCCAGGTAAACGTACACAAAATACAAGTCATTGTAACCAATAACATTTAGTGGCCTCATTTTCAACATAAGACCAGTCATAGGCCATTTACCCTAACCATCTCAGATTGCTCTTTATATAACTGACATACAGATCCTTGTCATTTGATTGGTGGAACTCACATCACGTGACATTCGTTATTACTCCCATTCACGCCGGGGCTGAAAAAGTCCCATTCACCCATGGGGAATGGGAAATGACGCAGTATTTGTGTGCAAATGCATGCTGGTGTGTGCGTTGCACGTAGCGCGTATTGTTCCAAAGAGCCAGCCATACAGAGTTGGGTTCAAACATTTTCGTGAAGGGGTGGTTTAGAAGAGAAATACATTTTCCACCAATTTTGTATTGAAATAAAAGTTCAAATATTTCAAATGACAAGGATCTATGTCAGTTATATAATACAAATATTGAATGGCTTTAAATTGTGAAATGGGAGGAATATTACCTGTTGCCTATCCCGCAGTCTTCTGACCGTGGGGGCACCCCTTGAAGACCTGTCAACCAGCTTCCTCCATCCCTCTCGATCCTCGGACTTTCTCAGGGAGTCACTCAGCGTCAGGCCTGTCCACTCCGAGATGTTGTCCTCCCACCTCTTTCTCTGCCTGCCTCTCTTTCTTCCTCCTTGTACAGTGCCTTGCAGGATCGTCTTAGCAAGTCCTGATGATCGTGAAATGTGCCCATACCACTTCAGTTAGCGCTTTTTCACTGTGGTCAGGAGATCTTCGTAGGATCCAATGACTTGCCTGATTCTGGTCCGTACCTCCTCGTTGGTGATGTGATCTTTGTAGGAGATGCCAAGGATCTTTCTGTAGCATCTCATTTCTGTGGCCTGTATTCTCCTCTCTAAGTCGGCTCTTACTCTTAGAGTCCAAGTTTCACAGGCGTAGAGGAAGACGGATATGACCAATGAGCGCATTAGTCTGATTTTTGAGCTGAGCATGATGTTCCGGTCATTCCAAATGGGCTTCAATTTTGTCGGCGCTGCTGTTGTCTGCGTGATCCTGGAGCATATTTCTGGTTTAGACCCTGATCTCTCACAACAGATCCCAGGTACTTGAAGCTTTGGACAGTGTCAAGCTTCCTGCCGTTGACCGTGATGTCAGTGGTGATGCCGTTGATACTGTTGGTCATGAGTTTGGTCTTCACTGATTTCCATGCCATAGGATGAGGATGTTTTGTCAAGGCCTTCCACTAGTTTGGCAAGCTCCTGTTCTTCTCCAGCTAAGCCATCGATATCGTCGGCGAAACGCAAGTTGGTGACAGTCCTGCCTCCGATGCTGACTGTACCTTCATGGTCTTCCAGTGCGTCCGTCATGATTCTCTCCAGAAAGATGTTGAAGAGTGTGGGAGATAGTAGACAACCTTGCCTGACTCCAACTGTCGTCCTGAACCAGTCCCCTGTGCTGCCGTTGAAGTATACTGCATTGGTGGCCTTGTCATAGAGGTGCTCTATTACCCTGATCAAGTTGGCACTGATTTTGTACAACCTCATGGTTGCCCATAAGGCTGCATGCCACACCCTGTCAAATGCTTTCTTGAAATCCACAAATACGTGGTAGAGGTTTTGCTGGTGTTGTAGATATCTCTCGCACAGTATCCTGAGGTTGAGTATCTGTTCCGTTGTGCTGCGCCCTGCTCGGAAGCCTGCCTGCTCCTCGGCAACGATCTCTTCTGCTTGCGGCTTTAGTCTGTTTAGCAAGACTTTCAACATGACTTTGCTTGGATGACTTATAATGCTGATTGTGCGGTAGTTTTGACTCTGTTGTAATTGCCTTTGTGGGGAGGGTAATGATCAATGACTGAGTCCATGGTGTCGGCCATTCTCCTGTCTGCCAGATCTTGTTGCAGATAGTTGTTAGGGCAGTAATTACGGCCTCTCCACCTGCCTGAACCAGCTCTGCTGGAATGTTGTCCACTCCTGCCGACTTTCCTTTTTTCAGTGATTTCACCGCTGCCTCCACTTCTTCACGAAGGATGGGGTAGTTGTCGGTGTTGGTTGCTGGAGGGACATTCAGTACCTCTGGGTCACCTGTGGCTCTGTGGGTGTACAGCTCTGAGCAGTATTCTGTCCATCTCTTTAGAAATAATAGAATCTCCTGTTCTTCTGTAAGACAGTTTCCTGCTTTATCCTGTATGGTGGTAACTCGCCCTTGCTTTGTGTTTGTCAGGTGTTTCACAATTTGATAAGCTTTCTTACTATTGTTCTTTTGTAGGTTTTCCTCAATGTCTTTGCACTGTTTTTCTATCCAATTCTCTTTTGCTTTCTTCATGCCCTTTTTGACTTCCTGATTAACTGCTTTGTACTGCTGTGCCCCTTCTACTTCATTTTTCTTTTTCTTTAGCTCTCTCCTTCTATCATACAGATCTAGGATATCAGCTGTGACCCATGGTTTCTAGACCGGGTGATGTTTGCCAAGGATCTCACTGGCTGTCTCGGTCACCGCTGTGTTGAAGGTGTCGATGAACGCATCCAAGGCTGTGTCATCCACATCAGCATCAGCATCAAGGATGATGAGTGGTGCAAATTTCCCTCCAATCATTGCTTGGAAGGCTTCTGCTACTGCTGGGTCCTTCAGTTTCTCAAGGTCAAACTTCATCCTTGTGTTGCTCTGCTTGTTGACCTTCTTTAGGTGGAGCTGGAAGGTCATCAACACCAGATCGTGGTCACTTCCTATATCCGCTCCTGGGAAGCTTTGTGTGTTGGCCATGTTCACACTTGTTTGGAAGCGTCTCTTTACCATGATGTAGTCGATGTGGTTGTGGTGGTCTCCACTTGGGCTGTGCCATGTCCATCTTCTAGATGCTTTATGATGGCCAAATGTATTCGTCATCACAAGATCGTTGTATGTGGCAAATTCCAGGAGTCTCAATCCTCTCTCGTTGGTCTCTGCATGTGCCTCTCCAGTTCTTGCAAGCATCCATTCCTACCTTGGCATTCCAGTCGCCTTGTACAACCAGAATGTCTTTCTTCGGGGTTTGATCCAAGACTTCTTGTAGCTGGTCATTAAAGTCTTTCACCTCCTCCTCATCGTAATCAGCCGTTATGGACGTATGCCTGGATGATGGTGGTGTTGAATGGAGTTGCCCTGAGGCGGATGGTGATGAGTTGGCTAGAGACTGGCCAACACCCCATGACTGTATTCACAACGTCCTTGTGAACAAGAAGCCCAACGTCGTGAGCATGTTTATCCTCTCTGCCACTGAAGTACAGCTTGTGGTCTTCCAGTGTGGATGTTTCCCCAATGTTCTTCCATCGTACTTCACAGAGTCCAAGAATGTTCCAGCGGTATCTGTTCATTTCGTGAGTGAGTTCTTCTAGCTTGCCTGCTGCTCTCAATGTTCTCACATTCCAAGTGCCAATAGCAATGCTATTTCTGGCACGAATACTGTTGTTCAATGCACCAGTCGCATACTTTCCACCTCGGCCCTGATGCGCAGCCGGAGGCGCGGCCCTTGGTAACCCGGGCGACGACCAATCCGGTATGGGTTGATTGCTGATTATCATCTTCATGAGGTGTGTCTAGGGCAGGTGTCGCCTGGTGGTGCCCAACCCTCTCCAGGCCTGACCACAGCCGATGTCCTCCAACTAGGTGGCTCGCCTTGGTCACGAACATGTGGCCGTTAAAGTTCGTCTGGGAACTCTTCCGCCCTGGCCGGTGACCATCTTCGTGGAGGTCCTTCGCCCAGTGGTGTCATGTTAACACCACCCCCTCACATGGTTTAGTCCGCCAGCTGAAGCGGTTTACCAGGGTGTGGCGCTTGAAGCCAACACGTGAGAGATTTAGGGGATGGGTGAGGACCAATGATGCCGACCCACTCATAGAGTGCAGCGTGGAAGACAACCAGAAGTACTACCTCTCCCCAGAGCCCCCTACACCCCATCGCTCGGTAAAATCTGGACTTTTCCAGTTCACCCGGCTTCACCTTGTGAAATGGAAAAGTCCAGATTTTACCTTGCGATGATATTCCTCCCATTTCTCTCTGAGCCACTCAATATTTGTATAATATCCACCATGAGTCTTTGGGACATTTTGTGAAATGGGAGACATTTGCGACGTTGGTGGCAGCAAACATACATGATTTTCCTCTGTGCACGTCCGGACAAACACATTCAACAGCTAGCCGTGAGTGGGTCTGTACGGTCTGACTGGGCCTGGGCCAATTACGCACAATGAACCATTTGCCGTATGGCCGTATTCAGAAATGCGAGTACTTGTACTCGTACTCGTACTCGGAAGTACAAGTACTCGTACTCAGAGACCCGTTCTTGTACTCAGAGGTACAAGTACTCGTACTCGTACTCGGCAACCTAAGTACTCGGCAGTACTCGGTACTCGGAAAAAAATACTCAACTACAACACTGCTTTTTCCATTGTTTGCGTCAAATTGGGCATGCGCGCTTTAGCAATAAACATGACGTAAACAATTGAAGAAGGACCACTGCTACCAACGTCTGAATAAGTCTCCCATTGAGAAAGGAACCAACCAACCGCTATGACAGATTAACCCTAACAGAACTCAACCCATCAAACCCAACAGTATGTTTTGTTGGAATCTGTCAGGATGGGTACAGTACCCCTAAACTGACAGTCTTTTACATTGGGTTGGCACACCTCCAGAAATCAAAGTCAGAAATAAGTGTATGCAGTTTCCCATATGGTGTTGGAATTTGCCAGGATGGGTATGGCTCCTTGTAAATCATGCTAGGTAGTTAGGGTTAAACTCCCAAAACTGCTCATCATAGCTGCCTCATTATATAGGCGAGTGGATTAAACCAAACATTTTGGGTGAATTGCAACTAGGGTACTACCAGCTAATATTGGTATTTTTTTTAAAGTTGGGACCCTGAGTAGTTCAGAAATAAAAATTACCCGGAATCACTTTGGGGGAACATGTTCAAATGACGTCATCAGAATAATTGCATTAGTGCAATTAATTGTGACCCACCCCAAAGAAATGAGGCACAAGTTATCAGAGCTACTATTGCATTACAGGCCTCTTAACAGAATCTCGCACTAAAAGCTACAAAATGTCTATTAAGCATTTTTTTCACACTGGGGTTTCATATGATTTAAAAATGGTAAATTAAACTATTGATTTTGATGCGTGAACGGGCCTGAAAATCTAATAAAAAGCAATCATGATTGTGAGCAAAACGAATGTCAGTTTTTATTAAATTTTTAGATTCTGTTACGATGCTGGAAGTGCACTAAGTAACTCTGACGACTTATGCCTCGTTTTGTTGGGTTTGGTCACAGTTAATTGCAAGAGTGTGGTCATTTTGATGACGTCATTCAGACATGAAGCCCCAAAGTGATTCTGTGTAATTTTTATTGCTGAACTAGTCAGGGTCTCTACTATCAAAGAAATACACAAACATAGCCATGGTTGATGTTCTTTATTCTTGGCAGAATCCACCAGCCATCCCGACGTTAGCAGTAGCTTGGCTGTGTAGTCGATTGTATGGCAGTAAGTTCATGATTGACTGGCACAACTATGGCTTCACTATACTTGGTCTGACACTGGGAAAGGATCATATGCTGGTGAGAATCACCAAATGGTGAGTAATCAAAGTCCTACATACAAAGTAATCCAAAATAAATCAGTCTAAATCAAAGCAATTCACAATACAGTGAAACACCAAGCATTTCTTAAGAAAAAGCAAAGTGCTCTTAGGCATGTTAGGAGGAAATGTGTACAAATTTGTTTGGAATTTGGGGAAAACAAAAAGAAGAAAAAAGTACAGTTAATTTTTGTTTAATACTTGAGCTGTTTCTACCCCGTGATGATGTGCTGTGTGTGTCTATAGTGTAAGGGAACCAGGCAGTGTTTCCCCTTGGTTGCTGGTGGGTGTGAGGTGGTAAAAGAAATTTGGTAAAAAACAGACCCTTTATATTCAAGTCCTGAGGGTCAGCTACAATATGTTTCTGAGCCGTTTTCTGCAAATTTATGATTTTAATAAAGAATCACATGGCCTTATTTCAAATTGTTGGTAGAGGGGAATGGCATCACCAAAGTTTTTGATATACATCAGTGAGGATGTTTGGGTTTTAAAACTTCTTAAGTTTTTCACCACATCTTCATCTACCATTCGCAACATTAAGCAGTTTCAGGTTTAATACGTCATCAGTGAGAAATTTCATCAACATAATCTTCAATATATTGAAGACAAAAATATATGCTTCTTTAACCCTTACCCTACTAGACCCTCCAACGCATGCCAATATGTGCCTCAAGAAAATCTCCTATGTTTTTTGCATGGCCCTCCAATATCTGCCATGTCATTTCAAGGGTAACTGGACAGGCACTCCAATACATGCCACAGAGAACAATGAGAGTCCTCTGATAACAAAGTGAGTGCCCCCAGCTGGTCAGTATCAGGCACCCTCCAGGGCCTCCAACTCCTGCCAATTGGAGCCTTCACAGTCAAGATAGTTTATCCTCCAATTAACTGCAGCTGGAGGGCATTGGCATAACCAACTGACATGCAGTAAACTACCCTCAGAGAGTAAGGGTTAAAGAAAGAATTGTTGCAAGAGGGCGCTGTTATGAACCTTTAGTTCAAAAGATATGACTTCTGTGGTGTTCAAAGACACTGTAGGGACAGTTGAAATTCTCCACAACTGTCACCCCAGACACACAAGGATGGGGTTTATGGGGTACTTGCATTGTTCTTCCTTTATCCCTCTTCTTTAGAATTTCCCTTCTGGGGTACCGTTTTACAAAGGCCAACTTGTGGGGTACAATCGTTCCCTTTGTGTTAGCACCCCATAAGGTAGCTCTGGTAAAGAGCTGCCTTACATACATGTATACTTGTGGGAAGACCATTGTTTCCCTTATTTTGTTCTCCTTTGTTCCTATTGAAATCTCAAACTCCAAAGCGTTTCCCTCATGGGATAGATAGATTTCTCAAGACTTCCTTGTGGGGTCTATTGTTCTATTGTGTTTTCTATGTATACATGTACAGGCCTACTTTACATACCTACTGTGGACATTCTTTTGTCTTTGTGTAGTTAAGAAAAAAAACAAAGAAAAACAACTTAAGCCCTGTCCGCACTGGACTTTTTTTGGTCAAACTAACCGAGACTATGGGTACTTTTCCCATTTTAAGTCCAGTGCGGACAGCCTAGGACGTTTTCCTCTCGGTTACTTTTCCTGAGTCCAGCGGTTACTTTTACTGGCCAACTGCTGCCCAGGAAAACTTCCCACGCGCCCAGGAAAACTGACCAGGTCACTTTTCCCGAGACGATAAGTCCAGTGCGGACAGTGCGAGTCGGTAAAAGCGGCTCAGGAAAGCGTACATCCGGCCCGAGCGCCCTGTTATGCATACAGAGACCGCACGAACCTGCACGTGCAGTGGCCGAAAATTTTGTAGAAACACGCTGCGGTGTATCATCAAGTCCGAGCGGTAAAATCTCGTTAAAATATATATTTCAACGGACAAATACATACACAGAGAGAGATCACGTTCTCTGAGAATTAATTTGCGGAAAGTCTCTTTCTCCACCGATGTATGTTATTTTCTACGATCCAAATTCGTCCTGATACGCTACTGAGTCATGCACGGAACATCATGGTCCGGTACCGTACGTAGGCCGTAGTCACTGGTTCCTGGCCCACATCATAGCTTCGATTCTGTAAGCATGCGATGGGAACCAACGAATACTGATGGCACTGCTGCCGCACGGAACATCGTACAGCAGCATCACAAATGCATCACAAATGCATCACAAATGGGTCAGAATTATAGGCCTTCAGTTTTCGTCAAGATTTAGCGTGTCAAGATGAAATCATATCGTGTAAACAATTATGTTGTGCATGCAAATGGCGTGTGTAATATTACTGTGCGTATCGGCGGCTGAAAATGTGATCGGCAATTTGTTTTCTGAGTACGGTGAGTCATTATACTGACACTGTGACAGCTCGGTTACTTCCCCCACGCGGTCTGGGTAAATTTTCCCGTGTCGAAAGTCCAAGTGCGGACAGTGGTCACATTTGACCATTTCTCATTTTACCATCGTCTCGGTAAAACCTTCCCAAAAAAAAGTCCAGTGTGGACACGGCTTTAGTTTAATCTCACTGTGGATACTCTTTCGACCCATTCTTTTTATCATGATTTCCCTGAGTGTTCCTCTTTATTTTGAAACATATAACCCTAATTCCAAAATGCCTCTAAAACTGTTTTCAGAGAGGGGGAACCTAGTGTGGACGTGGACAAGCCCACACAACACTCACACTTCCTTCACTTACGAGCACACACAGTTGCATTTTACCATTATATCCGAGGACTAGGCATTGTGTTTCCCTTTGTCCCCATAATACAACACTCTCTCATAGACTAAGCACACACACTTTTCGAGGACCATTTTCAACAAAAGATGTACGTTAGAGTGTGCACTCATACCAAAAAAAATGACAACCCACAATTGTAACACATTCTGCATTTGTTCAGGTTTGAAGGTGTGTTTGCTAAGTGGGGTGATGGACATCTGTGTGTTACCAATGCTATGAAAGATGATCTGACCAAGAGATTTGGACTCAAGAAACCCATAACTCTCTATGACAGACCTCCTAAAGTCTTCAAGGAAACACCCTTAGAATCTCAACATGAGGTAAAGGAAATTTGGTGCAACTCACTCTTTTATTCTGGACTAAAAATAGAAATACATGTAATCAATAGCCAATGTGTCCGCTACTTATTTATATTATATTTTGTCTTAGAGAAACTGTTTTTGAGCAAACTGTAAACTCCTTTTAGAGATCTTAGTCATGAAATACTGTCATGAAATGCGATGATTTGATTTTTTTTTTAAATCAATGAATGCCTCTTCTTAATAATAGTGTGGTTGTTATGATTACCTGGTATTGTTTTACTACAAATTATTTTTTAATGTGGGCTCCATGCGCAAATAAGAGGGGGCGCGTTTTTACCACTTTTGAGAGCCCCATGGACGGGACACACCGCGTGCACATACTGGTTCGTATAGCGAGAAGTCGGCAAGACATATATTACTCTGAATGTGCATAAGGCAATTCCTTTGAATGTCTCACCCAGTGGTCTCCCCCAATTCTCCCTTTCTTGCCAGTGAGGGGGTACTTGTGCACGAAGCTCATAGCAGCCAATAGTTTCACTTATTTAAACAAGATTGTGTATTTGCAGTATTTATTTTTGTATTATCAAAAGTATAAGGTCATTTGATTTTACTCATTCCATTTCAGCTGTTCACACGATTAGCTGAAGATTATCCGGTATTTAATTCAGCTGAGAGTATATCAAATGCCACAGCCTTCACAGAACGGACCTCATCAGGAGAGATAGTGAGGAATGGCAACCGTCCTGCTTTGATTGTAAGCAGTACCAGTTGGACAGCAGATGAAGATATCTCAATCTTGCTGAATGCATTACAGGGTGAGTTAATGATAAGTGTGTTACAGTGAAATGAACTGCAAGTTTTTATTTTACAAATAACGGTGTGGGCTTTAGTTTAATCAATTTACTTGCAGTGTAATTCGTTTGCAATTATCATTTCCAAACAGATGTCAGAGTGTTTGATTGATTTGGAAATATAATGTTTCTCTTGATTTAAAAAAATGTAGGCTGTTGGAGAAAGTTTTTTTCCCAATTTTTCTGTGTGTGCATACTTCTGTACATTTCAGTTGTGTTCACATACAAAGGCCAACTTAAAGGGAATGTACAACATTTGCTTTTGCTGCAATTTTCAGAAATAAATGGATTTGGAGGATTAGTATGTTATAGCAAATATTGTTAAACTGACTTGTTTCACGTTTTGGGCTTGTTTATGCTGGAAAAACCAAGAAAACCAATAATTTTTTTGTAGTCTGGTTCCCCGACCCCACTTAAGATGAAACGGAGAAACGTAAAGACTTTGGGGAATTGTAAGGAATTGTAAGGTCAAAGAATCACTCTAGCAGGTTTGTACCCCTTCACAGGTGTGTAATCTATTGCAAAGAAAATGCGGAATAACTAAATATGAAAACAGTTTTTGAAAAAGCCAGTGTTTTCCAACGCTGGTCAGCCGACCAGCGTTGGAAAAATACAGTTTTTCTTGAAAATGTCAGCACACCAGGAGGCACGATTTTACAGGATGCTTTAGACTGTCAATCCCTAACAATTCAGTAAGGTATTTCGTGATAATTTGATCATTTTGTTTTTTGATGTTTGCAAATGTTGTATCTTCCCTTTAAGCCCTTCAAAATTTCAGTGAGATTGCGTGATGTTGGTTTTTTTGCCCCAGCCCACCACTGGGAAGTTTTCAAATTTAGAAAATTGGTGTCCATGGTGCCGGTGTACAGAGTAAATGTACAGTCGGCTCCTGTTATTACGAAAACGGTTAGGACAAAATTCCGGTTATAACAAACACATGTATCTTAGGTCCCGGCAAAATTGTGCACATTTCTATGGGGAGAAATTCGCTTAAGACGGAATCAGACAGTACAAAATTAATGTTACAACGAAAGGTTTTGGCGACCCCGTTGCGTAGAAAGCATTGTTAGCGACCCATTTATTACGAAACAAGTCAGGTGTGTTTACAAACACAAATGCCCCGCAACCGTGACTGTTCCCATGACATAACACCTATCTTTTAACATCAACTGACATGTACATGTACTTGGGTCACATGGAAAGTTCACTGACATCATTAGTGTTTTCTGTAGGTTTTATATGAATTAGGCCTAATCCCTATGATCTCAGAATAAATACAAGATTTCCATTGTTTTAGACACTGTGACCTTGACCCTTGACCTTTCAGCCCCCAATGCAATAGGCTTCTTAGGATTACCAAGAACAATCCACAAACCAAATTTGAAGTTCACAAGTAAAGTATTTCTAAAGTTATCACGCTGACAAAATTTCTTTTGTTTTAGCCACTGTGACCTTGACCCTTGATCTTTTGGCCCCAAATGCAATAGGCTTCTTAGGATTACCAAGAACAATCCACAAACCAAATTTGAAGTTCACATGTAAAGTATTTCTCAAGTTATTGCGCTGACAAAATTTCTTTTGTTTTAGCCACTGTGACCTTGACCCTTGATCTTTTGGCCCGAAATGCAATAGGCTTCTTAGGATTACCAAGAACAATCCACAAACCAAATTTGAAGTTCATATGTTAAGTATTTCTCAAGTTATCACGCTGACAAGATTTGTCCGGACACACACACCCACGCACGCACACCCCGACTTACGTTACATACCTTGTGTGGACATTGCTTTGTTTTCGTGTAGTTAAGAAAACTCGGTACAAAAAATAACTTTACTTAAACTGTGAAAACTCTTTTAACCCAATTTGTTTTCTATGATTCCCTATAGTGTTTCTCTTCATTCTGCTACAGATAAACCTAACCCAAAAATGCCTCTAAACCTGTTTTCCAGAAAGGGCAAAACCTTATGTGGACACGGCTTAGTCCACATAACGTTAACACAACCTGCATTATGTGGACCTCTTTTGTTCACAAGTCCACATAGGGTATGTAACACAAACTCACACCCACCCACCCACGGAAGGACAAGGCGGAAACAGTATGCCCCTTCGGCTTCACTGCGGGGCATAAAAATTGAAACCACAAAAGCTGTACTTCACAGCCTTTTTTTTCTTTCAGACCTAATCTGAAAGCAGCATAATTACGGTCATGAAAGGGTTTAGTCAGTTATTTAATCTTGCAGACACCGTGGTATGTTCACTAATCACGCGTTGCGGTTACCAACAAAGGCCTGTGAAAACATGCTGATGATACCATGATACAATGATACCCAGATGGCAACAGGAGAAACCATCAGCCGGAAACAATCACAGAGTACGTGACATCTTCTGCACCCAAGTTGACATGGACGATGAGATTTACGTGGACACGCTGCTAGCTAGGACAAGTTTGTCCGAGGCAGGTTTCAATGACTTAAGCCAACCCAACATATCCAAATGGACTCTTTTTTTTTTCAGTTAAAAAAAGAGATTGGCATATTGGCAAATAAATTTTTAAAAATGAAAACACACCAGATCAACAATTTTCCACCAAACCTTTATTACCCAAAAACAAATCCTGCGCCATTAAAAAAAGTCTCAAAATGAAAATTATGTCATATCCCCTCTTCGTAACCTGATTGAACCCAATCCAAATTTGGAAACATGAACTCCTAAAATTGGCCTAACTATCATTTTAGCACATACCACAGAAAATGTTTGTGAATTAAAATCCAAACAATGCCTTCGCAACATGCAGCAAAAGATATCGGCCCTTCCCGTTCGGTATATTTTGACAAAGGCAACCGCTGGGAAGAAAATGATTGTCTCGTCACTGCATTATGCAGACCGTACGCAGAGGATTGTGGGTAATATATGGTGCAAGCCAATAAGATCACATTGCTTCTGTGACAAAAAATTTCATCAGCCATTATTTTCCAATCACGATGTACCATTAAGACATCATTGCTCAGGAAAATGTCTCATGAGGGCGCTTTCTCATCAGCTGGTACAAGCAAGCAAACAAGTTTGCATTTTGGATCAAAACGTGGAAATTACATGTAGAAATGAACCAAGGTCTGAAGGTCTCTCGGACTTAATTTTTGCTGGATTAAAAATCAGAAGAGTTTACTTACGCTGAACAATACGGTCTGGTTGATTTAAGGGTCACACTTCCGCTGGCGGTCGATACGTTGACTCCGTCTTCAACCCTCGAGGTTTTCATAACTTTATTTTTTCGGTTTTTTTTCTTCAAATTTACATATCACAATCAGAGTGTGCCATACATTTTACATATTTTCACAAACCCTTTTTATTTTGTTTGATAGTTCTACACACCCAACACTATGTTCTATTCATTTTGATTACGCACGTGAACATCATGCACGTTCATAGAGCTAACACAAAAGTGAACAATGGGTTGAAATCTATTGCATCGGATAATACGAAATTCAGATATAACGAACATTTTGACCGGGTCCAGCGGTTTTCGTAATAATGGGAGTCGACTGTACATTCTGTGCATTATGTGTATGCAACTATGCACTGTTGTGTTTAATGTTCGTGTAAGTTCTGTCCCTCTTGTTGGAATACTGTAACAGGAATCTTGTGGATGCAGATGTACCTTATAGATGCTGTTTTAGAGTCCATGATGCTTCTGAATTGTTTGGCTTTCGAACATTTTATTGGGGTGGTCATCCCAATTTGAATTTTTTTTATTTTTTAGGATTTTGGTTAGCCAGGTTTGAAAGGACATTTAGAAAATGTGTTTGCTTAATACACGTATCAAGTTGTTTAGGGCTTTTTGTGTTGTGATTTCTTTCCAAGAATTTGACAAGGCATATCAGGATGGTAAGAACTTACCCCACATAGTGTGCGCTATCACTGGCAAAGGACAGCAGAAGCAGCATTATCAAGATATCATTGGAGGCATGTCATTGAAGTCTGTCAAGTTCTGTACACCATGGCTTACCGCGGAAGATTATCCATTGTTGCTGGGTAAGTCAGCAGGATTAGAAATACAATTATAGAAATTAACAAATCCATAATTTAGCGGTGTGTCTGTGTTGCCTGATTCACTGTTTAATAAGACAAAGCTGTTAGTCCATGACATGAGCCTTTTCATGAGACATTGAATATCAACTGATTTAAATGTGCAGTTTTTATAATTGGGGCGGGACGGTCATTCCATGTTAAAGTGCTTAGTTATTCAACTTGATTGGTAAAGTTTAAGAAGAGCTAGGGATGACATGTTTGATCTCAATTCATTATGACTGGCTAGGTTCATCTGACCTTGGGGTATGTCTTCATACATCATCAAGTGGCCTTGATCTACCAATGAAAGTTGTAGACATGTTTGGCTCTGGACTTCCTGTATGTGCAGTCAACTTTCAGTGGTATGTTACATCATCAATCATATCTTAACATTAGAGAGTTCAAAAGGATTGCGTACCTGTTCTTTTATGTTATGCAATGCCTGAAACAATCCCTGTCATCTGATAAGACCGGCCACACTGCAAAAATAGAAGTTCCATTCCACGGTCACACTACTTACCAATCAGATGACGAGGATTTATTCAGGTGTTGTATGAAACAAATAATGAATGTTTTACATTCGTGCAGTCGAAAGAATACTTTCATTCAGTGAAAGATGAAATGTTCCATTCCATCTGTCACCTCATAAAATTATTCTTACCATTGCACTCATAAACATGTGCTGCTTGTATAATACTCACTGATCTGGTACACGGTACCCTGTGGAGACATATGCACAAAAGGGAAGAAAAGATTGTATACGTCTCCACTGTAATTTCTATTAGTGAATACGTCTAAACAAGGTTATCACAAAATAGATATATGGATTTTACTAAAAAACTAGGAATTTCCAAGGAGTGTTGATCCGTCGCAAATTGAAGTATTTCAGGCCGAAAAAAAAAATTTCTGCTTCCGATTACATGCCTTTCAAAAATAGGGTCGGTCGGTTGAATTTTTTATATTTTTTTGCCAATTTTTTTTATGCAGATTGAATGGGGTATTCAATAATATGCGAAGTTTTAACCTGAACTATTTCCATTGCACTACGAAAGCTATACACAAAATGGCCACGAAAAGTGAATAAAACCTACCTTAATTATTGTCCATATATTAACGTTTGATAATTCTTAAAAAATAATGGAAAATTCAGGCCGTTCGCACCATATGCACATTGCTAGTCAAGACGGGAAGCTGGCCAAAACTCCGAAGTGTGTGATGCACTGTGCATGTGTGGCCCGCGGCATTTTTACGATATCGAATCCGACCAGTTGACAGTGCTTGTGCCTAATGTATAGCCATGCTAGCGCTAGCGATCGCATAGCCATGACAGACTGGTTACCACACTTTCATCATGTTTTCTGAATTGGCCCCTGCGCGGCGCGGCGCGGCGGGAACCAGTCGTCACTGCATTGAGCAAGGTCTACGCACGTTATTATAGTCACCATGACATTGAATTGCGAGGTACATGTATGATGACAGATCGCGAAGCGAATTTGGTTTCTTTTGAAAAAAATTGCGAATGTTAGTAAGAAAACAAATAAATACAAGCTTTTTTTTACGCAAATGGGTTGTTGAGAGGTATTTTGTGAAGACAGAAAAGACAACAAGCTTTTATTTTTATTTATTCAATCATTATTATTTATTTTTTTTGGAATTGCCGATACAATTTTTAGGGTCGCAGCCTAAAAATAAGGTCGGTCGGGTAACCGGAAGCAGAAGTATTAGTTTTTTTTGGCCTTATGTAAGGGATATTAAGTCCGAATTTCAACCCAGGAAATTATTTCTGGTTAAAATAGGAGCATTTTGAAAGTACACTTTCAAACTCGAAAACTTTAGTACATAACAAAGAAAACACTCTGCAAGGATGCAAATTTCAGTATGTCTATTGTGTGCAGAGTTTTGCCAACTATAACGTATTCTGCATAATTCTTCATTCCAGTATTATTTGCTATAAATCAGTCACATATCTGCTTGCTATTACCTTTAGCTAATGTGCATGTACCATCCATTAGGGAACACATCCTAAACAAATTGTGTGAATTTTTACTAGCTTCCATGTGGTGTACCTGACTAAGAAGACAAACAATTCATAACATTTTGGGAATTTGTGTTGATATGCAACAAGGTACAAAATAGCCAAAAGAATACGTTGCGATGATATAAACGAAAATGTGCTTAGAGGGGGTGGTCCACAATTGCCGGTGTTTACATACTCAGGTTGACCACTGTTCTGTTTTGGCTGGTACCCGTTATTGTTTTATGCGTAGATTACCAACATCAAATGGCGATAGCGCAGCAGCTTAGTACAAAATGTCGATGCGATTATTGTTGGACACTGTGCACATGTATGGGATTCTGGAATGTTCGAAATCCCATGGACTCAAATAAAGTGTACAAATGTGTGAGTATGAGCATAGAGCAAGGACCCAAGGAGTCGGAACTCTTGGGCGATTTACATTTTGAACATTAACATACCAATCCCTCGGGAATGTCTATAGCTACAGCACTGTGACCGCAAGCCTCGACCATTCAAAGCGTGAATGCCAGCGGCCTTTGAACATGATGATCGTCGCCGCCTTTTTAGTTGGTAACCAACAACCTCCCTATATGCTGCATAATAAGTCATGTCACGTCGCTGCTCTTTTTTGAAAAATATATTTTACGACAAGATAGGTTTTTACAACTGCGCAGTTGTTAGATGTGACTTATGAACTCAAGTTAGCAATGTGCAGTTGTTGGTGCTTAAAAGCGTTATCTGTCCCTGTAATTTGGAGATAAATTGGATTTCTTTCAGATAAGTTTTCATGTATTTTCAGACATTTTAATTGGCAATATATCATTGATGAAATGTGTTTTTTTGGAAAATTTCACAAGTTTTCACACTAATGGTACAGAGCATTTTGTTCTTCATGAAATGATTGTTTCAGTGATGTTGACCACATTGTTAGCCAGCATTAGCCAACTCCGAACAAACACTTCAAAATCATTCATTTTTAGCGATGTATGACAACTGCGCATGCATATTTACCATGGTACTGTCTACGAAGCCATGCAAACTCCTTTTTTTGGCATTAGTGAGCGTGGATCTCTATTGTGTCGAGATTAGCGTAGTGAGCAACTGAGCAAGCTGGCCGCCAGGTGCTTTCTATTGTAGCTTTCGAGCACGGCGACCATCATTTTACTTTTGAGGTCTTGGAGTACGAACTCCTTGGGTCCTTGCTCTATGGTATGAGTGAAAAAAAGTTGTTGACTGTCAGGCTGGCAACCTGGAACTTTTGGTTGTCCGACAAAATATTTTTGTTGTCCTGGGACATCAGGCAGCCGATTTTGCAAGCCCTGGTTAACCTTAGTCTTCCAAATGATGTGACGTCATCAAACCAGAAGTTTCATGTTTTCAAACGTTTTTTACTTCATGGTGAACATTTATCCTCTCTGAACTGAATCAGCATTCAGTTTGCACATTTTGACTGATGGTTTCATCAAACCAGAAATAATGTAAACATGTTTGTAAAATCATAAATGTATACTGAAATTTATCATAACCCAAAAGCTCCTTTTTTTTATGAAAACAAATACATTGTAGTTCTACTCCAGAGGCTGAATTTCGTGATCCTGTTCTGACAAAACAATATTAACAACTTAACTGGGCAATGTCCAATGATTGAAATAGTTGTTTATAGCCCGATCACCCTACAATTGTAACTCGACAGACGCGAATCTCTAGTTATCATTATATCCATTATGTTTATTTTTGAAAACAGCATTGGTGAGTTAGTGAAACACAAGGAAAATGGTTTGGTGTTCGATAGTGCTGGGCAGTTGGCAACACAGCTTCAAGTAAGAGATCTTTTTATTTCAAATTTATAAGGTTTTGATATTAGTGAAAAGCAAAAAGAATCACCATCTACATGTATGTGATAAAGTGGGTTCTTTCTGTTTAATTTTAAGTCTACTGGCTCTTTTTGTTGGGATTGTATTGACTAAGCAGAAATATCTTAAATCAAGACTTACCTATATGTACACACATGTACTTGTAGGAACACTGATTTGTTGGCTTGTGTTTGCAGTTACCCTTTCTTTGTTGCCCTGGAATATGAAATTCAATTCCAGGAAATGTTGACATGTTTCAGGACTTAATGACATTACCCAGATTGTACCACGTTTCAGGGATGCCTCTGGTTCCTTCGCAAAAATGAAATCATTCTGACCCTTATTTCAAGGGCGGATGGGGGGGGGGGAAGGGGCCAATGGGGTCCACCCCCCCCCCCCCAAAAAGTTTTTGTTTTTGCAATGAAGGCATGCACTGCGCACACCACCATCTTTTCAGATGATCAAGGATACAAAAAAAAATTGGGGGCCCTTAAGCGGGCTCTGCACCCCTCGCTGTAATTTTTGGGACCCACTTTTTGGGAACCAACAAATTGTTTGGAACTTGGAAGACCAAAAAAATTAATGTGTTCTGGATCCGCCCTTGCCTTATTTGGACAAGAGATAAGACTTCCTCCCAAATCTTGATATTCATCATACCCATTTCGCTAGATAGAACTGACTTGCTAACAAACCCTGGAAAGACATCAATTACAGGCGTTGACAAGCAGCTTGAAGTTTGCTCTAAGTGCTTTACTTTCAGTTTAAAATGACAAGATTGTTGTGATTGACCTTTGAGTTCATGGAGTGGTTCATTCAGTCATAACGTAGATCAGTTCCAGAACTACAATGTATCTGCTACTCTTTTTCTTTCTTTCAGGAATTGCTTGGAGGTTTTCCACAGGACCAGCAATGCCTTCAAAATTTCAGGAAAAATTTGCAACAATTCCAGTCAGAAAGATGGGAGGAAAATTGGGACAAGACTGTTCGTCCAACTTTGTATACATAAAAGGATTAAAAATGGATGGTTTCTTGTCTGATTTAAATCTGTAAAATGTGTGTGCTCTCGTAAGACTTTCAAAAAATGGAAACTTTACTTTGATTGTTTCATCTGCAATCAAATTTGATTCAGATTTCTTCCGCAGCAACTTTCTTTTTTGGTCGATGTTTCTTTACCATCCATGCCATCAGAATGCTTGTAATACACAATTGACATACATGTAATCCTCTAGCTAACTCTCTGGAATTCAAAGGGTACATTATTTACGGTACTGTATGAATAGATTTATTCATTCAAAATGAAGCATCCATAGGCTTTTGCAGAGTACTGAAAACATACTTTAATTTTTTTTGGCTTTAATTTCCTAGCAGTAGCATATGGTATTTTTCGTTCATTCATTTGTTCAAAGTGAAGACCCCAAGAATGGCTGATTGCACAAGTGTTGGTTATAGCACACATGCACAGACATACAAACAAATAATTTGTGACATTAAATTCTTTGAAATACCAATAGTGACCAGGCCAAATCAACTTCAAAAGGCCCTCGTGACAGGTAAACCCAGAGCAAGTTCGCACAAGAACTATTATTAACCATAGTTGGACTAAAGTTAGCCCAAACTCTGGCTAGTCGACGATGGTTGGACTACTCTAGTCAACTATTCAGGACCAGCCTACCGCGGCTAATCGCGCCATGATTTATAGCTGTCACAATCCATACAATAGGTTACAATTGTATGATGTCAAAGTTTCCCGGTGATTGGCCGCCATTGTAGTGGGCAAGCGTTTAGTTAGCAACCACGTCATTGCAAACTAGAGTGTAGGGCTTATTTTCACACTCAATTATTTATCAAGTGTAATAATAGTCACTACCTGTGTACAGTTGTTATAATCGTGTTGGCTCAGCACTTTTCTATCTGTTTTTGCCATTCATCACAGCTTTAAAGTCTTGCCTAGTCTTGCGCACCGTGTACATGTTTGCCTACTACTATCTTTGCCAAACATTTTGGCTAGGTCCGGTCCGGCCCAGTTTGTACTAACGAGAGTGGACTGTAGTGATGCTGACTGTCTGCTACCCAGATGTAGGCCGATTCACATGATCAGTGAGACAGCCCAAGTTCACATATTCAGACCAGCGTTACACAGGTCCACTACAGCTGCAATTTTGACAGCAGCACTTTAAATTTGTGTAAGTCTTCTGTTGTTTGTACTTAAAAGTTTCAAATACACTAATCTGATTCTTAAAAACAGTCGTTTTATCAGTAAATTTTGATTCTTCATATTGTCTTATGTTGAAATTATGCATATAACTTTTTATAAGATTGGTTTTAGTTGGTCCATTTTAAACCACCGTTAGTGTTTTCATGTAGTTTGTTGTCCAATTTCAACATGACATTGCCTGCATTACTTTTGTAATTGGACAGTTGCTAACAAAAATCGTTTTCCAAGAAACAAGTCATAATTTTATTGAAAAACACTGGAATGCAGAATTGTACATTTTATACTCCATATAATGACCTTAAAAATCGACCAATTGTTCAGTATGTTCAATTGTGCACCCAGTCAGTGTATAAATCTTTTAAAAGGAAAAAGAAAAAATCACCATCATTCTTCTTTTAGTGTTTTCAGTGTGAAGTTTAATTTTATAGTTTCCAAGTGTTCTGTGTATGTTTTGGTACCAATCGTACTTTGCTATAATAAGGTGATTTAAATGGTGGGATGGAGCAGTAAAAACTGTGTGGTATTAATACCGGTTAGGGATCCGGTTCTCAATAATGGCCCAGGCAAAAGACAAGGACCCTAACCGGTTTCAAACATCACATTCATAACTGCTCCATCACACTACACGTATACTATTCCCATTCATAAATGCCTATAAAAAAGCCATAAGAAGTCTAACAGTGCACAAATTAAAAATATATATATATAAATAGATAATAGGGTTCCTATTAACTATATATATGTTGGTATGTACCAAAATAATTCAACAATATTCTTTACAGGTAGGGACTGCTTGCACAAAAATATATATTCTTTGGAAGCACCACCATAAGATGTGTTTAACTGAAAATACATGTTTTCAACAAATGTTTATGCACATACAAATGGACAAATAGGCATATGGCATGAGAGTGCATTTCAATTGCGCCGTTGGGAACTTTACATGTTGGATTCAGGCCATTCTCATAATTGTTTTCATACAAAATTAACAATCGATAATGTCTATGTCCCACACAAAATTCAAACAAATGCTTTATCAATGAAAGGAAAGCAAAATAAAAGGTTAAAAACGTCAAAACTTGATGTCTCTAAAACAACTGTCTCTTCTTTTTGTAAATGATGACTCACTTGATTCCTTTTCTCATGCATACCTGGTAAAAAGCATTGCCCTAATACATGCAAGACTTGGAGTGTCCACTGAAGCTTGTCTGTTACAATGCAGCCCAAAGTAAAAGCAACTCTATCTGGATTCAGATCAGATTCCCCCAAATCATGGAATTAGCTCATCATACATACTCCTTTTTAAAATGAAAGGAAAATAAAATACTAAAGCCATATGCATCATGTGTAAATATATATACATTATCAAAAGACAAGTTGCCTTGTAGCATAGTTAAATATATATATGCATATGATAAATAAAATATGTAAAGTACTTAAAATTATTAAATCAGTTATACAGTAACTCAACCAGTGCTCACCAAAGAGGATATACAAGCTTTTCCAGACACTTTAAGTGTTTTTTGGCAACTGGAACACTACCAATCTATTATTAGAGTCTGTCCACAAAGCACATAGCCAGCTTGAATCTTTGCATTCATCAAAGAGAAACATGTCGTCGTTTTGCCCACGAAGTGACAAAAACCTCGAAAATCAATCATTGTTCGAATTAAAGTTTTACTAGCCTTATTATAGTTGTCTACAATAGTTGACCAAGTTTCAAAGCGAAATATTGTTTACTTTCTTGATTATTGTAAACAAACATTTGACAAAAAGCATGAAATCCGCCTTTTTTCGTTTTTACGAAGTGTAAAAAAGTGTAAATTGTTCTCAAAAAGTGACAAAAAGTCGCCTCATGAGCAGGGCCGGAGAAATTATACATTGGTCTACACGCGTCAGGATGGGAGCATACACGTGCGCACGAACGATGTTGAAAAAGAACAGACGCGCACGCTCAACTGTCATATGACGCGTAAAAGTAACAAATTTGTTGCGTCAACAAAAGTACAAATAAGTACAGCCTCTGCGGTTTCATGTTCCCACGAAATGACAAAAACTGTGTACAAAGTAATGGGGAAAATATGGGACCCAAAGTATTGATGTTCTCACCAAGTTCTCCAGTGCAAAAATGTTGTATTAATGAATTACTGTTTAATTAAGAACTATTTTTAACAAACAACTATGAATTAGCAAAGAGCAAATCATAAGCTATCGGACAATGCAAACATTTCCGAATTCTGTTACTGCGAAGTAGTTGAAAATGTCTTGGGATGAACTTTTGTCGAATTTTGAGGTTTTGTTAATACTTCGTGAGTAAAGCGACGATGTACATGTCATCATTGGAGTATGTGGGCTGACAACCACAATGAGAAGCCATGTGCATCATGTTTGTGCACAGGCAGTATGCGCACATTCAGTACCCCACTGGGGTTGTCAAATTAAGAACACATGGTTGTGGCAAGACAAATGTGATCACTAGATCAGTCTATAGGCCTGTCTCAGATTGAACTGCAGATGTTCTTTTGAAGCAGACACCAACTTCCAAGACAATGTTTGGTGTGACCAATATACAGATTGTGGTCCGTTGATCACACCAAGTTTACTTTGTGCTTTCTTTACAGAATCATTACTGATTTTAACTGTGTCCAGTTGGATCTTTGCTTTAGCGTGCAATGGTTTACTAATTTGTTTCTTTAAAGAGAGAAAAATACAAAAATATAATAAATAACATACAGATTTTTAGTTGCTCAATTAAAACGCTTAGAAAATCTTTTATCACCAGGTATATTCAAAGTTAAACATATCAAAAGATCAAGAGATGATGGATGCTCAGCCAGATCATTTGGGTGCTTGATAACAATAAGTCAAAGCATTCATTTACAAGCTGTTACCACTGTTAAAAGGTTTCACGTCAGATTTTTGTGCACACGTCTTGGACACAAGTCATGTCGGTTATTTGTTGAACACCATGGTGCAAGCATTCAAGGATCAGTCTATTACTGCAGTAAAGCTGGAAAAACAGCTCAACATTTATCGGCGCTTGTATGATTTAAAGGTTTAGGCGACAAAATTTGCAGCATCCAAGCCGACGGTTGATGGATTCTCAGATCCTAGATGACATATCTACAACAACAAAAAAGGAAACAAAATCTGAGTGATCTCCAATATTTATAAGGAGAATCTAAAGCCATGTTGGCATTGGACTAATATGTGTGTGTGATATTTTACCTATATGATAATGAAATCCACATTGGTAAAATCTTACCAGTGTCCACACTTGGACTTTGGACTCAGGAAAATTTGACCAAGATTGTGGCTTAAGTAACCGATCTGGGAATAAACATATCTGTGCGATAAGCTGTCACTCTTATTTGTCGTAAAGTATGACATGAATAGCGAACGCTGTTCACTAATGCCATATTACAAAGTATACTTTAATGTCCAACAGTGTCCATAATAGCTAGGATGACTTTTATCAAAAAATGGAAGGTGTAAGATGAAAGCCGTAGAAATCATGCACAATGCAGGGTTCCTGTTTTGTGTAACCTGAACACCGTAAATCATGCACAATGCAGGGTGCCTGTTTAGTGTAACCTGAACACCGTAAATCATGCACAATGCAGGGTGCCTGTTTAGTGTAACCTGCACACCGTGAATCATGCACAATGCAGGGTGCCTGTTTAGTGTAACCTGAACACCGTAAATCATGCACAATGCAGGGTGCCTGTTTAGTGTAACCTGAACACCGTAAATCATGCACAATGCAGGGTGCCTGTTAAGTGTAACCTGAACACCGTAAATCATGCACAATGCAGGGTGTCTGTTAAGTGTAACCTGCACACCGTGAATCATGCACAATGCAGGGTGCCTGTTTAGTGTAACCTGAATACCGTAAATCATGCACAATGCAGGGTGCCTGTTTAGTGTAACCTGAACACCGTAAATCATGCACAATGCAGGGTGCCTGTTAAGTGTAACCTGAACACCGTAAATCATGCACAATGCAGGGTGCCTGTTTAGTGTAACCTGAACACCGTAAATCATGCACAATGCAGGGTGCCTGTTTAGTGTAACCTGCACACCGTGAATCATGCACAATGCAGGGTGCCTGTTTAGTGTAACCTGCACATCATGCCCACATGTACAGCTTTTCGTTTCTGTATTACCGACTCATACTGTCCACACTGGACTGCTCATCTTGGGACAATTGACCTGTTCACTATTATTGGACAAAGTTTGGCAAGTCAAAGTAACTACTCGACTCAAGCTGGTAAGTGAGCTGGTTGCACAAGACTTAAATGGCAAGAGTTAACACCGTCTTGGTGAGTTTTGCACACACAAAAACAGTCCAATGCCAGCATAGCTTAAAAACCACATTTGTTATGGACATGAGAGTCAACAGGCAGGCAGTAGTTAAGCAAACACTTTGATAAAATACATTTTAGAAAATAACTTCAATAAAAAAGTAACTTAAACCATTAGAATTATAGACAGGGCACACTTCAAGATTAATGTCAAATTAGATAATGTCAAATTTTGTATATAGACATACATTTAAACATATGTAAACTGTGTTAAAAAAAATTGATGTCATTTTGCAAAGTATTTTCTTTTTGTGTCATCAAGTTTCTTGATGATGTCATAAGGATGCCATATTTTTGGTGTATATATCTATGAACTACCAAAGCTACCACATGAAGAATCTGAAGTCACCATGTTTTGTTCATGAGATATGCTGACAAGATTCACAAGTTAAAAATATTTATAAAAAAATCACATGAAGTCATCATGATGTCACGTCAATTTCAACCTACTTGGTGGGTGATCACCCACTTTGCGTGAGATCAATTTGTGAACTATCAACAAATGAACAGCTAGTGACACAATATCCCTACACACCCATGCTTGCTTTACATTCACTATGTAGACAATATCCCTACACACCCATGCTTGCTTTACATTCACTATGTAGACAATATCCCTACACACCCATGCTTGCTTTACATTCACTATGTAGACAATATCCCTACACACCCATGCTTGCTTTACATTCACTATGTAGACAATATCCCTACACACCCATGCTTGCTTTACATTCACTATGTAGACAATATCCCTACACACCCATGCTTGCTTTACATTCACTATGTAGACAATATCCCTACACACCCATGCTTGCTTTACATTCACTATGTAGACAATATCCCTACACACCCATGCTTGCTTTAAATTCACTATGTAGACAATATCCCTACACACCCATGCTTGCTTTACATTCACTATGTAGACAATATCCCTACACACCCATGCTTGCATTACATTCACTATGTAGACAATATCCCTACACACCCATGCTTGCTTTACATTCACTATGCAGACAATATCCCTACACACCCATGCTTGCTTTACATTCACTATGTAGACAATATCCCTACACACCCATGCTTGCTTTACATTCACTATGTAGACAATATCCCTACACACCCATGCTTGCTTTACATTCACTATGTAGACAATATCCCTACACACCCATGCTTGCTTTACATTCACTATGTAGACAATATCCCTACACACCCATGCTTGCTTTACATTCACTATGCAGACAATATCCCTACACACCCATGCTTGCTTTACATTCACTATGTAGACAATATCCCTACACACCCATGCTTGCTTTACATTCACTATGTAGACAATATCCCTACACACCCATGCTTGCTTTACATTCACTATGCAGACAATATCCCTACACACCCATGCTTGCTTTACATTCACTATGTAGACAATATCCCTACACACCCATGCTTGCTTTACATTCACTATGCAGACAATATCCCTACACACCCATGCTTGCTTTACATTCACTATGTAGACAATATCCCTACACACCCATGCTTGCTTTACATTCACTATGTAGACAATATCCCTACACACCCATGCTTGCTTTACATTCACTATGCAGACAATATCCCTACACACCCATGCTTGCATTACATTCACTATGTAGACAATATCCCTACACACCCATGCTTGCTTTACATTCACTATGTAGACAATATCCCTACACACCCATGCTTGCTTTACATTCACTATGTAGACAATATCCCTACACACCCATGCTTGCATTACATTCACTATGTAGACAATATCCCTACACACCCATGCTTGCTTTACATTCACTATGTAGACAATATCCCTACACACCCATGCTTGCTTTACATTCACTATGTAGACAATATCCCTACACACCCATGCTTGCTTTACATTCACTATGTAGACAATATCCCTACACACCCATGCTTGCTTTACATTCACTATGTAGACAATATCCCTACACACCCATGCTTGCTTTACATTCACTATGTAGACAATATCCCTACACACCCATGCTTGCTTTACATTCACTATGTAGACAATATCCCTACACACCCATGCTTACTTTACATTCACTATGTAGACAATATCCCTACACACCCATGCTTGCTTTACATTCACTATGCAGACAATATCCCTACACACCCATGCTTGCTTTACATTCACTATGCAGACAATATCCCTACACACCCATGCTTGCTTTACATTCACTATGCAGACAATATCCCTACACACCCATGCTTGCTTTACATTCACTATGCAGACAATATCCCTACACACCCATGCTTGCTTTACATTCACTATGTAGACAATATCCCTACACACCCATGCTTGCTTTACATTCACTATGTAGACAATATCCCTACACACCCATGCTTGCTTTACATTCACTATGTAGACAATATCCCTACACACCCATGCTTGCTTTACATTCACTATGTAGACAATATCCCTACACACCCATGCTTGCTTTACATTCACTATGCAGACAATATCCCTACACACCCATGCTTGCTTTACATTCACTATGTAGACAATATCCCTACACACCCATGCTTGCTTTACATTCACTATGTAGACAATATCCCTACACACCCATGCTTGCTTTACATTCACTATGTAGACAATATCCCTACACACCCATGCTTGCCTTACATTCACTATGTAGACAATCCTGTAGTTAAGAAATGACATGTTGAAAAGTGCTGCCACTTACTCTGGAAACATTTTATGAAAGTCGATTTTTGACCTTGATTCCTCTTCATGTTCTGCTTCATTTTGCAACAAACCCCCTAACCCAAAAATGCCTCTTAAAACTGTTTTTCAGAAATTGGAATACGCTGTGTACCTGTGAAATCCACATGTCTTGAGACCCTACATTGTCAGGCACGGATTTATTTCATTTCAATATTATTCAAAACACTGAAAAGAAAAATCAAAATTGAAACATGAAACACTTCTTTAAGTTAAAAAAAAGAATATTATTAATAATTTGTTAAAAAATGTATTGATGTCATCATGACATTCCATATTATGCATACTATTTACAAAATCTACCCACAAAGTTTTCAGACAATCCAACATTCCATGTTTTTTTTTATCGCATTTTTAATGACATCACGAGGATGTCACACATTTCTCCAAATTTTGGGCATATCTTTTACCTTCCAAACCTCTTGCAAAAAGAATTTAGCATTTTTGTGAAATCCACATGTCTTGAGACCCTACATTGTCAGGCACGGATTTATTTCATTTCAACATTATTCAAAACACTGAAAAGAAAAATCAAAATTGAAACATGAAACACTTCTTTAAGTTAAAAAAAAGAATATTATTAATAATTTGTTAAAAAATGTATTGATGTCATCATGACATTCCATATTATGCATACTATTTACAAAATCTACCCACAAAGTTTTCAGACAATCCAACATTCCATGTTTTTTTTTATCGCATTTTTAATGACATCACGAGGATGTCACACATTTCTCCAAATTTTGGGCATATCTTTTACCTTCCAAACCTCTTGCAAAAAGAATTTAGCATTTTTCGTTAGATATGCAGATAATATGAAAAAAATTAAAAATCAATGAAAATTCACATGATGATGTCATAATGATGTCATGTTAATTTTCATCGATAACACATACCTGACTTTGTATTTACAAAGTTTCAACCCAATTGGCCTTGTAGATCTCTAGATACAAAACTTTAAACTTTGTACCTTTAAGATGACGTCACATGACCAATGATGACATCATCATGATGTCACTTGGTTAAGACCACCTTTGGCTGAGGGTCCTATAGTCTGGCCTAGTTTGAAGTCAATTTGATTCAATATATTTATTGCATTTCATGTCAAATTTTGCAATTTGAAAAAAGAAAATCACATTTTTGATGACGTTATGATGAAGTCACACAGTTTTCGAAGTTTTGTGCACATATCTATGACCTACCAAACCTAATACCAGAAGAATTTTGAATGTAACATGTTTATTCGTGAGATATGCAGATGAGATGAAAAAACTGACATATACAAAAAAATTAACATGACGACATCATCATCATGTCACTCCAATTTTCATCTATAACACATCCCAGTATTTGTACATACAAAGTTTCAACCCAATCGGCCTTGCACTCCTGTTGATATAGGCCGTTGAAAAATGCACCTTTAAGATGACTTCACATGTCACGTAATGACGTCATCATGACGTCACTTGTCCATGCACAACCTTACTATGGGGTCTTAGTGTATACCAAGTTTCATGAAGATCAAGTCTGTTTATAGTCAAAACTGACCCCAAAAATGAAACAAGTACATAAAGTCTATGGGATTTGGGATAGAAGAACAAGGGAGAAAAAGAAGAAAAAAAACAGAAGAAAGGTAACGGCTTTTCCGCAGATTGTGCAAAAGCCAAAGAAGAAAAAAAAGTGAACAGAAAAACAAACTTGCAGAAAAGCCAACTAAACAAGTGTGAGGATTGTAAATTATCGAATTTCCTTTTTTCAGCAATACTTGTACCAACCAACAGTAAGAAATACCAGACAGAATTAACCAAGCTTTTTTATGTCAATCTTTGATGCTTTGAACCAAGTCCGTAGCCATTTTGTGAGTAGTACAGTATCGTAAAGTGTCAACATGTTCCTCCATTTAAAGATTGTTTTAAATAAAAACGATCGGAAGTAAACTGCTTTATTTAATTCTTAATTTCTTGAAAACCTACCAACTTTGAAAAATCTATTATTCTGCTTCGTTACAAATTAATACAAATACAAAAGCGAAAATGTATTGTGTTGATTCAGGGGCGACTTTTATTACTGGCTGGTTTTAAACACTTCTCGGCAGTGTTAAAATAAGGGAATAGATGTGTGCTTGGGAGGTGTTAAACACTATATACTTCAGACAGGTTGAAGTCTGGAATGCTGATAACTACCCGAGACGACGCTGAGCGTAATTATCAGCATTCCAGACTTTAACCAGTCTTAAACATAGTGTTAAAGGGAATGTACAACATTTGCTTTTGCTGCCATTTTCAGAAATAAATGGATTTGGAGGATTAGTATGTTATAGCAAATATTGTTAAATATTGTTAAACTGACTTGTTTCACGTTTTGGGCTTGTTTATGCTGGTGATGTATATTGATTTGATTTCAGCGATTTTGTTACAGTATTCAAATTTCATTAATACAATTAATAATCACAATCTTTGCTTTACACGTACACTTTATTGAACTTATTTATCTAACCTTCTTCAACCCCTTCATATAATTAAAACTTCTTTTTTTTTTTTATTTATGAATCATTTGTTTTATTTTTATTGTAAAACGGTAATTTTTGTTTATTTATTAATAACTATTTATTTAAAGAATTAAAAATGCAATATTTACTCATTTATTTAATTAATTAATTAATTAGGCTAACTTACCAACTTGTCTAATTATTTATTTATCTATTAATAGAAGTAGTAGTAGTAGTACATGTAGTAGTGGTAGTAGTTGAAGTACAATGTATATATTAATTTGTTTATTCATTTAATTTACCTAGTACAAATGTAATTGATTTTTTTTTTTTTTTTTTTTTTTTTGCTTTTGATTTGTTTGTCTAATAATTATATAATTTACCAACTTTGTTCTTGACTTAATGTAACTTTATTTAACTTTTTTTGTTGTTGTATAGTTAAAACTTCTTTTTATATTTATTGCTTGTTGTTTTCACGTATGCCATTCAGTTTGGAGAACCCCTAGACAGAAACAACGTTTCTTTTGGGCAATCCTTCGGGAGCTGAATGGTATTTTGTTTTTGTTTGTTTGTTGATGTATCTAAAGCTTTTGTTGTTTTGTGTTGTAACTTTAGTCATTTGTTTACATGTATTTGTTGATATTTTCCCGAGAAATAAAATAGTATAGTATAGTATAGTATAGTATGCTGGAAAAACCAAGAAAACCAATAATTTTCTTGTAGTCTGGTTCCCCGACCCCACTTAAGATGAAACAGAGAAACGTAAAGACTTTGGGGAATTGTAAGGACAAAGAATCACTCTAGCAGGTTTGTACCCCTTCACAGGTGTGTAATCTATTGCGAAGAAAATGCGGAATAACTAAATATGAAAAAAAAGGAGCTGTTTTTGAAAAAAGCCATTTTTTTTCTCCAACGCTGGTCGGCCGACGATGCTTTAGACTGTCAATCCCTAACAATTCAGTAAGGTATTTCATGATTATTTAGTTTTTTGATGTTTGCAAATGTTGTATCTTCCCTTTAATACCGACCAAGCACATATTTATTCCCATTCATAAAAAACCTTTTCGGTCACAAAATCAAAACTCTTCGGTCCCAATGTCAAAACAAGTCAAAAATTAAAATTTCTAAACGATTTTCTTCAACAATTTTATTTTTTGTTTTCGAAACACCTGACTAGCTATATAATGAAATGTCCAGCTCGCGAGAAAGACGTAAACAACTCCTTTTGTGGAGTTGCGCGTACTGAATTAGCTTCCTTGCGCCTAACAGGCAGCATCGAGCTGTATACTCCCCAGGGAGCTGAGATGGTATATGGAATGTTTAATTGGCCCAATGATTAGGGATAATAATAATGTAAAGCGCTTTGATCTTAGTTAAAAGTGCTATATAAGAACCCGTTATTATTATTATTATTATACAGCTGTGGTGAGTGCGTTGTGAATTTGGACAATGCAATACTGACTCACTGGTAGTATTGACCTATCACCGTTTGCGAGTTAGCCACGCCCCTTAGACAACCCAATGGAATTTTGTATGTTAAGTTTTGTTTGTCTCAGATTGTACGCGTTCCACGTCCATTTGTATAAATGTAATTGGACATTATTTCACAGGCTGGGTTGACGCGGTTCTACCGCGATAGGTTAATTGGGCATGCCTACGTGAGGATTGTGAACATTCAACCAATAAAACAGTAAAAGGCACTTAATTTCACAGGAGTCCAAAATTCATGTGACACTGGAAACGTGTTTCAGACCAGCCAGCCATGTCTTAATCATCCGTTTAAGACTGGCCACGTGACGGGCTTTCGGCCAATGGGAATGGGTAAACTGTCTTAGGTATTTATAAATGATGGTTTGAAACTACCAATGTGGTTTAAAACCACCTGTGTGACAGGCTCAGGACCCGTAGGAATAGGAAAACTGCCCGGGTATTCATGAATATGGGATCTTTGTGCCAGGTTTCATTTGCATATCCAATGCATCACTGCGACTGAAATATGTGCAAAGTCTGTGGGATTTCGGAGTGCAAGGAAAAAATACATATCACAGCAAAACACAGGATATCCTGCAACTATTTTGAAAAAGTCAAAAAAACTTGAATGATAACAGCTGTTTGAGCTGATGTGCTGGAACAGCCAATGAATAGTGGAAAAGTACAGCAGCCAATAAAATGAAGAGTAATGATCAAAGTATCCATCTATGTAAAGGGGACAAAGTTTAGGTCTCTTTGAAAAGACGAATAGATGAAAAACAGTAACTGAATAAAAATTGCATGTGGGGAGGTATGCCTACATTGAGTGTCATGTTCTGACAATGATACCTTGTTGATTGGTGTTTGGATGGTGGTTCACATGTATCTTGCATGGTATCTGATGTTGCTGTGTTGTACAGAAGATTGTCCCATGACTGAGATCGCCGATAGGGATTTGAAGTGGGCTTTTGTGTTTCTAAAAAGAAGTTACAAAATATGAAACCATGGTTATACATAAAACTAGAGGCTTTGCTTTTGTTGTTTTTGGTGTGTGTGTGTGTGACAAACGCAGGGTGACGGGATGCGACACTATTTGGCTGTGCGTTGTTTCAGTTCAGTTATGTATGTCACAATTAAAGTATCAAAAATTCAAATATGAAACTCAGATTAATTTATCAGTTAATAAGCATTATCATTTGATCTAAGACAGCGAAAGGAAATTTTTTTCGAATTACACGATTGTTTATTTATATGTATTGATTGACATTTAACTTCCAGCATTTGGATGCCTAACATCAACAATTGTTGATGTCAGCATTTTTACCACAATCATTGCTATTGGACTCTGAATGGTGGATTTGAACAAGACTTGAAAAAAATTATCAATTTCAAATTCTCTCTAGACTAACTTCCAGTCTGATAACGTCATCATTTGGAAACTTTGCAAATTATTTTGTCAGTGTTTGTGGGCAACCTGAGCAACATCCATTTTGTTTTACGTCCAGCTACCGCCAGCTAGAGGGAGCCTCTTTGAGTGATCACGTCATCATGAATTCTTTTGGGTTTAGCGTCCACCATTGAACATTGGAATAATTTGTTTTGATTGTAGTATTAAAAATGCCGTCGTTTTCGAGTTATGTTAATTTCTCATGGAACTTCCGGTAACATCGGAAGTAAATGTCAAGGGGTTTTGTGCCTGGGACTCAACAATGTTGCCCAAGGCAATATCTACCGCCTCACACATAGAAATGAAAACGGCACTCAATTCAGTTCAAAAGTTATAATTCAAAGTATTTTATCAAGTTTACCCCAAATCACTTGTAATTTGAGATATGATGATGTCACACAAATTCAACCATTTGAACATAATGATTTTCCCTTTTACAGGGAACGTATCTCATGGTTGAAACTATCTGCAAGATTGCATACTTCCCAAATTGCCGGTGAGTGAAAGATCAAGAGGCCTACAATGCAACTAGTAATAGTGACAATAATGGCTGGCAAAGTGGACCCCACAGCATGAACTACAGTACTGTCTACAGAATATGTAAATAATTCTGAATGACTTACTCTTGAGATCTTTATCATCACTTCCATATGCGCTGCAAGTGAACAAATGGTTGGAAACATATTTTGTTGGTTTTCTCCTTTTCTAAATTCTTCGGCTGAAGTAAACTTAAAAATGCATGAAACTTGCTTGATCCGTACACCGGTTACTAAGACAACAATCCATCACAACTGATGATATTCATCACGTGACTCAGTTCTGTTGTATAATAATGTGAATCATTTCTGATCTTGCATGTCATGGAAAACAAAATCAACGGCTTTGCTATATCAAAATACAGTATCATGCTTAACATTATGTGGACTATAAAGTAGCCCCCTTGTCGATAATGTGAACCATCCACATAAATCTTACATCATAAGTCTCCTTATGAGTGCCATGGTTTCGTGGTCTGGGGCATTGAATTCATGGTCTGCGAGTAATTCTGCCGGTTGTGGGTTCGAGTCCAGCCTGCGGCTATGGTGTGTGTGCCCTTGGGCAAGGCCCTTTGTCACTCATTGCTTCTTCCCACCCAGGAGTAAATGGGTGCCTGTGAAGGCAGTGATGGTTATTGTGGTTGAATTAGCTTCCTTGCGCCTAACAGGCAGAATCGAGCTGTATACTCCCCAGAGAGCTGAGATGGTATTTGGAATGTTTAATTGGCCCAATGATCAGGGGTAATAATAATGTAAAGCGCTTTGATTTCAGTTAAAAGCGATATATAAGAACCTGTTATTATCATTATTATTATATTAAGTCAACATATGTATAATGAATCATCAAGTCTCTAACTATGTGTATGCAAAGGTTTGGGTGTAAGACTGCAAGTCCACAAAATTGAAAAAAAGTATACAAACTTTGACTGCTTTGAATTTTCCCATGGTGACGCTGATGAAAGATAGCACTCCATTCATTAATGATGAAGTGAGTTAAAGAAGTCAATATTTGTTTTATAACACAATACTCCCCGATTTTGCACAATTTCAGGGCTATCTGATTATTCAAACCGAAACCCTGAAAAAAATTATGAAAGTGGCAATTTATAAAACTACGTACAAACAATGTGCATGTCTGTACATACACAGATATAATAAAATAGAGTTTTGCCTATGGTACTTTTCAGACCAAGGCTGCTGTAAGTCTTTGAGGGAATGCACGTTCAATAGTTAAAATACCAAATACCATGAGACATGTTCTCAGCCAAGAAAATCAAGAAACAGAATCTGTGGGTGAGGATAAGTCTTTTCAAAAGAACAAAAGGTCATGTAGGCTTGCTAAAGTGAAAATTTTGTGTTCACTTTAGTAAGCCTACATTGAGTGTCGTGTTCTGAAAATGATACCTTGTTGGTTGGTGTTTGGATGGTGGTTCACATGTATCTTGCATGGTATCTGATGTTGCTGTGTTGTACAGAAGATTGTCCCATGACTGAGATCGCCGATAGGGATTTGAAGTGAGCTTTCCAACTCTGCCTGTGTTTGTTTGTTCATCACCACTGTCAATACTATCCAGGTCATCAGCTAGTATGACAGGTGGGTGACAAAAATGGGATATCAATGCATTTCTGAAATGTTTATATCGCATAAATTATGAACTACATGTATAACACAACCATGATAAGAAAATAAACAATCACTTGTCTGTTTGTCAGTAAAAAAAAAAAAGCACTTCAATGCACGGAAGCCTGACTACTCCCCATTGAGTTTTTCAAAGCTTTCAGTACGAACTGAGAACATGCATGGGTCCATATTTATTAGTACTAAACAAGTGAACCCTTGCAAAGTGCTATCATGACCTGGGTTTCTAAAGCTGGTCTCTGATTGGAAATTATTAAAATAATTACTTATAATAATAAGATATTATTAGTAATATTAGTTGTGTCAGGCTGCAGTATGCAAGTTAATATCATTGCTGTGAATACTAAATTGGCAGGAACCACATATTAATGGCTTGGATACAGCTACAATATGTAAAAAAAGAAAGAATTGATCGGGTGTAAAACACAAGATAATAGAGGGGTGGTCATACATGATGATATATCCCTAATACTTGTTTTAGACAGACATTTCAGAGTCATGCCAAACCAAACAGTATTAGGATCAACTCCGACTGACCCAAATAGACTTTTGTTTCAAATTGTAGACAATCTTTATGCATTGATTTTTCATTCTCCAGACTCTATAGGATCCTTCCACAAAACTGCAACACTGAGTCAATCTTTTGACACAGTCCCTCTTAACTATTTCAAACATCAAAGTTTTCATGCATCAAAGTGCAACTCTGGATCACGTGTCTGAAACAGGTGTTAGATGGCTGGTTAGATGATGAAAGATGCCATCAAATCCCACAAGTCTCACAATCACTGGCATCCAAACAGAATTACCACAGAATTGATACTCCTCAGTGATCATGATCCATCAAAGAAACAGTCACATTTATTTCAGGTTATTTTACCACAGTATCGCAGTTGTTAATAGACTGTTTTGAAGTTCTTTCTAAATCTTGGGGTCTTTCTAAATGTGAATGTCAAAGAATGGTTTTGAAAATGTTGTAAAATACAATAGTAACTTCTACAAACTCTTGATGCTATGCCCTGGAAAACGAGGACAGTGTCCAAATTGATAATGGTACCGTGCAGGGCATGCATGGATGTCACAATGTTCATTATTTATAAACAGCAGAATTGTTGACATGTTCATGTTTGACCAAAATAATTACATATTGGATGGCTTTGAGGGAGATACAAGAATACATTGCACGAGTCAAAGACTATAATGTGAGTGCAATATATTCGTGTATTAGAAAAAGCCATCCAATACTATTATTATTATTATTGGAAAGAGTACCCTAACCCTAACCTGGACATCACTTGACACCCTGTGCACAAACCCAATGCGACTGGTCTGAACAATTACAAGTGTTTTCTCAGTAAATGCTTCAATATTTCCCCTGCTAAATTTGACTTTTTAGGACATGTTATCGCTTTCTGATGGCTGATAGGTCACTGCAGGGAAAAATAAGTGTTGTCCATGTATATCAGGCTGACTTGATCCGAAAGAAAGAAATTTCAGGACAGTATCTTTACTTTTCCAATTTCGTCACAAAAATTCTTCGCTTACCGAAGCAATTTTCGCGTCGCTCCAAAAGTGCCATTATGGCCGTGGACAACAGTGTACGTAAACCCTGCATGCTGCGCAGTGCACGCGACATAACCACGTGTTACGCTCTGTTGATTGGTTGACAACTGTGAGTTTGTATGCTCTTGATTGTGTGGGAACCAGCGAAATTTGTTAAAATGCCCGGATGAGGACAATAGAAAAAATGATATTGTCCTCATCTGGGTACTTTTACCGACATAATATTGCAGTCATCCGGGTACTTTTCATGAAAGCGTATAATACACTGATTCATTTTTACCACTAGAAGTCTGATGTAAATAATAATTCAAGATATTTTTCTGTAATTAACATGAATGAATGACTTACAATCAAGATCTTCATCATCACTGTCACAAGAGCTGAAAATTTAGAAAAAAAAACAAAGAAGAGTTGAAGCCGGGAAACACTTTTTTGTTTTCCTAAAAGTATGATACTTGAGTCATGATCATTCACAGGGAAATATGCAGCTAAACTATTAAATATATTTGTATAAAATATATAGTTGTTTTCTATTTTCAAATGTTATTGTAAATTGCATGTAATTCAATAAGATTTTTAAGCAATAAACCAATTTAAATATTAAAACATTAAATTAAACTGAACTGGTTTCTTTCACAGCCTTTTGTGTTTCAGTTCCATGTTACAAAACATCAAGATTTCAGATGCAAAGTCAGATACAACTGTTTTTATGGAAAGAGACTTTCTCTCCATTCTACCTTATTTGAGTAAACCAACATTTGGCAGTTTTTGTTATTAATCTATAACTTACCCATTCCACAAGCTGAGCATGTGAGGACTCTTCATTGAACCTGGATGAACTTTCCTTGAATCACCTAATGTGTGGGATTCATGGCGCTGAAACCATGGATATGAGGAGGTAGAGTCATCAAGCTGTGACTCGTCTGGGCTTGGTGTATAGGAAAAGGATTCATCGGGAAAGGTATCCTTATTAGAGACTTGATCACGCACTTTATCTGTAATCTCCACATCACGTGCTATGTTGTAGACTCTAGGTCTTGGACAGGGAGGTAGATCAATTGAGTTAGAGGATGAAACATCTTCTTCAAAGATTGGTGATACAGCATCAGTATATTCAGCATCCAAGAATTTCTGAACCTGTATTGAAGACAAAACATTTCAAGAAAACACTCCTGAATAAATATGCTTCACATACTATCTTCAGGTCACAAAAAATCTTCCAGAAAATCAAAGTATTTTGATTGGTTAAGAAGGTGTCCCACAACATGTCTTGTGTACAGCGTTCATATTGTATACTTTGAGAAAAGCCCTAAAACATTGCATTTACAATTAACAAAAACTAGTACACAAACAGAAATCAGACATACAAGTGGAACGAAATGCCATTAAAAAACTGTTGTCAAAATGGCAGCGCCCAGTGCTACTAGTGTCTCTGCGTAGATAGCTGCTTTGAAAATCTTTAAAAGTAAATGCGACAAGAAGAGAAATTCACCAGTAATTATATAAAATTTGTTACGGTCAGAACGAAAAATGATTGGGAAAATCGTGTTTTATTCTGCAATTATATCAAATGTTGAATTTAAACCTGTGCAATGCCAATACTAACCTGTTGTGTGTTGGCCATGGAGCATTGTTGACATAGATGTATGAGTTGTAGATTTTGTAACTGTGCATGTAATATCTCTTGTTGTTGATGCAGCTCAGCAAGGTGTGTTTGGCTTTCCATCTGGGCTTTATCTCGCTCATCAATGGCCTATATTGATAACAAACCACAACCATAACAACACAGAAACATGCTCCAAAATATCACACAGGCAATTCTTGGGAACTAGATTGCTCGTAATGTAGCACTTAGGACAGCTGTCCAAATGTAAAGTTGAAAAGTGAAATTATCAATATCGTTTTTGGTGCGCTAAGTCCCCACTTTAAATAAAATGGCCCTGCCCTTAAAAAGGGTCAGAAAAAATGCCAACAATTGGTCTTGCACTTGTTGAGATATCCATGAGAGATTCTGCAAGTTTTAAAGTTTGTGCCCAAAAGGGCTCCCCACAAGACTACCGGCTAAAATGTCCAGGCACTAGCAGTAAGCCTGACTGTTCCTGTCGGAAGGCTAGTGATAGTTGATAGTTCACCACAATCACACAAAAAAGGAAAGATGCCAGCACATCACCTTAGAGTTGACCTCTGCATGTACACAGCACTTTGTGATCCATCATACATAACTCTGACTGTATTGGCAATGGTAGTAGGTATAATACAGAACCCGTGGTTTGAGGAAAGGCTATTCTGAATCAGAATCTGAAGAAAGTTCAGAAATTGGAAGTAATGACAGCAGTTCTAATGGGCAAAGCACCATTAGTGAAGCGTCCCAAGCAAGCCAAGACTACTGGATCAATTCGGTGGAAGGACACTTAGAACTTTTCTCAATACGGCTTTCACGGTACAAGAGTAGTTTAAGTGCCAGATTTAGATGACACCAGCAGCCCTGTGGAGATCTTCGAACAGTTCTTCCCTCCTGAACTGGCGGTGCACATCGCCGATGAGACAAATCACTACGCCACCAAGAACCCAAAGCGTCAAACGCCAGGTCCAAGTGACATGTGGGAATTGATCCTGGCCATAATAATCATCATGGGAATGATGCCCCAGCCTGACATGAAACTGTACTGGATGAGAGACTCCATACTTGAGACTCCGTTCTTCCTCAACACCATGCCCGGAGACAGATTCATGGACTTGCTAACCTATTTGCACTTCACTGACAATAATCAGGCAGGTAAAAGTAATCGACTCTGCAAGGTCCGCCCCGTGGTAAATGAACTGACTGAGAACTTCAAATCGGTCTCCCTTCCCTCCAGCCGTATATCCACGGACGAGTCACTGTGGAAGTTCAGGGGGAGATTGAAGTTCAAACGATTCAATCCCAAGAAGCGAACCAGATTTGGCATCAAGGTATATAGAGTCTGCCAAAGCATGGGAGTTGCCGCTGGATATACCTGGAACGATTTCAATGTTGCTGGGACTTATTTTTGATGTCCCGCTTGGCGCCAATTTGTTACATGTAGTTAGATGCGTATTCTTTTTGGCCACATTGCCCGTACTGGGAAACGACCTGTGAAATGACATTGTCTTTTCCTGTTTTTGTCGTGTCTTGTTTCTGAGCGCCATTGGCTGCACTTTTATCTATATCACCCTTCACCATTGAGTAGGGACTTTTTAGTTTTACAGCGAAAAACCGTTAAATTCATGGCACTTCTGTTCCCAATTTTGTTCGCCGACATCTGGTCTGCGTCAGTGCGTTCATTACTGGTTTTGCGCATGCGTGATCGTATCCCATGGAATTTCATATACGCCAGAGGGCAGTATAGAATCTACATGGGACAAGACAAGAACGATACGCCACAAGTACAAATATCGTACTTGACTTGAACTCTGATCTACTCGGCATGGGCATGGGTGTCGTGAGCGGGCCCCCCCCCCCCCCCCCGGAAATTTGGAAAATTAAAATTTGGTATTTTATGGGGAACTTTGGGGCCTCATTTTTGGTCAATTTGCCAGGGACAGACCTACCGACCGACCACAGAGTCACATGAAGAAGCTCCTGCCAGAGCTTTAAAAAAAAAGGTACAAAGCCATATTGCTGTCAATTTTATGCACATTTTACAACATGGGCATCCACAAGGGCGTCAATGGGGTGGGGTGGGCAAATGTTCCCCCACCCACCCTTGAAAAAATGATACATTTAGAATATTGCTAGAGAAAGTACAAGCATATTGGAAAAAAAACTTGGCGATGCCCATGGGCAGGGGGTACACCGTTTTCCTAGACAACTGGTTCAACATCTCTGTTCCAGGAACTCCACAGCCACAAAATCAACGTCCAGCACAAAACCAACTTGCCTCATCTCACTGCTCAGTCAGGTAGTTCATCAAGTGGTACAAGAAACTCTTCTTCTACCTGCTGGATGCCTGCCTTGTGAACTCTCATCTTGCGTACAATGGACTGGGTGGGACTGACAAATACTTGAATTTAAGATTGGCATTAGTGAACAAAACATTCAAGTCCCATGCACCAAATATCCCTGCATATCGATCTAGAGGCAGACCACCCCAGCCATTCCATGGTGACTCGCGTGACATTTGAACAAAATGTAAAGTTTTAATGCATTACTGTTGTTAATCTGGCATTTATTCAACTCAAATTAGCATGTAATTGAGTCAGGGCATTGTGAATATATGGTTTAGTTTTTATATGATTACTTTAAAATCGCTATTTTTTCATGTATCACAGTTTCTTTGACGTGACTCGCGTGACAGGATAGAAAAAGGGATTTTTGACATCCCTTGATTCAAATAGCTTTTCCTATGGATCTACCAGTATTCTAAAAATTATTCTTACTGAACTTAGAACTTAATACCCTCACCCAATACATGCATAAGTTGTATTGTGCCAAATATCCCTTGTTGTAAGAAATGGCCTGAAGAAAATGTGACTCGCATGACACAAATGCGTGACTCGCGTGACACAGTAGCTTTTCACTTTCACATTATAACTGTAATTTTAGTATAACAAATCAAATCATAATATTATATTAATAAAAATGATTTACCTGTGAATACCTTATGAAACAGTGTGAAAACGGCTATTTATCCGTTTACTTTGGCAAATGTTGGTCGTGGAAATCTGGTTTAAACACAATATCCTTAACAATGACATGGAGAGAAAAAAATGTTTCAGAATTTAAGTTACGAAGTGATGTCATCAATCCACGGGTGATTATTTCAGGAAAACAGTTGTAATTCTTGGTCATGTAGAGTCACAGTTTCCTTAAAAGGTAAGAGCTGCAATTAATGAGCATATCCACAAGACCTGCCGATCAGCATCCTGGGGAATTGTCAAAATCGGCAAAATCAGGAAATGTCTGACCAGTTACTCAACAGAGAGACTGGTCCATGCACTCATTACATCTTACATTGATTATTGTAACAGCCTGTTGTCCGGTTTGCCCAAGTCAAACATCGCTCCATTACAACGTATTCAAAACTCCGCTGCCAGAATGGTCACTCGGACTAAGAAACATGAACACATTACACCAGTCCTTCGGTCTCTTCATTGGCTTCCGGTTCACGAACGCATCATCTTCAAAACACTTCTCCTTGTTTTCAAAATCATCCATACAACCTTGCCCTATCATACCTCCAGGAGCTCGTATCTACCCAGTCCACAGCCATTTCATCTACATCCCGCCACCTCCCATCGCATTCTACAGCCCATCTTCAATACTGCCTGGACCTAAAACCAAAACCAGCTATGGCGACCGTGCTTTCTCTGTGCTAGCCCCGAAACTCTGGAACTCTCTTCCCATCCACATCCGTGAAACTGATTCATTGGACTCGTTTAAGACAGTACTTAAGAGCTTTCTTTTTTTCACAAGCCTTTGATCAGTAAAATGATAATTGTACAAGAAACAACTGTGCGCTTTGAAACATGGTGGAAAGCGCATTATAAATTTTGAACAGCGCCCCTATTGAAATTGGTACCAGCCCCCCCCCCCCCCCCCACGCCCCCCTCCTCCAGTTTTTTATTTTACGGAGGCCAAGTGTCCGGAGAAAAAAACGTGTACATTTTCAGATTTTTTGGCTGATGAAACCCCCCCCCACCCTGCGAAAAGTCCTGGATCCGCCCATGGTGACTCGCGTGACATACATCATGTGTGACTCGCGTGACATTCTTGAGATAGTTTTTTCTATAAGGAATGTAGAGCAAATAAGAATATTCATACTTTTATTGATAGACCACCACTATTTCATTTACAAATATCAAACACTAGCTAAATCCCTCTCTAGTTATTAAGTAATCTGAAAAAAAGTCCTATTTTGTGACTCGCGTGACATATTTTTGAGGGTGTTTTCACGATGAAATAGTGGGAAAATACTGAAGACATTTGGAAAAATTCTCAATGTTTTATCAAATAGACTGGAATAGCTACCAAATGTATGCAGATAAAGCACAATCTTATGAATGAGCTTCAATTACTTCCTCAGTTTGTGATTTATACCCCTGACCCTCCGTTTTGCCCACAAAATTCATCCATGTTCAGGAGGCTGAAACTTTAAATAAAATGATTTATTTTAAAAAATCTTTTGAGATTTAGATGGTTTCAATATCCCTCTTATCAAATATAACTGACAAAAATTTATTCCTTTCACTTCAATTTTTGAGTTTGGTGATGACCCTTACATGGAATGGCTGACCCCGTCTTCCTGGTCCAGGTAGCCTGTTAGGAAGCCATTTTCCTGCTGAGTGACATACCCTCAATGGGAAAACGTGCCAAATCCTTCAAGCGTTGTGGTGTATGTGCAAGAAATGACATGAAACTAGGTTCATGTGTGAAACTTGTGAAGTTCCCATTTGTGCTGCCTCTTGTTTCAAAGTTTATTATACCTAAACCAGTCAAGTATTTGATATTGTCCTCTTGAAGACATCGTGTAATGTAACCCACCTAAAAAAAAATCATTCACTGTACAGAATTTAAGTTCAATTCAGTTCATTTTAGTTGTTTTTAGTACAATTATATAATTTATGGTAATTATCAGCATCCAAACTTGAACCGGTCTTAAACAGAGTGTTTAAAAACCCTACTTTTGGTTTCAGGTTAACTCACCTTGATACGTTGCTGTTTTACCCTGTTGAGTTCTTGCCAGGTGACATTATACTGTGTCTTGAATAACTCGGCCATCTTTATAGCACTCTTTTCCTTCTGTTTCAGTTCTTCATTTTCAGTTTTGCACTACAGAATATATCCAATACATTAGTCATAAAAAAACAAGAGAAATATATATATAACTGTACACAAGGTATCAAGTACTATACTTCAATCTTAGAAATCCAAATGAAATTCCTTCAGTCCTGAACTCCCCGACTCCTCAAATCCAAATCTAATCCATTCAGTCAATTGAGTCTGACTCAAGTTGAAGTCACAGATGCAACTCTGCTTCAGACTGATTTTCTGCAACTGATTTGCTGCTCAAACACAATTAATAACGTGAATATCAGAATAGGCAAGTTAAAGCACCTGTTGATTTGAGAAATAAAATACTAGCCATACAATCACCATCAGAATTGTGGATAATACCTTTTCAAGTTCTGTGTCACCGCGATGTAGATCATTCCTGGCCTGGAGCAGACTACCAGCCAATTCCTCACACTTCTCTTTATAGTTTTTAAGTTCTTCATCCAAGATATTAATTGTTGCTTGGCTGTGGTTGTCAATCGGCAATTCGTTTGAAGCATAGCTCATAGACTTCCGAACATCCTACACAAAAACAGGACAAATAGCCTAATATGGGGTTGAACAATAAACTTGTTCTTTCATTTTAAATAATTCATGATTGACAGCTGATTTAACAATCACCGCAACTAGTGAACTTTCCTATACTATTCATAAGGTGGAATTTTGCGTCGGGGTAATGTAAATGAAATTAGGTTTTGCCCTTCACCGACTTGTAAACACTGTATACTCAGTGTGTTACCTCCCGAGTGAAAGTTGAAATAAATCACTCGGGTGGAACTCGAACCCATAACCTCCTGCTTTCTAGTGCAGACGTCTTACCACTCGACCACTGAGCTAACGGGATCGGTTGGCTGGTTCGAATCTGATGTAAATAGCAGGGGGTACCGCATAAACTATTCATGCGGTGGAATTTTGCGTCTGGGTAATGTAAATCAAATTAGGTTTTGCCCTTCACCGACTTATGATGACGTCATAATGACGCCACCCCAACTTTTGTTAGCAACACTTCCCTGTCTGTATGTTCATACAAAGTTCCAACCCAATCGGACTTATAGTTCTTATTAAGATGACATCATATGACCATTTAAACCGAGAGCTAGCTGGAGTTTGAATTAACATGTCGTGTACAAGTGTCGTTTTTGTATTTAAGTGTTGAGATTGAACCCCTGACACCAAAACTGTTACTTTAGAAAAGTCGGATAAAGTTACTTAAGAATGATTTTAAAAGTATATTTATATATGTTTCATATATATATATTAACTGTGGGATGCCGCGCTTCGCAGTCGTAAAGTCTGTATTGTTTGCAGGTTTTAAAAAGTTGTCAGTGAAAAAAAAGAAATGAAGACATAAGTAAATAACAAAAATCTGTGGCAAATTGGCGAGGGGGCCGGGGGGACTTGATACAATGAATCATCTGACCAGACAGATATTTTTTTCATTGTTTTTGTCCAAAAAATCCCCCCAAATATTGGAATTATTCATTATCCCATGAAGCACATTAGCTACAGAGAGCCTACCTTTGCAATTAGCACCCGCGCTATTGAAAACCGGAAGTGGGAAAATCAACTTTTTTGAGCAAATATTGACAATTTATCAACCAACAGGATGGATTTCTCATCGTTGTATTCATATATAACGTTGCCGACAGTGCACCCTCAATTGATGTAATACAGTCATGTTTCAAAATGCATATTCATATCGTACGAATTCGTCAATTGAGGTACAATGTTGCCACATCTTTATCATGACCGTTAGGTTTTGCGTAATAGCGATACGTTTGAGAGTGTTTTCATAGAGATAATGTTGTAATATTTAACTATTGAAAGTCTCAAAGAAAGAAATTTGCCATAAAGGCCAAACAAAAGGAATAAATCATTTTTGTTCACTCCCAACTAAGATTTCAGAGGCGGTCAAATGGGGGCACCTGCATTCACTGGATTCACTTTTAAAAACTCATTATTTTCCGCCCAATTTCTGGGTGTGGCCTAAATGTGTAAAGGGTGGTATATATGGGTAGTTTCATCCAATTGTGACAAATATCTACACTTCTTGGGTAGAAACCATGAAAATTGGCAGGTATTCATAAGATGAATTTGTGTCGGGGTGATGTAAATCAATATAAGTTGTTGCCCTTCATCAACGTATTTAACACTGTATACTCAATGTGTTACCTCCCGAGTGAACGTTGGAAAAATCACTCGGCCGGGACTCGAACCCTCGACCTCCTGCTTTCTAGTGCAGACGTCTTATCACTCAACCACTGAGCTTGCGGAATCAATTGGCCGATTCGAATCTGATGTACATAGCAGCTGGTACTGCAATTAGACTATTCATAACATGAATTTGCGTCGGGGTGATGTAAATCAATATTTGGTTTTGCCCTTCAATGATGTATAAACACTGTATATTCAGTGTGTTACCTACCGAGTGAACGTTAGAAAAATTGGCAAGCCTGTTGAACTTGAAATTAAAATGGACTGAAAATATTTCTACAAGATGGATCCACTTCTGAACTTGCCCACTGCAGGGGTGGAGCTTTATTTTAAGAGGGGTGAACACAATCCAGAAACACTGTATTTGTAGCATTCATTGTTCTGTATGCTTTGAAATCATGAAAACATTAAAACACTTGTTACTGCCACCTATTTGGTGGGCGTGGCCTCAATACTAGGCGGTATAATTAAAGCGCTTGATTCAAAGAAGGCCCAAATTATCATTTTGGTGGTAAAAACACAAATTCTGTATTTGTTAACTATGACACTGTTACAACAATATTAAAGGTAACAAGCCTTTTTCCCCTTTTAGGATTCCATACATTTTTGTGGTGACTCAAAGTGCTTCAAATTAATGGTGGATCCTTCATTAAAATATTTCCTATTAAGGGCTTTAAGTTATGTAGCCTATGTGTACATATTTAATCAACTGTCAAGAGTGAAAGAGCATCCTTAAAGGCACATAGGAACATTTGTGATTAATAAAGAAAACGTTTTTATTTTATAAAAGAGTACCTATCGATTAAAGACAATTCCTTGCTCAAATTAAGTTTGGCACCTACTGGAACCATACTCTATGAATGGTATTTCGCCTGAAATTCTCATCATTTAGTAAATAAGCAAACATTGAAGGTGGTTTCAGAAAAAAATTCCAGTGTGCAGTTCTACGAGTGTTAGCAACAGAATCCAGTTATTAGAGAACAATTTTTTGTCTACTTTTGGTCAAAAGTAGGTTTTGGATAATTGCTAGAATTGTTTTCAAATGCTTCAAGGTTTGCACTGATATTCTGTTTTTATTTTTCAAGTTAAACAAAATAACTGGAGCGGGATATGAACCTGCGCCCTCAAGATTATCAATGCAGTGCTCTACCTACAGAGCTATCCAACAACTGTTGGCGGTATCCCAATTTGTCAATGTCTTGTTTTTCAGGAGGCACTAATAGTTCAAAGCCATAAACCGTATGCCATATCATATTTACCAGGATCACTTCCAAAGTCATGATACTAGTAACATATTACCAATGCTGGAAACCCCAGAAATGGCAAACGGGCATCACTCAGATACGATATGATCCATGAAGTACTTACTTCGTTTCTCTTTGCTTGTTTTAATTCTTCTTCCATGGTGGACATTTGTCGTAACATCTCTTCTTTGTCCACTTTAAGCTGTTGTTTATCCATGCATGTTTGGTACCATTTTTGGCGTCGTACCTCTGCTTGATCCTCTGCTTGTTGCAAACGTCTCTCAAGCTCGTGTATTTCCTTGATTTTCTGTCATGTTCAAAGATATCACATACATAGTGTGGTGCAGATGCTAGTAATTGTACCAATAAGAGGATTCCATTATTATAACGCAACTTTAGTCCCATGAAAATGTTTTAATTATAAAAACGTTCACAGAAGCTATTTAACCCATGCACACATTCTGTTCACGATTGTACGGTAGCAGCAAATGTCAAAAGGAAGCTACAATTGTGATTGTGAATACCATGAAACTCGCTTTGATTTCATTTTCGCCAGAAATATCAATGAGCTGGTCGCAGTTGGTCATAATGATAGAAAATGTGTTTAACAAACCTCTCTTAAACTTGCCATGGCCTGGTCCTTCTCTTCTTTGTGACGTAGTGAGTTTCCAAGTATTGTTCTGATGTCATCCTCCAAAACACTCACTTTATTCTCTGCCTTCAGTATTGAATTAAAACAAATTGTATTAAAATTACAATGTGTAACTTGTCTAGTCTAGAAAAGTTAATGGTGTATTCACAACTTAACAAGATTTTCAGTCTCGACATGAACAAAATTCATCTATTTTATATCAACTAAGCACATGACAAACTAACATACTTCACTATCCTAAAAAGGATATTACTGTCAAGATGAATGATGATCTAGGAATATTCATGCGACTAATTCTCAAAACTAAAGCATACCAATTGCCTCATATTGAACGTTTGTTTTGTATTTCTACCTACTGCTTCTCCTACCATGCAGTCCTTAACCCAGGGGAAAAGGTTCACATTTTTTTTTAACCACTTCAGAACCAAAATACTTCACACACTATTGGATTGACTGGGTTCCACATGCTTTGAATGCCATTGCAGAAAACAAAGCGATTGGATTTAATGATCTACTTCTTCCTGTCCTTTCATTATCCTTGAACTGTAGACTATACAATGTGACTGTTTAAATTTAATATATTTCACCAGTAGTGACTGGCTCCACAAAAAAGGGTATTATGTCGCAAAAAGTGAAATTGAGTTATATACATGGTTGGAAGGGAACCGTCCGATAGTACAAAGGTCCGATAGTCCGAAGGTTCTTTAGTCCGAAGGTTCGATAGTCCAAATACACAAAATTTCAAAACGAGGGGGTTTGTTAGTCCGAAAATGAAATAAGGTTCGTTAATCGGAACATTTGATGCAATAGTCCGAAGGTTCAGTAATCCGAAGGTTCATTAGTCCGAAGGTTCATTTATCCGAAGGTTAGATTGTCCGAATTTAGAATAAGGTTAGTTAGTCCGAAGTTTCAATAGTCCGAAACGAAAATAAGGTTCAGTAGTCCGAAGGTTCATTATTTCCGAATTGTCAATAAGGTTCGATAGTCCAAAAAGACTATAAGGTCCGATAATCAGCATCGACAAGAAGGTCCGATAGTCCGAATCAACAATGAGGTCCGATAGTCCTAAGTGTCAGACTGTCAAACCGTATTGTCCATTCGGACTATCGAACCTTATTGTCAATTCGGACTATCGAACCTTATTCTCAATTTGGACTATCGAACCTTATTGTCAATTCGGACTATCAAACCTTATTGTCAATTCGGACTGTCAAACCCTACCGTATATTCGGACTATCGAACCTTATCATCTATTCGGACTATTTAACCTTATTGTCGATTCGGACTATTGCACCCTATCATCTATTTGGACTATTGAGCCTTCAGATTAATTAACCTTATTCTATTTTTGGACTAATGGGCCCTGCGACTATCGAACCTTTGGACTATCGAACCTTTGGACTATTTTTAATTGTTCCTCTGGCTTCCTAGGATTATAATGGAATTTAGTCTTGTGAGATGGAATTAACATGCAAATCGTATATTTGTGCACTCGTGGGGCATCGTTAAAATTATGTTCGGGAAAGGAAAATGCGTTAAAACAAAACAATGGCTGTAGAAAACCGACAGCGAGTGTCAATACATTTCCACCAATTTTAATCAAGGAGATGCATCCTTTCCAACAATGTTATGCACAAATACAATTGAGAATATATTCTCTTGTTCAGGAAAGGACACCTTTTAATGGAATTTAGCACTTTGTGTTTTGCCAAAACATGAAGCTTAAAAAAAACAGGGTTAAAAAAACAAGATGTCCACTAAGCTTCATTTTAGAGGTTATTATGAAATCTCCTGAGTTTCAACGCATGTGAAACAGTGCCGTATCCAGAGGAGGGGGGGGGGGCTAAATTGTTAGAGAATTCTATTATGAACAAAAAAAAGAAAACCAAGTTCCAAAACCATTACAATGCGCCGTGAAAATTGGCATAATATTGGCATTATATATAATAATGGTCAGTTTTGAAGAGCGCCCCCATTTGGAAGATGTCTACATTTTGGCGGGAATGTGCGAGTACGGTTGCCCTCCTGACATCAAAAGCTTGATACACCACTGATGTGAAACAGCATGTTCAGGAAAGGACATTTTGTAAAACTTGTATAACGGAAATAGTGGGGATTCACTTAAAACAAAATATTTTAAAAACCATGGGGCTGATTGTGATGAAATTTGCTCTACATATTTTGGGAACACGTCTGTGTGTTCCAGCCATTTTTTGAATTTTCCTTTTGGTCTTTTCTGATTTTCTGTCAGTTTGCATTTTTTTTTTAATGCGAATAAGACTCAGAATTTAAATTAAAACCATATTACGTAAACCTCTGAATTTGTTTTTGTCTATTGCTGCAATACTTGATTTTGCAATCTTTCCCGTAAAACTTCCCTTGAAATGCTGATGGTGCTAAGGGATGAAGGTCGATTACACTGTAAATATCAGAAAATGAATATTTTTGAGAAATTAACACACACACACACTTACTCTTCTTTTTGCATTTTTCAGCTTGTCAAACTGTCCTGCCTTCTTACTGGCAATCTCTAGAGCTTCATTCAAACTCTTAATTTTTCGTTCTTGATCAATTCTTAGCTGATTGCAGAAGTAGAGGTTTCTGTGAAGTTCTTCAGCTTCTTGTGTCAGATCTCCAATCACATCACCAACCTTGTTAGGAACTGCAACATTAAAAAAAAAAATCTGTAGAAAATTAGCTTTTAGTGTTTTTTTCTGAATTACCAGCAAGTCACATTCTTATTATTGTATTGTCTACATCAACTCAAAAACAGGTTCTAATCATGACCCTTCAGCACAAAACCAGTCACCAGTTGCACGACCATAGTTTGAGATACAGCCTACAATACATACAATAGTGACAACAAAATTGAGTAATATACTTAAGACGAAGTGTTACATATACTCCAAATTTCCTTCTGATTCCTTTTTTAGACATGTGCACTGCTAAGGAGTTCATTTGAGAAACTTTAATGACAAATTTCTTGATTTTTGGGAGGTGGGGCCGATCTCCTATCACCCTTTGTTTTTTTGGGGTGATTGGTCACAACTAATCACGGTTCTTAAATCATTCAATCTGTTCATTCTCTCTATTCGTGGCAAAAATTCTCTGCAACTCTTCTTCAAAACGGTTCATAACATGAACTTGTAACTTGAAATGAACATCAATCCTGATACAGAGGAGAGCATACATGTGATGTCATGATGACGTCATCAGGTATCAAACTGCAACAGATTTTAATTTAATAAAAGACCAACTTCTTTCACTTATAACTCTTGAACAAAATGATCGATCATGTTCACACTTTGTAATCAGATTACAAATTAATTGGTTTAAATGTTTGGTTGTGTATGTAAAGTTGTTTGACCTTAATCTCTTGGGCTATCGGAAGATCAAGTTACATGAATGTAAAATACAGACAAAATCCTCAAAATCAAACCCAACCAATTTTTTCCCAAACGGTTCACAGAATGATGATGATGAACCCTGGTGCAAATATGAATCCTTGTCCAAACATCTGTAAAAAGTTTTGACATCATCATGACGTCCTCAGATATCAAATTACAAGCAATTTAAGGTCAAATTTTGGAAAAAAAATATTTACTTTTGAACTAAAATTGATACCGCGTTCATTGTTCATGGTAATGATAGATATTGCCTTGAGCAATGATCTGATCTCCCGGGTCCAAGTCACTTGATAGTCACTTAATAAGTGAATGTAACTTGCAAACGGAAGCATTTTATCACATTAAAACAAATTAGTCAACTGTGCCCACGTCTCTTGTACATCAGGTTAGGATCAGCTATGACTTGGGTTGGTGGAAGAAGAGCATGATGTCAGCGGCGTGTATCTGCAGCTGAAGTGAAATGGGAAGCCTTGGAGGCTGCTGTACCAATGTAGATATTCTGCTTCCATTGGGAGCGACATACAGCAGATTCCACCCAAGTGGCGACATCAATGCGGCATGCTTTTAGGGATCGTTTGAACGTATGTAGATGTGAAAAAGAAGCGCATTTTTTTTTTTTTAGTCCCACGATTTAACTTTGGTGATATGTATGTGGCCTATTTTGTAGTATAATAGGATATATAGGGGTGTAAGTGACACCACCAACTTCAAAATAGCCCCCCCCCCCCAAAAAAAAAAAAAAAAAACACACACACACAACTTTTTTCTGCGGTCAAAAAATTTGGGCAACATTTTTTGAAAAAAATTAAACATAATAATTGAAAAACAAATTGTGAGCCCCCCCCCCCCCCCCCAAGCCAAATAATAATTTGGGAGGCTAATCATCCTTACTCGCAGCTGGTATGCTGAATTGCGAAGGACGCAGCTACAACCTGGTCGGGCCTATGGCTGCCGGTCACATCGACCCATATATGACCACGGAGCACAGCCTGAGATCGAAAGTGTTTGATTTTTCTGGAGGGAGGAAAACTGGAGGGCCCGGAGAAAAACCCTCGTGGCACAGGAGAGAACCAACGCACAACTCTACTCACATGCGATCCGCGGCCAGGATTCGAACCGTGGTCACCTTGGTGAGAGGCGAGTGCTTTACGCACAAGCCACCCATGCCACCTGGGTGCGCCACTGTGTTAAATTGCTTTTAATTCAATATCTGATGACATCAGCATGACATCATCATTTCCACATCTTCGGACAAGGGTTCTTGTTCATACCAGGTTTCATCATCATCCTTAGACTGGTTGTGAAGAAATTGGATTTCTTTTGATTTTCAGGCTTTTGTTTGTATTTGGATTTTGGAAGTCAGTTATTATTGGCCTTCCAGTAATCCCAGAAGGTAAGGTAATGTGACTTTGCCTTATATTCTAACTATATATATTAGATATATTCTAACCGATTACAAAGTATGAACATGATCAGTCATTGGGTTCACAGTTATGACTGAACATGCTGAAAGAAATTTGTTTATCCCTTTTTTGAAATTGTGGTGGCTCTGAAAAGTACCCTCTATTTCTCTCACTGTGTTTTCTTGAATGATAATCAGGATGTTCGATGGATTACATATGACTGGCTGAGAAAATATCCCCTTATATACACTTGAGGTAGCTTTTGGGCCAACGAAGGACTTCAAGAGTTATTATATTAAACATTGTGCCACTCTCTAGTGGCACGAAGGATGTCATAATAATGAAACCCCTCTGACGGCACAAGAGCCGCCAATGCCCATTGTTCATCTTTCAAAGGCTCCCTCTAGCAGCACGAGACGCAAACAGCGTGTGTTCCTAGTGGAGTGCAGGCCCGTCGTCAACAGGGGGGGGGGGCCTGGTGGGGCCGGGCCCCCCTTGGCGAGCAATTGCCGCCCCCCCCCCCCCCCCCAACGGCAAAAGCCGTACATGAGTATTTTTGTATTTTTACGGTAGTGGGCCCACCTAGTTGGTACTTTGGCCCCACGCCATGCTCAGGGCTGGCAACGGGCCTGGTGGAGAGGAAACTGCATGTACAACGTAGGATTAGCAAGCCTTATCACTGCGATGATTAATAGCACCTCTACAATTTGAATGGGTTCACTGATTGACACATTGGTTTCACAAATGCTTGTTTTACATGAATTGATAGCAATGGATTCACATGTAACAAGGCCAAAAAAGTGTTCATCTTAACCAAATTCTCAATGAACCAACGCTTGCATAAAGTAAATTATCTCTCACAGAAATGTGGTACTATGGTTGGGACTGGCAAAATATGCTGCTCTAAAACGGAATCTTGTCCTACCTGAGCTTGTATCATTAATGACAGTCACCTACAGGTTCAACTTGTATTCCTCATTGAACAATGGATTTGGCAAGTATTGAGAGCCTGAGTACTAGTACAGCCACACTGGTTTCACACTTTAGATGAGATTTACAAGTATTTGGCCTTACATTTGTAGACGTAACTACATACACTGCTGCTTGGATTGACTGGAGCTACAGGTTGATGCCCAGTTAATAACTCATACAAATCAGGATGCATCTCTCCAAGGCATTCCAAGAAGACATTGTAGCCACTTTGGCCTTTCCTTTGAAGGTTGTCCAGAAAACACCCTACAAAATACATGTAACGTTATGAAATGTGGTAAAATAACAAAGAATTTATCATCATAGATTTCATACGATGTAGAACTTTGAATGGTGCTGTGTGGATTCCACATGTCAGCCAACAAAGGACATTAATTCACTTACAAATGCTGGTTTCCAATCTTCAACATTTACATTTGAGATATTGGTAAAAATAAATTCCTTGATTTGTTTGTTTGAAAATCAATGATTCTCTGGGTGAAAAAAAACAGAAGTGGTTCAGAATTCAAACATATCATTTTTTCATCATTTAAGGTATCATTAATGCCCTTTGCCAGTAGGGAATTGGAGAAATCTTTGAAATGAGGAAACATGGTAAACACAAATAACAATTAAATTGTTGAAGTATAAAAAGTCAGCTAGAGAGATAGTCGTGAGCTGCCATAGCACAATGAGGAATAACCCCCACTTATGTATCATGTTAAAGTGCTAATCATTGCCTTTGGGGGGGGGGGTGCTTGCCCCCCTGGAAAAGCAACCCAAAAAAAAACAAAAAAGGGAAGGAAAAAAAGAAGAAAAAGAGGCACAAAGTCAAAGTGGTGTAAATTTAATGGTTTTTGGGGGGGGGGGGCAAAACGTCCCTGCCCCCTCTAAAATGGATACATCAAGAATATGTTGAGAAATACAGGAATTTTTTTGGGAAAATATGTTTTGCCCCCCTCTAGAAAAAATCCTGGCGACGCCTATGCCAATTGCAGCTATACGATGTCGTCGTGTTAAAGCTTGCGCAGGCTTCGCCAAATAAAAAAAAACGAACTTATGGAAATTTCCAACGATGTGTCTTCAGACGCATTGTTGGAAAGGTCTACTTTCAATGATTTCTTAAAAATGACAGCTTCAAAATGACAAGCTTTTCAACAACAATTACGTCAGTTACTTTTTGGATAGCTGCAAATGATGGACTGTACCTTTAATTCATTCCAAAGATATGCTGCAGGAACTTTAACAGTGTCCCACTGAACTTCGCTGACCTCATTTCGAGAAAAACGGCTTTAAAGAAATAGATACTCATTGCGCCACCAACGGCAGTGAAAAACGTTCTTCAGGTTTTCCACTTTTGGAGGTATTTTTTCTTAACAAAGATGCATAGTGTGAATCATGGATAACATGGCTACTCAAAAATACACAAAAAGAAACAAGTTTGAGTTTGACATGATTTTTCTAGTATATCTGACTTCGGGCACCAAATACTCAAAAACAAGTTTTTGGGGGAAATTCCTGATTTTGGTCCATTATGATAACGACATCAATGTAGTTCAAAAATGTTCAAACCTGCTTTTGTTGTGGAGCTTGGATTCACCATCTCATTCAAAATTTCTTCACATTCATCTTTTGTGAAGATACGACGACTTCGCATCCTATCAAGAAGTCGTCGTGCATTGACCTGGTTGCATAAAACTTCACGATGGATCTCCAACTGATGCATCATTTTCCGGTTTTCCTCCTCCATTGTCCCGTCTTCAAAAAAAAACAACTAAATCATTAACATTTTAAACTTGCATTGATAACTCCAAGTACATGTTGAGAACTACGAGCATCACAACCCCAAATGTGGTATCAATTTAAAGGGAACAATGAGACCTGTCATACATGTACGTGTGCAGTGTGCCAGTGAGATGAAACATGGACAACTGTATTTTTCCCAAAAAAAAAGGGGGGGGGGCCTCAAATTATGGATTTGGGGTAGTCATTTTGGTATCTTGTTTTCACATTCAAAATGCAAGAGTTAATGAGTTTTTGTTTTAAAGACAAAGAGAAAGGTTCAAATTCTATGCCAAAAGAGTTTTTTGTTTGATTATTAGTTTCTTATGTTTCAAATCGTACCAAAGATGAAAGGACAAACTGTGACATGAGTTACCATAACGCGAGTTACCAAAATATATCCCTCTGGAGATTTCATAATTATTTTTCAATAATTGATATGGTAGCAAATGACCTACACCCTAATGATGTAAGGGCGCTGAAAAGACTCTACCAACGGTGCACAGTACGAAGGAATTTGCAAATGAAAGGTCCTTTTTTGTAACACGACTTACCGATAAAAAAGAAAATTATTTCCAAACCAACAGAGTTACAAAACGTATGTTGTTGCCCTCTTTTTGTGGTTAATCCACTGAACTTTAATTACCATGGCCATAACACAAAGATGGTATCACAAAATCTATGGACAAATTGACCGGTTCACTACCCCTATGGGTTTGTGCATAAAAATACTAACGCCAAACAAAACAAGTACCAAGTGGTACACCCCACGGCGGCCGGGTAATGTGTGAAGACATAAGAAAAAAACAGAAAATTAGAAGAAGAAAAAATGATATCGAACGTAATGAAATTCGGACTTTATTTCCCTTTTTAAAGAAATCCTCCAAAGCCTCAGATTAGAAAAGAAAAGAAAATCGGGTACAAAACGGTGACTTGAACCCACAACACCGGGAAGATCCCTCGCAGTACAAAATCACAACCCTACCGACTGAGATATCGCAATGCTCGACAAATCCTGGAAAATCAAGGTAATACATGTATATACCTGCATATGTATCATAAAAGTATCGTAGAGGGCGCTCAAAAACCACGTACGTGTAATATGGATGGATGTAGTTTGGGAAAAGAACATTCGCAGCCGTAGCGCCATACTGGTGTCATGCCAAAAACTGTCCGGTGTCAAATAGTGTCCGCTGAGCATGCACAATAGACACAAGACACTTGTGTCCGGTACTAAATATAGTGTCCGAGCGCTGTCATGCATTGCAGCACGGATTTACGATACTGTTTGTAAATTTTCTTGCCAAATACTGCACCAAACAATGCTCAAATTTGTGAGAGAAACTGTTATTTAGCAGCCAGAGGAATAATATGTACATTGACCACTATCACGCTACTGTAGTCTACACATGTACACGCATGACCTGACACGAAAACACAAAGCTTTTTGCTGAATTTGAGTTTAAATGTCAGAAATATCAATTCAAAACAAATTCTACAATCAGGTTAACAATAACAGATCGAAAAGTTACAGTTAGAAACAAAATTATAAAAGGAAAATTAGATGAAAAACTATTTCATTTGTGACGTCTTGGAAGATGACCGCAAGCACGCCATAGGATGCACGCTAAAGAATGGGACGTGATCTAATATGCGAAAAATATGCAAATTGGATACCCAACACTGTTTGCAAATCGGTCTTCAAATGCAAAGCTTGAGTTGCAAAGCTGTAATACTTGAGTTGTAAGAATACACATACAGTTGTAAGTAAAGTGTCCACCAACCAACCCACCCACCCACCCACCCAACGGGTGCATACCTATGCTCCCCAATACCTATTTTCCCCAACCTCAACCCTAACCATAGCCATCTAACCCTAACCCTAAGGATTTTTGGGAACATAGTAGTCAGGTGGCATATAGTCGGAATTGTGACCGACTAGTCCAAAGTACCAAACTTGGCAGATAGATTCTTATAGCCCTAGAGAAGATATTTAGAAGGGGTGACACCTGAAATTCATTTGGGAAGAGTGCCTAATTTGCATAAATTGTTAATACCTGCAGTGTAATATATTTATTCCCATATTTTGGTATATTTGTATTTCTTTAATTTTTAAAAAGTATATTTTGGGGATTCTACTTACTTCAATAACATTTTCTAAAGCATATCAAGAGACCGGATGATTATGAGGAAATAATAAAGATACAAAATGGCTACCATTACCTTTTCCTCAGATATCATCAAATAGTCTCGCCAAACGTCAGTATTGATGAACTTCAAATTCACAACGTTACTTACTGGCACAATTACCCTGACAAAAATAAATGGGAAATCATGTAAAAAATGATAACATCTTGATATTTAGGCTAAAACTCAAAAAAAGGGAAAAATGAGGTGTCCGTAAATTGCGCTAAAAATTAAGCGAATGGTGCCTAACGTGGGGGACTTGAACGAGTTCAAGGAAATCCCCCAAAATAAGAGATTATTGTTGTTTAGAATAATTATGTCTAAGCCAAAACGTTTTCTTACCAATAATTTTGGGAATTTCCTTGAACTTGTTCAAGTCTCCCACGTTAGGCAACCCTTCACCTACTTTTTTTAGCACAATTTAAGGACACCTCGTTTTTCCCACGTTTTTGTTTTCTGGGCTAAATATCAAAATGCAATCGAGGTTCACGTGACTTTCCATAAAGTTTTAATAGGGTAACTGTGACAGTTAGTAACTATGTGAATTTGAAGCTCATCCATACTGAGGTTTGGTAAAGCTACTTGATGATATCAGGAGACAAGATAAATGTGTGCAACTTTAGGGTATAATAGTAGCCATTTTGGATCGTTACTTTGTCCTTATAATTACTCAGTCACTTATATGCTTTAGAAAATGTTATTGAAGTAAGGATGTGTAAGTAGAATCGCCAAGATAGACTTTTCAAAAAATCAAAAATATACCCAAAGGCCAAAAAAAAAAAGTCTCCGGTTTCTGGTATGCGCGCGCGTCGCCGTAGCCATGCACCTCGGCAAAATGAAAAAGTTTTTTTTTTAATGAAAGATGATGTCTCAAAACCGCCAAACTCACTGGTTTGACTGGAATTCTGCTGCTGCGCAATTTCTACGTGTTTTTAGATGGGGTTATGATCGAGAATAAGCTTTATGTGGCCTCTCTGGACTCCCATATATTTGCACTAAGTTTAGTCGGGCACCATTTGCAGTCATCAGCCGCCATTTGAAGCAAAAAAGTCGGGTAAAAAAAAAAAAAAGCCGCGTCGCCGCACCATTTTTTGGACAAGCTCCATACCAGAAACCGGAGACTTTTTTGGGGGGGGGCCAAATATGGGAACATATATATTACAGTGGAACGGCGCAGTAGCGAACACTGCTATACCGAACATTCGGCTATACAAAACATCGTCCTTGGCTCCTGATTTTTGTGTAGAAAAAAACGACCGAACATTGTTGTTGAAATATGTCAACAGAAGAGCGACAAGTAGCTATTCTTTCCCCAAGGAATAGAAGGGGAATGCCAACCATCAATGTAGGTAGTAAGCTTACAACTGTGAAATTGCATAATTCAATAGTCAGCACATGTTCAAAATTGTCTTTCAGTAACTACCCGGTACCAGGGCGTGCAGGGTGAAGTTCTGAAAGGCGCTATTTATTGAAATGTGAGTACCGGAGCACCGGCAGCTTCAAATCGCTATACCGAAATATCGTTATTAGGCCAAAAAAAAAAATAAGTCGGTCTCTGGTCAGCGCGCACGTCGATTTTAATCATGCGCGTCGATCTTTTTTTTTTCCAAAATGTTCCGCGGTAGCTCCAACAGCGCCCTCTATTTCCGCACCTCCTCAATGTTTTTTACCAAAGAGCACCAAGGAATGGGAAATTGCACCAAGGCAAATGATCGAAAGCACCAAGGCAAATTATGGAGGACACCAATGTACATGAGGACACCAAAAAAGCAAAATAGTACCCACCTTGTCTGTACTCTAAGCTTGGAAAAAAAAAAAAAGCAAAAAAAAAAAAAAAAGCCACGTGGCCGCGTCAATTCCAGAACTTCGGTCAGACCAGAGACCGAACATTTTTTTTGGGCCTAACCCTGAACACATTCCAATTCGATTTGGGAACAGATGGGGCCTTTGAAAAAGAAAATTTGGCCGAAAATTTGGGTAAAAACAGTCAAATGATTGTTTATTTACATGTATTTCCTTCCAAAAGATGGATGATTTTTACCGATATCTGCCAAAATGTGGGTGTTTGACTATTGATCAATGCTCCATGTCTCCTGAGGAATTTCTGCGTTGTTTGGAGAAAGTCAATTTTTGGCCAAATTTGGTTAAAAATGTAAGGCTAAGGCCAAAAAAAAAAATAAGTCGGTCTCTGGTCAGCGCGCGCGTCGATTTTAATCATGCGCGTCGATCTTTTTTTTTCCAAAATGTTCCGCGGTAGCTCTAACAGCGCCCTCTATTTCCGCACCTCCTCAATTTGTTTTACCAAAGAGCACCAAGGAGAGGGAAATTGCACCAAGGAAAATGATCGAAAGCACCAAGGCAAATTATGGAGGACACCAATGTACATGAGGACACCAAAAAAGCAAAATAGTACCCCACCTTGTCTGTACAATCCAAGCTTGAAAAAAGAAGAAGAAAAAAAAAGTGGCCTTACTAACATTTTCTGTGGATCCCATGATGTTCGTTAAAGCGGCGTTCCACTGTACACGGCAGGTATTTACGATTTATGCAAATTATGCCCCCCTTTCCAAAATAGCTTCAGGTGTCACCCCTACTAAATAACTTCTCTAGGGCTATAAGAATCTATCTGCCAAGTTTGGTTCTTTGGACCAGTCGGTCATGATCTTGTCAAAAATTTGGTCTAAGCCAACTGACTATAGGTATTGGGGAACATCGGGTAGAACCCCCCCCCCCCCCCCCCCCCCCCCCCCCCCCCCACCAACCCACCAACCCACCAACATATTATGCAGCTCAAGACCATGGCGTGTTTCACACTGCCGTGGGAAAAACTGTGTTTACGGTAACCAGGAATTTTTGTGGCCAAATTGCTGACCTCAAACTTTTTATTGCCATTTTGCAAAAAAAAATCATACGTATATGGTTAACAAGCTGGTTTACCCGATCATAGATCGGGTAGGGCGTATAGTGCTGGGGATGAAAATGTGGGGAGTTAAATGTAAATGGGGGATATAGTTGGGGAGACATGCAGTTAAAGAATAGCAATTTCTGTGGTGTGATCTGAGGCAATTTCTGATCACTAAAACCAATTTGAGCAAAATATCATCTGTGAAAGTTTGGAGTTTTGAGTAATTGAATCAGCTACATGTATTCTGAGCAATAGAATCATTATTGTAGGCTACAATATTTTTATTCGGGGAAGAAAAAGTGTGGGGGGGGGAGACCAAACAATGTCCCCCCTCAAAATGTGTGTGTGGGGGGGGGGAGGGGGGGGGTCCCCTGTCCCCCGTTGATTTACGCACATGATAATTATGTACCATGGCAACTGTCTGTAAATGTTGCCGTTGGTCTGTTAAATTGGCTTTTTGTGAGGCAGTCGCATTTGGAAAAAGTAGTGAAATGGTTACTGTAGTACACAGGCGAAGGGTGGTTGTACAGTTTGACAATAAATCATAATGCAATAAAACGTGAAGGTGTCATTTAAAATGAAAATGTTGAGTGTTACCAAAAAATTACAAACGGTCTGAATCATGGAGGAAGGTCATAATTAAGTTTCAGTATTGGACTCTTCAACAAACGTAAACTTGAACTTCTTACAATTTGCGAGACCGTCTGCGATTCAACTTTTATTCAAGTTGGTTCAACCATCTATATATAAGATCAAGTTTTACTCGGCCTCCGAGAAATGTTTGCTTCTGAAAGGATCCGAGACCGCGGCGATCCTTCGTTGACCCAAAACAGGCCCCCGAAATTATAACACGACACTGAATTATACCATGGAGGAATTCTTATTCCTCCATGATTATACGTGGCGGAAGACACCCTCCGCATTTTTCCACGGACGTGGAGCGATTTTGGCGCCGCGTGAGCCCGCGGTCTCGGATCCTTTCATGAGCAAACATCGTCTCGGGGGCGAGTAAACTTCTCTCTTATATATATAGATGTACGGAAGCTTGAATTACCTTCCTCGATAATGCGTTACCGTGATAATTTATCACAGAAACGCGAAATTCAAAGATAATGCCTTCCTCGATAACGCATTACTTTGATAGTTCATCACAGAAACACGGAATTCAAAGATAAAGTAACTAGTAAACATGGAATTCCATTGTTACCTATCTCAGAATTCATTGGCAAACAATCTCAGAAACATATATAAGGAAGCCCGTTCGTGCCTGGTTGTGAAATAGAAAAAAAATATTTTAATTGCAAAATAACAGTGCGCAAAATAACATGCACAAAGTTCACCCTTGGTGTTCAGCATGACCCTAAATGCAGTACAGTGTAACGCCGCTATAACAAACATCGCGGGATACGCAGAAAATGTTCATAATAGCCGTCGTTCGGTATAGCAATTTTGAGCCGCTGGCGATTAAAATGGAGTCTGCCCGTTTAAATAGCACCCTCTTGTGCCCTACTTGAAGTGTGCCCTCTTTTGACTGGATTTGTGAAGTGTTTATTCATTTCCCCCTTTTTTGCCGTTTTGATGTACAAAACTGTTTCTTAAATTGTAATTTTAAATATTACTTTTTAAGTAATATTTTATTAAGAAATTGCTATGAAGTTTATATAAAAAGGCTTTATAAGGCTTTATTTTTGAAAATTGTGGTTGTAAAGTTGTATTAAGTAAAATTAGACAGCATAGACAGCTACGACCATCTAGCTCCAAGTGCCCCAGGTTCTTCTGACAGCCCAAGATCCACAAGAAGGATATCCCCCTGCGTCCAATTGCATTGTAGCTTACAGAAGGGGTCCGAGCTAAAGCATGGACATGCGCACAAACCTAATGTTGCCCTGAAAACAGCGTCGGGTACAAGTTGAGCAACAATCGCATTCACATTCAAATTCAACTCAAGTAAAAATGGGGTTTAACTTAAGAAAAGTGGCAGTAAATGTCTCCATGGTCTCTGATTCTGGCTAAAAATAGAAGGGTCAAGGGTAGTAATTAAAAGTATAAACTAATGCTTGCCTCTAGACCTTTGTTACTGGCATATTCTTTTTAAAGGGAATGTACATCATTGGCTTTTGCTGTAATTTTCAGTAATGAAATATTTGAGGGGTTAGTGTAATACTTTTTAATAGATCAAATATTGTTTAACTGACATGTTTGAGGTTTTGTGTTCGAAAATGCTTGAAAAACCAAGAAAAACACAACTGTTTATGTAGTCTGGTTCCCTGACTCCACTAAAGATAAAATGGATCAATTATAGATGTCGGAAAATTGTAAAATAAGGGAACCAGTCTAGCTGGCCGGGGCCTGCACCCGTTCATGAACATGTAACCAATAGCAAACAAAATTTGGACTAAAAAAAAATTGTAAATTTGGAGCAGTAGTTGAAAAATAGTTCGGTTTTTCCAACGGTGGTCGGCCGACCACCGTTGGAAATGTATACAAAAATATACCATTTTCTTGAAAATGACTCGACACCAGGTGCCATAATTTTACAGGATGCTTTAGACTGTCATTTACCAACATCCATCCTACCTCCATGATCCTAGTAAGGTATTTCGTAGAAACTTGGTAGTTTTATTTTTCGATGTTTGCAAATGTTGTATATTCCCTTTAACTAGCGGAGTAGGCCTACAAAATTGTAAAGAACGTACGTACCCCTACCAGAGGAACCAGTTGACTCAGTACGTGCACGGTGCGGTGTAGCACGCTGCACAGACGGAAACATGTTACTCAAGATTGTTAAAGTTCGACATCGATTTAAACTTCCGGGACGTGGGTAAGATAGGCCCAAAGAGAAGGCCAAAAGAAGACAGACTGTATTAAACTAAAGGGGAAGATCGGACACTCCACTAGAAAAGAAGTGAAACAGGGAAGTAGCTGCGGCCGGGGAAGGGCGCCGCCACGTTCTTGGTAGGTAAAAAGCATGCAAAGTCGTGCATGCAAAGCCAAATGTACGGAAGCTTGAATTGCCTTCCGCGATACCGCGTTACTGCGTTACTGCATCACAGAAATCCAGAAATCAAAGATAAATCATTCAACGATACCGCGTTACTGCGATAATTTATCACAGAAATCCAGAAATCAGAGATAATTCCTTCCGCGATACCGCGTTACCGTGATAATTTATCACAGAAATCCAGAAATCAGAGATACCTTTTCCTCGATACCGCGTTACTGTGATAATTTATCACAGAAATCCGGAATTCAAAGATACGTATTCCTCGATACCGCGTTACTGCGATAATTTATCACAGAAATCCGGAATTCAAAGATAATTCCTTCCGCGATACCGCGTTACTGTGATAATTTATCACGGTAACGCGGTATCGCTGAATGATTTATCTCTGAATTCCGGATTTCTGTGATAAATTGTCAGGGTAAGGCCAAAAAAAAAAAATAAGTCGGTCTCTGGTCAGCGCGCGCGTCGATTTTAATCATGCGCGTCGATCTTTTTTTTCCCAAAATGTTCCGCGGTAGCTCCAACAGCGCCCTCTATTTCCGCACCTTCTCAATTTTTTTTTTTCACCACAGAGCACCAAGGAATGGGAAATTGCACCAAGGCAAATGATCGAAAGCACCTAGGCAAATTATGGAGGAAACTAATGTACATGAGGACACCAAAAAAGCAAAATAGTACCCACCTTGTCTGTACAATCCAAGCTTGAAGAAAAAGAAAAAGAAAGAAAAAAAAAGAAAAAAAGCCGCGTGGCCGCGTCAATTCCGGAACTTTGGTCTGACCAGAGACCGAATATTTTTTTTTTTGGCCTAACGCGGTATCGTTGAATGATTTATCTTTGAATTCTGGATTTCTGTGATAAATTATCACAGTAACGCGGTATCGAGGAAAAGGTTTCTCTGATTTCTGGATTTCTGTGATAAATTATCACAGTAACGCGGTATCGCGGAAGGAATTATCTCTGATTTCTGGATTTCTGTGATAAATTATCGCAGTAACGCGGTATCGTTGAATGATTTATCTTTGATTTCTGGATTTCTGTGATAAATTATCACAGTAACGCGGTATCGAGGAATACGTATCTTTGAATTCTGGATTTCTGTGATAAATTATCACAGTAACGCGGTATCGAGGAAAAGGTATCTCTGATTTCTGGATTTCTGTGATAAATTATCACAGTAACGCGGTATCGCGGAAGGAATTATCTCTGATTTCTGGATTTCTGTGATAAATTATCACAGTAACGCGGTATCGCGGAAGGAATTATCTCTGATTTCTGGATTTCTGTGATAAATTATCGCAGTAACGCGGTATCGTTGAATGATTTATCTTTGATATCACGATTTCTGTGATAAATTATCGCAGTAACGCGGTATCGCGGAAGGAATTATCTCTGATTTCCTGATTTCTGCGATAAATTATCGCGGTAACGCGGTATCGCGGAAGGAATTATCTCTGATTTCTGGATTTCTGTGATAAATTATCGCAGTAACGCGGTATCGTTGAATGATTTATCTTTGATTTCACGATTTCTGTGATAAATTATCGCAGTAACGCGGTATCGCGGAAGGAATTATCTCTGATTTCCTGATTTCTGCGATAAATTATCGCGGTAACGCGGTATCTCGGAAGGCAATTCAAGCTTCCGTACAAATGGCCCATGCAATGTAATGTTTTAATGCAATTCTGGAAGATGCACCATTGTGTTCCCAGTGAACCTTATTTTCAAATTTCATTTTGCCATTTTCAAGGGTATTTGGTGCACTTTTTTGTTTTTATGTATGGAGGTTCATAAGTACGTAGACATCTGCTTAGCAGAAAATTAAAAGCATGCATTACAAAACTACAGCACGAACAGCGGACTAATGCGGCCATTATTTATGCAAAGTGGAGACTGGTCAAATGCCGCGTGAGGTTTTGGGGGTAGGTGCTCATTATACTAATAACCTTGGCTGACCTGTAAAAGTTGTTTTTCTCAGCTCGCTGCGTAGAAATAATTAGCAGCCAACGAATCGAGTTGATCCTGCATGGATACCGTCAGTGATCGACGAGATATGGGCTTTGTGCTCAAGGGCGGATCCAGAACACAATTTTTTGGGGGGCCCCAAAAAATTTTGGTCCCCAAAAAAGTGGGTCGAAAAAATTACGGCGTGGGGTTCGGGGCCCGCTTAAGGGCCCCGAAAAAAAAAATTGGATTCTAGATGCTCTGTGGTGCGATCTGAGGCAATTTCTGACCACTTTAACCAATTTATTTTGAGGAAAAGATGGTGGTGTACTCATTGCCTGCCTTTATTGCGATGTCACATTAAAAAAAAAAAAAATTGGTTTCGTTTTTTTGGGGGGGGGCATGGCCCCCTTTGCCCCCCCCCCCCCCCGGATCCGCCCTTGTTTGTGCTTGGCCGGAGCAGCTCGGCTGCCTGAAAAATGATGGATTTCCCATCAAGCTGTCGGAAACTTCACGAAAAGTCGTGACCGTTGCAGAATTAGTCTTGGCCCAATACGTCAGTGATCATCAGCGATAGTTGCATTGTTGTGTAGCGCCCTTCACACTAACGTCTTGGCCATTTCGTAGCAATGGGGGCGGGGTCATTTTATGTAAATAAGACCGTCTGTATAAATTCGAACAAACACAGTTCCTTTTTATAGTACCAACTTCTCTTATCACGATCTGCGACCTTTCTTCAAAACGTTCATAGCAATGAACTTGTAAATTATCCTGACGTCCTATTTTGTCACTTCTCTTTGACGTCATCAGGTACTATTACAAGCGGTTTTCTTTAAGAACATGATTTTGATCATTATAACTTTATATAAACAACATGAAAAATCGTGTTATTTTTTTTGTTGACATTGATAAACACGTTTGATGTCCAAAAACAAAGTCGCTTGACCATTACTTCCGGGTTAACCGGAAGGTCAAACTTAGGTTAAATAAAAATGCAGACAGACGCCTCTTATTTAAAAAAAAAACGGGTCGAGGGATGAACATAAAACACAGTATGAAGATGACATGATGACGTCATAACGAGCACCCTCCAGAAGCACTTTCAAGTGTATAAACCATCTGCTAACATTTTACAAAATTGCCCATACCAATGTCGGTATGTAATGACGTCATGATATTGTTACAAAACAAATATCTCATATAACCATGACCCGAAACATATTTTATATCCTTATTGGACAGTGGACATTGACAAAGTGATACTTTTATTTGCTTTGAGACTTTTGTTTGTGTTTTGAGTTTACTTGACTTGACCTTACTGCAACCCTGCAATAAAAGTCATACGACTATTCAACTTGGTAATAATGTGATGTCAATTTGAAAAGGAAAAGACTGTGAGAATCAGTTTCCACAAAAAGTAAAATAGAATCATACGAGCATGGCAATCAGGCACTAATTTCTCCGGATCAGTTGCGAATAATTAATTTTATGTAAAAAAAAAGAAGAAGAATGAAGCCTCTTATAGAGCATGACTCGCGCGAGCCACCGCAGAACTGTAACGGCTGCCGCCCAATTTGTCTACATTCGGAAAACGTGGATGTGGGAAAAGAACGAAACAAAATCAAACATTGCAGTGACGAATGTAGAAATTACACATAACTTTCTGTATCATTCAGCTCATCAATGCACGAATCAGAGGTTTATTATTTAAAAAAAGAGAGCAAATATAAGACATCGTTTTCAAACATGTTTATTATTTCCGGTCGGGTGATTCATTGTTATGAAAAGTCGCTTAGAATTCTGCCGTTGTCTATAAATTCAATATTGACAACTTGCGTTTTATGAAATGATCTTTAAATAAAAGACACATTTTAAAAATAGTTTATTGACGTGCTGCTAGGTTATGACGTCATCATGCCATTATTTGCAATTCAAATCCCCTATTAAACAGTTACTAAATTAGTATAATTGTGCTTCTATATTAAAGTTACATATTTATTTCTCAATGCATTTTCGGTAAAAATGGAAGTAAGCGTCAAGCAGCTTCTGCTCTCGAATCAAACAGTTGCCCAAGGCAATATTCATCACACAAAATAACAAATGTACGCGGTACATTGCAACTGGGTTCAGAATATTTTTCACTTTCCAACATAAAATCGCTTGCAGTTTGATTCCCGGTAACGTCTTGATGACATCACACACTTTGTCCACATGTTCCGAAAAGGGTATATTTTCATACCAGGTTCTTCTTCGACCTATTTTAAGGATTGTGTCTATATTTTGACATTATACGTTTGACGTCCCGATGCCTGCCCAGAAAGGAGAGGTCAAGCGACTTTGCCTTGAGAATGTAACATAGTTATCAATGTCTTTCAGATAACAAAGCATTATGATTTTTCATTCAATTCATAATTTATAAATGAACAAAAGTCACGTATATGAAGAAAATCAGTCGTACGGTAATACCTGATCACGTCACAGTAACGTCATGGTAATATCTATACGGTAATATGACTCAGGATTGATATCGGTCCAAGTTTCAAGTTCATAATAATTATGAACCGTTTTGGTCGCGGAGAAAAATATTCAGCTTCCCAAAATGATCATTAAAAAAAGCACATTCATATTTTGTCTGTAAAAAGGAACAAATTCATCATCATCTCGGTCGGTCCTTCTGATTACATTACAGATCGAAAACGCCTAATGAACATTACGGGTCACTTCAGTTATTACATATGGGACAACATTTCAGGATGGATGTTGAATAACGCGCCGATTGTTATTATATAACAATATTATGAGTCCATTATTTCATTTCGGGTAATAACAGTAGCTCAAAGTTAAACGCCAACGGTTTCATTTGAGCTGTTTTGAGCTCAAATGCAATATGTTTATCAAGAGTGGCGAAAATCTGTGGCCGGGACTGGGTGGGGATGATCAGAATCCAAAAATGTCCCGGTCGTGGAAATTCGAAAAGTGTGGGGCCATCGAAACGCCGCATTTTTTTGTACATTAATTTTGTCCGACTCCATTTTCAGTGCTATTGAATGCATTTTGGTTGTTGGGAAGATCGTAAAATAGTAAAATACTGCAGCGTTTGACCAATGGGTTCTAAAATGAAGGATGTGAATTTTCCTAGGAGTTTGCTGACGGAGTACTGTAACACAATGACAGACTCAACAACACGTTGACATGGACGAAGAAATGTGACCAGGAGACAGTGCCTCAGTTTTTAACTTTTAATCCTCAACAGATCATTAATAGGCCACATTATAACAATAATTGCTGATTATTTGCACACTGATTCACCTTAATTCAAGCAGGGTGGCTGTCCGTCAAGGGAGATTCGGGCTCGGTTCTTTTTTGGAAGTTCCGCAGCGCACAACCGTTCAGCTCCAAGCTAGCACAACCACCACCTTTTTCGGGCGAGCGGTTAACCAACTTAATACATTATCCTGCGTCGCTAATCTGCGCATGCGCGCCCGGCCCTACTCTCCGGACGGACAGCGCCACATGTGATAATCGCTACATCACCCCCTTCTATTTCAAAAAGAATGCGTCCCGCATTTAGTTAAAAGAAACAAACAATGTGTAGAAAAGCTAAGGTCTCTTCAGGCATCACTCTCCCAGGACATATTCAGTAGTGGTCTTCATGACAAGGCTGCCTTCGTTAAAGATCTCCACAATCTTGCGCCGTTTTCTGGGGTTTTGGGCACTTCATTGGTCACACCAACTCGTTCCGGGGTTCGGAGGTCTCGCTGTTTGTTGTGGGTCGTTTCTTCCTGCATTTGTGTCGCATGGTGCGTCTTCAGGTGTCTTCCTAAGTCACTCCGTCGGGAATAGCTACCCCCATCGCAGAATGGACACTCATATCTGGTTTTTATGCCATGTTGCTCCGATACGTGACGGTTGAGAGCTGAATATGCTCTGAAGGTCTGACGGCATTCTGTGCACTGGAGGTCTGATGTTGGACTTGGGGACCTCCTCAGTGACCTGTCTCTGGGGGACCTGTGGCGCGAGTGGTGTCTTTTTGGCATCTGCAGGATGATAAGACCAAAAAGAATGGGAAAATTAGTAATTTGATTGCGGTTGATGGACTCGTTTATGGTTTTGCTTGACCCACTCCCCAAAACGTTTTGGTCACGGTGGCCTCCGCTTCCTGCGGCTCGGGCATTCTGGCTGCGAAGTGGCAATTGGGCAGTTATCAGGCTGTTCGACTTCGCACTGCTCCTGCTTGTTCCCCACTATAATGTCTTGGCCTGCGACTTTTTAGCCTCGTCACTGCATGTTGGTGTCTTTGCTGCCGCTACTTCCAGTACAGCTTGGTTGTTTTGGTGTCCCTGTACCGGATCCATCTGAGCTCCCTGATGACTGCAGATGCTCTTCAGTAGCAGACGCATTGACTGGGCTCTGAACTTCTTTGGGGTTGTTGTTTACACAAATAAGCCTGCCTTCCCACCACGACTTGTCATACTCTCCTCCAAATCTCTTCAGGCGGTCAATGTGTACAATATTTTGTTTGTGCCGTGGTCCTTTCTGGATACGTACATTTACATCGTTGATGCATTCAGTCACAATGGAGGGCCCGTCCCGTCTCGATTGGAGTTTAGGGGACAGTCCAACAGTTCTGGCCTCTACAGCCAGCATCACGGTGGTCCCAGGAGTAAGCTGCTTCTGTTGGTGTGGTAGGTCATAATTTCGTCTTTGATGCTTGGCAGCTTTGTGCAGATGCACCCTCGCCCTCTCATGGGCATCACGGAACCTTTCCCTCAACTCTACTACATAGGGCGTAACCTCCCGGGGCTGTTCTGGAGATCCCAAAATGAGGTCAACAGGCAGTTCAACTTCTCTGCCTAGAGTGAGGAGATTTGGAGTTTCGCCAGTGCTGCCGTGTTGCGAAGCACGATAAGCCATCATTACCAGGGGTATGTGGAAGTCTTAATCTCTTTGATTCTCGGCTACGTAGGCACTAAGCATGTCTTTTAGAGTGCAGTTAAACCGTTTGACCGTCGCTCTGGGGGTGGTAGGGACTCGTCCTTGTTTTGTCTATGCCGAGGATTGCGCACATTTCTTGGAACAACTTGCTTTCAAATTGCCGGCCCTGGTCACTTTGTACCTGTCTGGGAACGCCGAATCGGCAAACAAATTTTCAGTGACGAAGACTCCAGCAACTGTTTCGGCTGTCACGTCCTGCAAAGGGAAAGCTTCTGTCCATATTGAAAAGTAGTCCGAAATAACAAGAATCCACTTGTTCTCTCTATGTTCTGTAATTGGGAATGGTCGTGTGAGGTCCAGCGCGACCCGTTCCATGGGCATCCCGGAGATTTGTTGTTGCAGTGGCGCCCTGGTTCTCTTGGGAGACGGCTTGCGTCGAGCGCACTTCAGACATTGCTGACACCATCTCGTGACCGATTCCTTCATGTTTTCCCAGAAGAACCTTGACTTTACTTTCGCATACATTTTGTTAATTCCCAAGTGTCCAGCCGTTGGGCAGTCGTGGAGTTGTTTCACCACATCTTCCCTGAAGGCCCGTGGTACTGTCGTATAATCCTCGCAGCGAATTTAGTTTAGCATTCGTTAGAACGCACAAGAGCGCAGGGTTCGAGATCAAGATACAACAACTAACGGACAACGACACAGTTCTGCGATGTTTCTCTGATGAACTTTTATTCGATGAACCTAGAGTCTAACGGACTCTACAGACGGTTAATGGACGGTCCTTGACGGAATCTACAACCGGTCCATGACAGACTGACCCCTGTACATTAAGAAATAATGCAAAACATGGGTTTGAAAATACTACTACTACAGTCATTGTACAATAGACAACAACACACAGTTCAAAGGTCATAGTACTGGTAACCAAAACACTAAAACAGTACATCAGCTGGTGCTCAATTATTTTTTTATTATTATTATTTATTTATTCTCATCATGTAAAAACATGAAACTTGTCTCCTCGTTCTGCACAAAAATATGATGTATAAAACACTTAAAAACTTCACATTAAAAACCAAAACAAAAACATATTACATAAATGTACAAATAGGCGTAACAATATAAGAACACTGACAAGAGTACACGTAAACAGAAATAGAACAACAAATTGAGCCTAATTAAATAAAAAAATAAAATATCTGGATTGATAGAGCTATTATGTATAAAGACGAAAAATGGGAAGGACACAATGGCAAGCCGGGGGGGGGGATTAGAGAGCCAGGGGGATATGGGCGGGGGAAAAGGAAACAGGGAAAGGGTTGAAACTTACATGTACGAGGGGTATAAACACACACATTTACATCACGATTTAAAAAGCATAATATCTACTGTAAGTCTGATTAAAAACACGAGATTGCCCTGGGTAAAAATAAGGGGAAAAAATGTGTCGTGTTAACGAGATTTCAATTTACTAATTTAACCCGACACAAATGGGTAGATGTGTGAGGAGGGGTGGATAAGAATATTATGAGATAAGACAGAATAAGGGCTAATCTGATTGCACTAAAAACACACTACAGCACGATTATAAAAACAGCATTATCTAGTATGATTCTTGTTAAAATGTGAAACTGCACTGGGTAAAAATGAAAGGTTGTGTCGTGTTGTACGAGAGTTCAATTGACGGATTCGACCTGACCTGTTTTGTACTATGAACGAATGGAGTGGGTGAGTATCGTCTTGCATAATGGTTCTCAGTTTGGATTCAAGAGCATTGTGGTACATTGATTGAATGTCCAGAACATCAACACCAATGACCCTGCTGGCAATTTTAGTGATCCTTTTCAACGTGTTCGAATTCACAACAGTCAAACCATTAAACCAGGCGATACAACAAAAAGACATGACGGACTGTATGACACTCTGATAAAAAAGCAACATAATATCACGATTAACATGAAATAATTTCAATTTCCGCAGGAAAAAGAGCCGTTGACTAGCCTTGGCACATAACTTAAGAGTATTCACATTCCAATTCAATTTACTATCAATGTACGTCCCAAGGTACTTATACTCTGTCACAATTTGGATTTCATCACCACTAATAACAACAGGTTTGATAACATTCTGATTTTTCCTAAAATCAAAAACAATTTCTTGCATCTTCTGCGTGTTCAATATTAGGAAGTTATCTTTGCACCAATATCATCTCAATAGATGGAATGTGACAGGTTACATAACACTGTTTTGGCTAGACAGAGATTTGTCCTTGTCCTTAATTCAAGGTATTTAAAGTACCAGGAGCAAAACATTGACTGTACCATAAGATCAGAATAACATAGTGCATTAGCTACAGCACAACTTGGAAAACAGAATCAAATAAATACACTGTCTTGACTTATCAATTGGAATTGAGTAAACATTGTTTCCAAATATACAGTACTCAATATCTGGGATTTTAATTGTGGATCAAAAACACAATGAATCAAGAGCTAACCTGAATAAAGTTAAAGAACAGCCTGTACAGCTACATGTACATCATGTACATCAACTTCAACTCCATTTGCGTAGCTGGAAGCTATATATGCAAAAAAATGACATAATGCTTGAACAAATGTTCCACAATACTATCAATGATACACTAATTAAGATACATGTTCAATTCACATTATCAATTTAAGTTGACTGCTGAACTTATTATTGTAAATTTCTAAGTTCAAGCATGGTTCGAGTCAATTAAAGTGCAACAAATATTCACACAATATAATGGCTCAAGCTGCAGATAACTTCGTGCACAGAAATGCAAACAAATGATTAAAACAATGAACCACCAAATATAAGAATGAACTTCAATCAACATCACAACTACAGAACACAAATAGCTCTCAACTAGAAACTAAGTCTCGAAATTACAACTCAAAATAACAAAGGACAAGAACTCACCCCTCTATGGCTACGACATTGGCTTGGCTTCAGTGGCCTGCTGGATGTGGGTGCAGACTGGTCTTTTGGCCCTGATGTGGGATCTTAAATACCCACTTTGGTTGGGTGATGGGCACTTCCATCCACTTGCCGATTGGCTACATATTACGTCACCGACACCACGAAGTAACACTCTACCGTGTTAAAGCATATTTTTTTTCGATTTTCAGTTTTTTGGATTTTTAAACATTATTCATCAAGGCCTACCATTGCACGAAGTTTCAAAGCTTCAAGAGCTTTACTTTAATAATTACGCTAAGTATCCATGGCAACTTTTGCGCAAAAGTGACAATTTTCGTTTTCACGAAGTAACACTCAAGTTCTATTTTCCATTGCAATGCATGGCGCGCACTCTGCTCATAAGTGAGCAAAAACGTTTGCACGAAGTAACACTCTTCTTGTAACAAGTTGTATGAGCGCGCGCGCGCTGACCTGAAGTTGCACTTTCCTCGTGTTAAATACATTGAAGAGTGTTACTTCGTGAAAACGAAAATTTACAGTTTTGCAGCTTTTTTGGTTTCACGAACTAACACTTATCTTTTTTCTCTTATTTCTTGTTTATTTAATACACAAACGAGTGAAAAACAGTAGATTTAATAAATTCAATTCATCAAGTGTCCACAACGAGAAACCCAACTGAAAATACTCTGTCGTTTTGACGCAAAGCGTTGTTTTAGAAGGCGTTCAACTTAAGTTTCCGTTTTCTCCGATTGCTAGTTTTTACTGGTATGTGGATGGGTGTTACTTCGTGGTGTCGGTGACGATTAAATTGACTACGGTACTCCTTCCCCGTGAAATAATTTGAATATAAACTTTTTGATTGGCTAGTTTTTCAGGGAGTCCTGGATGAATCTGGTGATCAGCAAGATTTCTTCCAGGTCCCAACAAGATCCAAACCCTAATTGATTTGTCTCCACAGCTAGTGAAAGTGACATTCTTGCTACCGAAAATAGCTAGACATGGGCATGGGAAGATCTCTCTAAAACAAAGGGTTTGGTTAGACCCAAGAATGAGACAGTGGTCTGGCAGGAGGTCATACCAATTACCAGCCCATTTTGGTGGTGAAAGGCTTCATGTATCCTTGAGGATAGGAAACAACATAAAGAAGCCAAACCATGTAACATGAATAACACATATTTTCATTTCCCGACAGTACCACCAGAAGCCAGCGTGAATGTGGTGTGTCCTCATCCCATGGCCTGTATAGTACACCGTCACGAAGTTGCAGCTGTTGCCACGAGCACCACAGCGTTTTCAGCCACGTTCCTTCAGCCGACACGTCTGCCCATGACGGTTTAGGGGTTCCATTTTCCAGCCAGCCTATTACTTTGCGCAGGGTAGGATCCTCCATTTGCTTTTCCCTCATTTCCTAAGAGGTGCACCTATGTACCCAGCAATGTGAAGATATTTCTCGTATAATGTGGTCGTGGCGACTGTCATCTGGTGGTGCGCTACCAGATTCACCCTGTTGTGTCTTGTCCGGATGCCCCTCTGCGCAGGGAGATATTCCTTACTCAACATTCCCCGGCTTTGTTGTGGTTGTGTTTCGGTTTCCTTTTCCTTCTTCTCTGACTTCCTTGACTCTGAGCCCTCCTTGACTTTTTGCTGGTCTACGAGACACTGGACATTATGCCGCATTCTGGACATCGCGTCGGTAGTACCATGTTTCGGGCCTGGTCGATGCTCGATGTCAAATTCGTACTCTGCAAGTACTTGAAGCCACCTGGCGATTTGTCCTTCTGGCTCCTTAAAATCAAAAAGCCAACGGAGCGACCCATGATCAGTTCTCAGGAGAAACTTCTGTCCGTAAAGATATGGCCGAAAGTGTTTGATGAAGTACACAACCGCCAATAGTTCTTGCCTAGTGACGCAGTAGTTCTGCTCAGGCCTTGACTAAGCTCGACTCGCATAGGCAATAACACGCACGTGTCCCTCTTTTTCTTGACTTAGCACAGCCCCGATGCCATAGTTGCTGGCGTCGGTGTCGAGTATGA